CCAAGCCCGCCCGCCACGGCCCCTAACCCCCCAACACCCCGGACGGCGCAGCAACCTGGAGGCCAGGGATTGGTGGCCCGCACGCCGCAGCTTTGCTTGGCTCGGCGTCAGTCCCCACGAGGCGGCGCGCGCACGCACAGAGGCAAGACACCCCGACAGGGCCGTGGACCGCAGAATCCAGCCAGCCCGGCAGCTGCAGCAACCAAGCAGCAGCCCGCAGCGGCACCAGCGAGCAGTGGCCAACTCGCCTCCCGTCCTCCTCGCCTTCGTCATCACCACTCTCCGCTCGTCGTGCCGCCTGCCCAGCCGCCTCTGACCTCTCTTCAACACCGTCGGCCCCGTCGTCGACTCTCCTCCGACTGCGCTCCCCTCCTCCTCTCCCCCCCTCTCTCGTCTTCCCGTCGACCTCGCTCCTCCTCCTCCTCCTCCTCCTCCTCCCCCCCTCATCGCCAGCGCGTGCTCTCGCCGCCCCCCCCGTCGCCCGTCATGGACTTCACCTCGGGCATCATGCCCCTGACGCAGGTGCACAAGCCGCCCTTCACCGTCGAGGCGCCCGGCTACGAAAAGGTCCCCGGCGAGACCATCCCGCGTCGCCACCCGCGGGCCAAGAACGGCCTGCTCAACCGCCCGGCCGACGACGTCGCCACCGTCTTCGACCTGATCCGCCGCAGCGCCCGCGTCTACCCCAACCACAACGCCGTCGGCAGCCGCAAGCTCATCAAGCTGCACCGCGAGACCAAGAAGGTCAAGAAGAACGTCGACGGCGAGGTGCAGGAGGTCGACAAGGAGTGGCAGTTCTTTGAGCTGTCGCCCTTTTCCTTCCTCACCTACAAGGACTACGAGGCGCGCGTCCTGCAGCTGGGCTCCGGCCTGCGCAAGATTGGTCTCACCTCGGAGAACAAGCTGCACATTTTCGCCGCCACCAGGTATGTCTTGCCCTCCCGTCATCTTGTGCCTGTCGCCTTGGCTGCCATGTCCCTCGACTAACACACACCCCAGCGTCCAATGGATCTCCATCTCGCACGGCTGCGCCTCGCAGAGCATCTCCATCGTGACCGCCTACGATACCCTGGGTGAGAGCGGCGTCGCCCACTCGCTCGTCCAGTCCAAGGCGAGCGCCATGTTCGTCGACCCCCAGCTCCTCAAGACGGCCGCCGGGCCCATCAGCCAGTCCGAGGTCAAGACGGTCATCATCAACGACCAGAGCAACTTTGCCGAGGGCGGCGAGATCGAGTCCTTCAAGGCCGCCAACCCTGGCCTAACGGTCTACACGTACGAGGAGGTGCGCAAGCTCGGCGAGGAAAACCCTGTCGAGCCCGTGCCCGCCAAGCCCGAGGATCTCTACTGCGTTATGTACACGTCTGGCTCCACGGGGCCCCCCAAGGGCGCCTGCATCACCCACGAGGCGCTCGTTGCCGGCAGTAAGTAGCTCCGCGCGCTCACATCTATGAGCACGCCTAAGCTAACGTGCGCTTCACAGTCACCGGCCTGCTCACCTGCGTCGACGAGTGCGTCAGCGACAAGGAGGTAGTCCTCGCCTACCTCCCCCTGGCCCACATCTTCGAGATGGCCCTCGAGAACCTGGTGCTCTTCATCGGCGGCACCCTCGGCTACGGAAACCCGCGCACGCTGTCGGACGTGTCGGTCAAGAACTGCGCCGGCGACATGCGCGAGCTGCGGCCCACGGTCATGGTGGGCGTGCCGCAGGTCTGGGAGACTGTGCGCAAGGGCGTCATGGCCAAGCTCGGCAGCTCGAGCCCGCTGATCCGCTCGCTCTTCTGGGGCGCCTTTAGCTACAAGGGCTTCATGTCGCGCAACCGGCTGCCGCTGGCGAGCATCTTTGACGGCATCGTCTTCAGCAAGGTGCGCGAGCTGACGGGCGGCCGCCTGCGCTTCACCATGAACGGCGCCAGCGGCATCGCCGACGGCACCAAGCATTTCCTGTCGCTGGTGCTCGCGCCCATGCTGACGGGCTACGGCCTCACGGAGACGTGCGCCAACGGCGCCCTGGGCTGCCCGCTCGAGTACTCGCCCAACGCCATCGGGCCCATCCCCGCCGCCATCGACGTCAAGCTCGTCTCCATCGACGACCTGGGCTACTCGACCGACGCCAAGGTGCCGCAGGGCGAGATCCTGCTCAAGGGCCTGCCCATCATGCGCGAGTACTACGACAACCCCGAGGAGACGGCCAAGGCCCTGACGCCAGACGGCTGGTTCCGCACCGGCGACATTGGCGAGTTTGACGCCGACGGCCACCTGCGCGTCATCGACCGCGTCAAGAACCTCGTCAAGATGCAGGGCGGCGAGTACATCGCCCTCGAAAAGGTCGAGTCGGTCTACCGCGGCGCCCAGACCGTCACCAACGTCATGGTCCACGCCGACGCCGAGCACTCGCGCCCCATCGCCATCATCATGGCCAACGAGAAGATTCTCGCCGAAAAGGCCAGCGAGCTCGGCGTCGACGAGCACAGCATGCACTCGGACCCCAAAGTCCGCGCCGCCGTCCTCAAGGACCTGCAGGCCACGGGCCGCCGTGCCGGCCTGACGGGCATGGAGATTGTCGCTGGCGTTGTCGTCACCGACGAGGAGTGGACGCCCCCGAGCGTAAGTCTTTGATTCCATCCGGCTCTTCGTGTGTCATTTGCTAACTCGAGCCTGCCAGGGTCTCGTCACCGCCACGCAAAAGCTCAACCGCAAGGTCATCCGCGAAAAGTTCAAGAAGGACATTGACGCCTGCCTCAAGAACGTGCCTTAGGAGAGCCATGGAGCGGGGGGCGATTGAGCGGTCTCGGGGTTGTGCCTAGTACGAGCGACGATACCATGTAATGTACCGTGTATAGCATGTAGTGAATTCTGTCTGCCACTTTGCAGTGCCGTGGAAGTGAAGTTGTCCGGGAGCGTCTCTAGCGGCATGTCAGACGAGGCATGTATAGATGTATGCAATTGACCATGCTGGCCGCCTACCACGCCGACATCTGCACGACGCGACGACGCCCCGTACAACGCGTAGTACATGATATATAACCTGTATTGAGCCCCGCCGGTGCAGTAAGACGCGTGATACCATGTAAAGGCTGTACAACATGTACTCCGACTAACCTCCCTGTCGTACGATGACGATACCACGTAATGCAGCCCGCGCCATGTGTGAATTCTCCCGCTTGCTATGCTGTGCTATGCCTGCTAATCCGCCATTCGCAGCCGTCATTCCCTCATGGCCGCCAGGTCGCCCAAAACGTCATGCTGTGAATCAATCACTCCTACCGGCTGCCGGCTGCCGTCCAAGCCTGTCCGTTCCTATGGTCGTCGCCACTCTAACCCACCGCCGTCAGTCGGCCTCCTTGCGCCGGAAAAACACCAGGTACGGCACCGTGCCCTGCCCGTCGGAAAAGACGTGCCGCGCCGCGTCGGCTGCGTCGCCGCTGCCGATGCGCACCTTGCTCACCGACGAGTCGTTGCACAGGTACCACGCGTAGGGGTCGTGCGTGCCCGCGTCCCGTACGTACGCCTTGTAGTGGCCCGTCTCGATGCCCTTGCCGGCGTGGCAGATGACGGCGTAGCACTCGTACCGGAAGGGCGCCCGGAACGCACGGTCCGTCGTCATGCTGCCGCCGCTCGGGTCGACAAAGTACGGGCTGAAATCAAAGTCGTTAAAGTCCCAGGAGATGGCCGCGTACGACTTGCTCAGGTACCCCTGGGCGTTGACGTCGAAGCGCCGCAGCCCCAGGCAGAAAAGCGGCGGCATGCGCGCCAGCGACGTCGACTGGGTCGCGCGTGTGGCCCGGCCGCAGTGGTCGCACGTGTAGTTGTCGAGCGAGTTGCTGCCGGCCCAGCGCGCCATGACGTCGCCGAGGCTCGCGTTGTCTGCGCCCACGGGCACCGAGATCCACGAGAAGGGCGAAAAGGTGTAGGTGCTGGTGCCGCACTCGAGGCACCGCACCGTGCCCACGTCGAGCCCGCGCCAGTATCGGTCCACGAGCGATCGGTTGAGGCGCGTGTGGCCCTCCCAGTACGCCGCCGCCGCCTGCAGCACCGTCCGCCCCCGCGTGCTCGGCTGCTCGACGTGCCCGCCACGATCGCGCGCCAGGTTGGTCTCATCGTGCAGCTGGTCCATGACAAACGACATGAATTCTTGCGCGTCCTGTTGCTGGTGCCCGCCAAATTGCGCGTTTTCGTCGGTCGTCTTGCACAGGTGGCGCGAGTAGTCCTGTGCCTCGTCAGCAAAAGATCTCGAGCATGAAAAGAAGAGACTCACCATGAGCGTCTGCGCCTTCATCGTCTCAAACTTGCCCGTGCTCATCCAGTGAAACAGGTTCGAGATGATGCGAATCATGAGCTGCGGCGGGTCAATCTTCTCGCCCGCCTTGCGCGGCACCTTGGCCTGCATCCATTCCGAGTCGGCCAGCTGCCGCGAGAACTCGGGCGACGCCAGCAGCGCCTGCAGCGTGCTGTTGGCGTAGCACCAGTTTCGTGGGTTGTAGAGCCCCGTCGGCGCCCGCGCGATACCGTCGGGCTTGCCGCCGCGTGAGGGCCGCATGGGCTCCGGCTCCTCGGACGACGCCAGCCCGCTGTGCGTCGGCTTCTGCACCGCCGCGCGCGGCTTGGCCGGTGGCGCCGGCAGCTGCTCGAAGCGGTGCGGCGCGGAGGCGGCGGCGGAGACGGGCGGGCGCATCATCGACTGTCGCTCCGCCGGCCGCGAGCGAAGAAACTCCTCACCCGTCCGTGGGAAGCTCGGCCGCGTCGCTGTATGCTGCGCCTCCTGCTCGAGCGTGTTCTGCCACGCCCGCACGTCGGCCGGTTGCAGCGGCCGGATGATGTACTTGGACCCGCGCCGCTGGATGATGCCGTTGCGCTTGCTGGCGCGCGCGCGATCCGGGTCCGTCGCCTGCAGCGACCGCGGGCCCATGAGGTCGACCCAAGCGTCCAGCCCACCCCGGAGGATCCGCGGCGGCCGCCTCAGCTCGCGCCCGTAGTTGAGGTGCACCAGCGCGCGGTGCAGCGAGAGCACGACGATCTGGTCCGAGTTCTTGGGCGTCTGCGTCACCCGCTCCGAGCTCTGGTCGTAAAAGACGACCAGGTCGTACCCGTCGCGCCGCTCAAACAGCGGCTGGTCCTGTCGCGGCGACAGCACCATGCTCTCCGATATCTCGTCGGCCGAGATGTTGTCGCGTAGGAGGATGCTGGGCTCAACGCACACAATCGCCTGCGCCATGATGTGGCCCTCGTCAAAGTCCTCGCGCGAGCGGACGTCGATGAGCAGGATCGACGCCTTGCGCATTGCCTCGTATAGCTGCTGAGGGGTAATGTCGTCGCCGGGTGGTAGGTCCACCGTCTCTGCCTTGGGTGGCTCCGGCCTCGGCGGCGCTGGCCTCGGGGGCGGAGGTTGCGTGGGAGGAGGCGTGGGTTTCGGAGGGTTCTGTTTCGGATCTGATGGCTCAGAGGCGTCGGCGTCGGGCCTCATCGGGGGAAAGTAGTCGCCCTGCGCCGAGACGGACCCGGTCCGACTAAAGAGCCCTCGGGGCGTGCTCGTCGGCAGCCGCGCGGCCTCGCCCGAGACGCTCCCCCGCGCGGGGCTGTAGATGGCGTCGGGCAGCTTGGGCATGGCGTCAGTGTCAAGGTTGAGCTTGCCAGGCATCTCGCGGGGCCCCGAAGGGCGCTGGGCGGGGATGGGATACGTCTTGATGCGCGGGTCCTGGCCCGGCGAGGGCTGAGGGCCGCCGAGGTTGGCGAAACGGGCGGCGAGGTCGGCGTCGATGGACGAGCGCAGGGCGTTGCCGTGGAGGGCCTGTGGCTTGGGGTGGATGGGCGGCTTCTTCTTGGTTTCGGCGGCAGCGTTCTCCTTGGGGGCGCCGTTGGCGGCCGCGCGGATGACGGTCGGGCGCACGCCGGTCCGCCGGTTGTCCTGGATGATGTCGCGCTTGATGTGTTCGTAGGCGTCGCTCTGCGCGGAGATGCGCCTGAGGAGGGCGTTATGGGCCCGGGCCGCGTCGCCGCTGCGCATGGCCGGGTAGTCCTTGTGGTTGGAGACGACCTGGACGGCGATGATGGAGGCGCGAATGTACTCCTTGAGGGCGAGGCCGGGGCGGTTGAAGTCGCGGCTCATCTCCGACTGGCGCAGCGCCGCCTCGGCCTGCTCGAGCAGGCGGCGGATCGACTGGTTGGCATCGATGTCGGTCGGTATCGCGACGAGGTCCTCGATGTGCGGCAGCGGCGGCCGCCCGAGACCGTTGTGTCTGCCATCGGGCAGGCTATGCCTCGCAGTCGTCATGACGGCGATGGCGATGGCGCAGGTGGTGTGCCGCTGGCCGTCATCGGGTGTGTGGCGGCATGGGCTCGCTTGGAGCTGGCTTGCAGCGTATGGAGGTCGGGAAGTGTCCCGGAGGAGAAGCGTGGCCGTCGTGACCACCTTTGTCGAGCTGGGCTGCAGCTACAGACTGTGAGTGTCGTCGTGTCCGCAGGTGTAGCGGGCACAAAAGCGATGCGGACGTCGTCGACTCGCTGACGCCGACACGGACGCCAGCCAGGGCCAGTACCAGGGCGCGCGGGAGGGTACCTGGCGGCCCTCGCTGGATGGGGCACAGCTCAGGTCCCGCTGGGTCAGCCACGGTACCGCGCCTCGTCACCCCGCGTCAGGTGGAGCCCTGCCGCGCTGCGCCTGTTGACACCAGCAGGCAGCCCCCGGAGGCGCTGAAGAGCCAGTGGAGCGGCGTCTGACGCAACACTTCCGTTGCGAGCGCCTCGATAGCTCATCAACTCACCTTCCACCCAAGGCTGCCATCGTCAACCATCCATCATCACCGCCCATCGCCACCTCCGCACGCACAGCCCATCGTTGAGCACGAGCTCCCATCGCCGCCGAGATGATGAGCTGGTGGTCTTCCTCGGCCAACACGGCCCTGGACGAGCAGATTGAAAAGGCCACCAGCAGCAGCTTGTACGTCGCCGCTCCCGCCGCGAGCCGCGAGCCGCCACCGCGCACCAGCTGACGTGACCGCCCCAGGGAGGACATTGCCTTGAACCTCGAGATTTCCGATGTCATCCGCTCTAAGACAGTCGCCCCGAAGGAGGCCATGCGCTCGCTGAAGCGGCGCATCGGCAATAAGAACCCCAATACGCAGCTTAGCGCCCTCAACGTGCGTCCCCGACGACGACGCCGCCGCGCGTGCTCATGCTAACAGAGTCCCCAGCTCACCGATACGTGCGTCAAGAATGGCGGCTCGCATTTCCTCGCCGAAATCGCCTCGCGCGAGTTCATGGACAACCTCGTCTCCCTGCTCCAGGCCGTCGGGCCCGTTGCCGTCAACGCCGACGTCAAGGGCAAGATCCTCGAGCTGATACAGTCGTGGGCCGGCGCCACGGAGAACCGCCACGACCTCGGCTACATTGGCGAGGTGTACAAGACGCTGCAGCGTGAGGGCTACCAGTTTCCCCCACGCGTCACGGTCGCGAGCAGCATGATCGACAGCAGCGCGGTGAGCTCCCATACGTCGTCCGTTGGCTCGACTCTTGACTGACTTTCGCTGCAGCCCCCCGAATGGGCAGACTCGGACGTCTGCATGCGCTGCCGCACGCCGTTTACGTTTACCAACCGCAAGCACCACTGCCGCAACTGCGGCAACTGCTTCGACCAGCAGTGCTCGAGCAAGACGGTCCCACTGCCGCATCTCGGCATCCACACGCCCGTCCGCGTCGACGACGGCTGCTACGCCAAGCTCACCGGCAAGGGCTACAAGGAGCTAGACCGCACGCCGACGTACCCACACAAGACGCGCAGCACCTCAATGCAGCCGCGCAGCGCCCGCGTCGACGACGGCTTCGACGAGGACCTCAAGAAGGCGCTGGCCATGAGCCTCGAGGAGGTCAAGACGGCGCGGGGCCAGGAGCCGGCCACTAACGGCAGCGGCGCCGCTAAGCGCGCCGAGGAAGAGGACGCCGACTTGCGCGCCGCCATCGAAGCCTCGCTCGCCGACATGGAGGAGCAGAAGAAGAGGCACGCCGCCGCCCTGAAGCAGCAGACCTCGACCGATGCCCCACCCACGACCTTTTTGCCCAAGAACGACTACGAGCTGACGCCCGTCGAGGCTGAAAACATTAATCTCTTTGCGACGCTGGTGGACCGTTTGCAGACGCAGCCGCCCGGCACCATACTGCGCGAGCCCCAGATCCAGGAGCTCTACGACAGCATCGGCACGCTGCGACCGAAGCTGGCCCGGACGTATGGCGAGACGATGAGCAAGCACGGTGAGTTTTCCTCTCTTGTCCGCCGAATCCAAGCTGACAGGCCAGACACCCTCCTGGACTTGCACGCCAAGCTGTCGACGGTTGTGCGCTACTATGACCGGATGCTGGAGGAGCGCCTGTCCAAGGCTTACAGCCAGCAGAACCTCTACCGCCAGTATGCACCACAGGCATCGCAGCCGCCGCCGGTGTCGGGCGAGAACTACTACACGGGCCAGTACCAGCGCCCGTACCAGGGTGACTGGCGGGAGCCCGAGCCGGAGTCGCCCTCGGGCCGCCGGGCGTCGTACGGCAAGTCGCCGTACCCGAACCTGCAGCAGTACCAGCAGGCGATGCCGCAGACGGTGCCCCAGCCGATGCCCCAGCAGGCGATGCCTCAGCAGCCGCAACCTTTGCCTCCAACTCACGCACCATCACAGCCACAACCTCTGGCCCACACACCGTCCCAGCCGTCGTACCCCCAGCCCTCACAGCCGCCGTCCCAGCCGTCGTATCCTCATCCATCACAGGCACCGCCACAGATGCAGACCCCGGTACCGCAGCCGGCCCAGATGCAGAGTCCCCAGACCCAACCACCTCAGCCGGTGCTCTCGCGGGTGCCCTCGCAACCCGGACCGCCGCCGATGCAAACGCAAGCGCAACCACAGCAACCGCAGTACCAGTACTGGTCCCAGACGACTCAGCCGGGCCAGTCCCCCGGCCCGGGGCAATGGGCCTACCCGGACCCGCTGCCGTCGGTGCCCCAGAACGACCCCAAGAAGCCCGCGGCGGAGGAGGCGCTCATTGAGCTGTAGCGGCTCGCTCGGTGACAGTTTACCAAGTAGCATGATACCAGGCTGTGTTAGGTAGAGGCGTTGGCAATTGACTCGTGTCCCCCGGACTGGTGCGTTCCGACGTGACGTGGCGGGACTAGCTCCGCACGGGGTCACCCGGACCCTGACTCAGCCATAAAACGAAGTCCGACCCGGCCGATGAGCCCACCCGGCGTCCCGGCCTCCCTCCTCAACCAACGCCCGCGACCTCCGTGACCGCCGCGACCGACCGACCGCCCGTCATGCCGCCCACGATTCACCTCGTGCGTCACGCCCAGGGCGTCCACAACCTGTCCGTCGAGAACGAGTCGATTCACGACCCGGACCTGACGCCCCTCGGCGAGTCCCAGTGCGCCGCCCTGCGCGCCTCCTTCCCGCGCCAGCGCATCACCCGCCTCGTCGCCTCGCCGCTGCGCCGCACCGTCAACACGTGCCTCCTGTCCTTTGGCGAGCCTGACCTGCTGCCCGTTGTCGCCCTCGACTGCCTGCAGGAGGTGTCGGACCAGCCCTGCGACACGGGCTCCAGCAAGGACGCCCTCGCCGCCGAGTTTGGAGACGCCCTCGACCTGTCCCGCGTGTCCGACGCGTGGACCGACAAGGCCAATGGGCCCTTTGAGCCGACCCTCGAGAAGCTCTCGGCGCGGGGTCGCGAGGCCCGCCGCGCGCTGCGGGAGATTGCTGCCGGCGACGACGATGCGCACGTCGTGGCGGTGTCGCACGGCGGAATCCTGCACTTTGTCACGGATGACTGGCAGGGCATTCCGGAGGGACGTGGTGAGTTAACCTGAGGAGCATGCAGATGAGGCCTTACTGACGGATGACAGCCACCGGCTGGGCCAACTGCGAGGTCCGCTCGTACCAGTTTGCCGACCCGACGGGCCAGGACGAGGACGCCGCGCTCGTCGAGACCGAGGAGAGCCGTCGCCGTTCCACGTCCAAGGAGCTCACCAGCGTAGAGAAGCGCCAGATGCGCGTGGCGGTGCAGCAGCGCATGATTCCGTTTCTGAAAATTAAGGCGTAGACTCGATAGAGTAGATATAGACAGCGTCCAGAGGCAATAGATCGCCGGTCCGTTCCATGACGTCTCAGCCCTGCGTGCAACCAGCCCTTTATGCTTCAATCAGTCGTCGTATGCCACCCACCCAATTCTTCAAGTGTCACCAGTGCAAATACAACCCGCGTCTATGCACCCGGCCCCGGGCAGGCCACCCGGTCCATGTCGTCCCGCCCCAGCGCGTCCAGCGCGTCCGAAATCTCGCCCCACGTCACAGCCCGCACCTCGTCCACGCGCACCGTCCAGCCCAGGGGCGAGCGGTCGTCCCGCTGCGGCGTGCACCGGCACAGTGCCCGGCCCGGCTCGTCGAGGAACCTGCGCGCCTCCGCGTCGACTCGCCCGTCCTGCTGCTAGTGGGCGAGCGTGCCGGCGAGGAGCGCGGGGCCGCCGAAGAGGTCACCGAACTGGAAGTGCTGCCGCCGGGCAAAGTTGTCGCGCGCCGAGTGCAGCACGCGCGCGTATAGGTCGACGGGCCGTGTGGCGCCGAGCGCCTCCCGGATGGAAAACGCCTTGGGCACGACGGGGTCCACGGAAGCGGCGGGCTTGTCGAGCTCGTCCGAGTCAAAGTCGAGGTCACTTGTCGCTAACACGTATGCATCTCCGACGCCCTCGAGCGGCTCGACCGTCTCGCCGGTCAGTAGTGTCTCCAGTTCATTGTCATCGAATAGTGTGTCGTCGCTCAGGTCAGCTGCGACGCTCTCCCCGGCCATTTCCCTCTGCAGCTCGGCATTGTCGAGGATCTCGTCCCAGTCGGGCGAGTCAGCCCGTGGGCCTCGTGATTGTTCATTCGTTGGCGGGGCTCGGCACTTCATGGCGCGATGACGTTGCGCGCGATTTCTGGTCCACCGATGCCGAGAATTGCGCATCGTGAACGCTTGCCCACTGTGCGTCACATGATTAGGGCACGGTGCGTTCTCCCGCCGGTCGCTCCTGCCGCGTCTCTGCTCTGAGCCTCTTCACGCGCGCTCCTCGCAAAACCGCCGCTCTTCAAATTCGCAGCATCGTGAGGCGCGCGTGGAGGCGCATGAAAGTGCGTGAAGAGGCTTCATCGTCGGCGTCAAACCCCGAGCGCACCGAGCCGAGCGGGTCAGGCACGCCCCGCCGCCGCCCCACACGGACAGGGTCCGGGGCCGGGGCGCCTCCGAGCCTCCGACACTGGGCAGCCCTCCGCGTTCCGCACGATAAACTTCTCCAGACCCCAGTTCTCCGGACTCCAGATCTTGCAGATTCGTGCAGATTGACTTCAGGTCAGGTCAGTTCACCATGGGCAGCATACCGCGGGACGAATATGTCGGCAGCATCGACCAGGGCACTACGTCGACGCGGTTCCTCATCTTTAACACGGCTGGGGAGCCCGTCGCCAGCCACCAGATGGGATTCAAGAACATACATCCCAACTCAGGGTACGTCTTGGGAGTCCTTGAGAGTTGCCGCGGTGGCGCTGACCCGGCTGACCGCGCAGATGGCACGAACACGACCCGTATGAGCTGCTGCAGAGCGTCGAGACGTGCATAGAAAAGGCGACGGAGCAGTTCCGCTCAAAAGGCTTCGACCCAAGCGCCGTCCGCGCCGTCGGCCTCACCAACCAGCGCGAGACGCTCGTGCTCTGGGACAGGACGACCGGCGAGCCCCTCTACAACGCCGTCGTCTGGCCCGACACGCGGACGGCGCACCTCGTGCGCGAGCTCAAGGCGCGAGAGGGCGCCGACCGCCTCCAGGACCTCTGCGGCCTGCCCCTCTCCACGTACCCCTCGAGCGTCAAGCTGCTGTGGCTGCTGCGCAACGTCGACGCCGTCAAGGAGGCCTACGACGACGGCCGCCTCGCCTTTGGCACCATCGACACCTGGCTCATCTATAAGCTCAACAAGAGGCACGTCTACGTGACCGACGCCACCAACGCGAGCCGCACCATGTTCATGAACCTGCGCACCCGCGAGTACGACGACGAGCTCCTCTCCTTCTTCGGCATTGACCGCTCCAACATGTCCCTCCCCGAGATCGTGCCCTCGTCGCACCCGACCGCCTTTGGCGCCCTCGCGCGGGGACCCCTCGCCGGCGTGCCCATCACCGGCTGCCTCGGCGATCAGTCGGCCGCCCTCGTCGGCCAGCGCGGCTTCAGTCCCGGCCAGGCCAAGAACACGTACGGCACCGGTTGCTTCCTCCTGTACAACGTCGGCCCGGAGCCCGTCATCTCCAAGAGCGGCCTGCTCGCCACCGTCGCTTACGACTTCGGCACGCCCGTCTACGCCCTCGAGGGCAGCATAGCTGTCGCCGGCTCGGGCGTCACCTTTCTGCTCAACAACCTCGGCCTCATCGAGAGCTCCAAGGAGATTGACGAGGTCGCCCTCTCCGTCCCGGACAACGGCGGTGTCTACTTTGTCACGGCCTTTTCCGGCCTCTTTGCGCCGTACTGGATTGACGACGCCAAGGGGACCGTCTGTAAGTATCTGTCCATTCGCATCGCTCTCCGAAATTAACGCAGCGCAGTCGGCATCACGGCGCACACGCAAAAAGGGCACATTGCCCGCGCGACGCTCGAGGCGACGTGCCATCAGACGGCCGCCATCCTCGACGCCATGGCGACCGACTCGGGCCACGCCCTCGAACTGCTGGCGGTCGACGGCGGCCTCTCCAACTCGGACCTCTGCATGCAGACGCAGGCCGACCTGTGTGGCATCCCCGTCGACCGCCCGGCCATGCGCGAGACGACGGCGCTGGGCGCCGCCTACGCCGCGGGGCGCGCCGTCGGGGTCGAGGTCCTGGGCGACAGCGGCATGACGCGCTTCGAGCCCAAGATGGACGCGGTCAAGCGGGAGCGCATGCGCGGCGACTGGGCGCGCGCCGTCGACATGAGCCGGGGGTGGGTGCGCGAGTAGGCTGTCTGAGACTGGCATCCCGCAACGAGCTGTGAGCAGTGCGGCGCACGCAAAGCAGCCGGTGACGGGGGGTCACGAACTGGGAAACTAGAATAGATCAACGTCATAGCGGTTCGAAGCGACTGGGTCGTCGTGAGCGGGAGTGGGTGGTTGATTTTTTATAAAACTTGAACAATTAACGCCAGACGTTGTTTCCCTGCACCTGCTTTAAACTACATGATGATGGCCGGCACGTCCACGTTGGCCTTGATGGACTTGTGCGGCAGGACGCTGCCGCCGTTGACATAAATCTCGTCGCCAATGGTCACGTCGTCTCCCAGGACGGTGACGTTCTCGAGGCGGGCCCAGCGGCCGACGGAGCTGTTCCAGCCGACAATGGTGGACTTCACCCAGGCGTGGTCCTTGACCTTGGAGCCGCGCAGCAGGACGCAGCGTTGCAGGCGGACGCCGTCGCCGACGACGACGCCCGGGCCGATGACGACGTTGGGACCGATGCGGCAGTTGTTGCCGATGCGGGCCGTGGAGTCGATCATGACGTTGCCGCCGTGGACGTAGGGCTCCGTGGGCGGCGTCAGCTCCTTGCTGGCGCGCTTCGTCAGGGACGACAGGTACAGGCAGGTGCCGCTCAGGAAGTCCTTGGGCTGGCCGACGTCCATCCAGAAGCCGTCGAGGTCAAACGAGTGGAGCTGGTTGTCGCGGACCATGCTGGGGAACGTCTCCTTCTCGATGGACGTGGGGCGCAGCTCGATGCGGCGCAGCACCGACGTGTTGAAGATGTACATGCCGGCGTTGATGCGGTTGCCGACAAACTCGACGGGCTTCTCGACGAACCGGTCGATGCGCGACGGGTGGTTGGGCTGGTGCACCACGACGCCGTACTTGCTCGGCTCCTCTACCTTGGTCACGACAATGGTGCCCTCGTCGCCGTGGGCCTTGTGGTACTGCAACAGCTCGGCGAAGGGGTAGTCGCAGATGACGTCCGAGTTGAGCACGAAAAAGGGCGAGTCGTCCTTGAGCAGGATCTTTTCCGCCAGCTTCAGGGGGCCTGCCGTGTCGAGGGGCTCTGACTCGACCGAGAACTCGATGTTGATGTTGTACTTCTCCTCGTACTGGTCCGGTCAGCTCGGCTCGTTTCTCGTTCGCATTGAGGGCAGACGCACATCTTTCAGAAACTTCTCCATCACCTCGGGCCGGTAGTTGACGGCCAGGACAATGTCGGTCACGCCTGCAGCCACCAGAGCCTCGATCTGGTGCACAATCATGGGCTTGTTGCCAAACTCGACGAGCGGCTTGGGCAGCGTGAGGGTCTGCGGCGGTCAGTCTTCTGCCACGTCGGGAGCAGGCCGGTGAGGACTCACCAGGGGGCGGAGGCGAGTGCCGAAGCCGCCAACGAGAATGAGGCCTGGGACATGGTCAGCGGTCGTCGGGCGGGGGGATCGTGGATCGGGCAGCGCGACGCACCCTTCATCGTGGCGAGTGTGGACTAATCGTGATGTCGAGGAATAGGTCGGCCGGTTGCCGTTGGGGGAGGCAGTGAGCAGGAGAGCTTCGGAAGAAACGAGCGTGGTGGTCGAGCGCGAGCAACTCGGGTCGGTGGCGGAGGAGGATCGAAGCCACGATGGATTGACAGAAGGTTGAATGAATTGGAGAGCTGCGGCCTTGCTGGCGCTACTGCCCAGTGTGGCCCCTCATGGACACGAGGCGCACGCCGCGCGGGCCAATCAAGGCGGCGCGTGACAGGAATGCGTGGTCCGCTGTAGCGCAAAATTTCCGGGGCGAAATTGACGAGCCCCTTTTTTCAGGCTGCTTTCCGCGTTCAGCCAGGTGGCCTTTCAGCGATCAGCTGGGGGGGGCCTGTTTGCAGGCGACGTCGCCCGGGGGCCGCGCTCGCTATTTCGGGTGTCACCTGTGCTACCTAACTGCTCCAGCCGCCGCTGGTTCGTACCTGATGGGATGTACGACTGCGGCTCGTCGAGAACCCAGATCCTGTCTCAGATGCATCCGTACGTAGGTACTCGCCTGTCTGGCTCGGCGCCCGCGTCGATGCCCCCCTCGGCAATGTGCCGCCAATGCCCGCGTCAATGCTCCCCGGGCCTTGGCGGCGGACCCTGCGCCCGAGCATTGACTGCCCCGTCGACGCTTCTCCCGCGGCGTCGATGCTTTGTCGCGGCGTCGACGTCGTCGTCGCGTCGATGCTGCAGATGCTTGTTCGCCGCAGGGGCTACGGCACAGAGTCCACTGGCGACAGCCCGGACCCTTGCGCTTGGGCGGATGGATCCGCCGCGTCGCCAATCGCCCCACTCTCGACGTCGCCTCCAACTCTGCCCAGATCTCGCCGTCACGACTCACGACGCACGTTGCCCTGTGGACGCGAGCTGGCATCAGCCCCGCTCAAGCCCTGTCGGACCGGTCGTCGACCAGCACGCCCATCAACGACACCAACATGCCCACCAATCCCATCAGGGGCACCGCCGCCGCCGCGACCGTCGTTGTCCATTACGAACGTTTACTTTCTTTGGTACAAAGGGAAACGGGACAACGCCGGACAGGATCTCCAAGTGGAGAGGAAGTCGCGGTTGCGTGTGCGTGTGGTCGTCGTGCGGATGCGTGAATGAGCGTAAGACAGGAAGAAGGGTTTGGTGCAGAACGCATAACGCCAATGCAAAGCTGTGGTCACATTTGGTCGCAGTACCCTAGCAGCGGCCGGCGTACAGACACAAGCGGGTAGACGTTGGGACTTGAGAAGCTGCGTTTGGACCGCGAGCTGCCGAGCTGCCAGCTGGCAGACAGCCAGTGAATAACTCAACCTCGCTTCGCGCCTCCCAGTGCCGACGAATGAGCTGCCAAATCAGATCTGTTCACGCTTTCGTCCAAAGTACAGCGTCCAGGCGCCTGTCTGCCAGCTCACGACCATGTGACGCATGCCTTTCCCATTTATTCCGTGCGCTTTCTTGCTCTGGTTAAAGCCCCAAACTTGTTCACGCAGAATCTTCCGGTTTGGCCATTACACAGTCCCATCTCTACCTCGTTACAACTCTCCGTGCCTTCACGCCGCCCCCCCTCCGTGAAAACTCCACCACATCACCATGTCCAACACTCGTGACGGCCAAGTCCGTGATCTGGACGATGTGGCACGCGAGATGAGACAAAACGAGCTGGAGAACCAGGATCGCGACTTCTCCTGGAGAAAGCAAGACGTGCAGGACGAGGCTGGCGCGCTTGGAGTCTTTCCAGGAGATGGAACAATTGCAGCAACAGCGTGATCATCAGGAGTACCAACGACAACTTGAGGAGGTTCAGCAACAGATTCATGAGCTTGAGCAACGACTGCATCGGCTGCGCACCCTCCAGATTGAGAATCAGTCAAACAAACAACGGGACAACCAGCACAAGCGCAAGCTTTTGGAGGAAGACCAGCGCCTGGACTTCCAGCAACACCAGGTCCGCGTGCAGCTCCAAGCAATCAAGGATCTCCGTGAGCTCGACGAGCGCCAGGCCGTCGAGCAGCAGCCGGAAACTCCGGCGTATTTCCCTCCCCAGGTATCTGACGATGATGGTAGGCTCATGCGGTGGCGTTGTCGCATTCAAGAATCTATTCGCTAACATCCTCACAGAGCCGGTCTCTGAATACACGTGCTCGCAAGTCTTCCCCTCATGGTGATGGTACAGGGTTCACATGTCGTTCGCAATGATTCCCACTGGATGCGAGTTGGAATTGGCTTCAAGCGAATGGACGAGAGCAATATGGCATGAGCATGGCTGGATTTGTATGGATAACGATTGACGCATTCAAAGGACTTCTGAATGTTGGCAAATACACCACAATTTATCTACCCGGCGTTGTCTTTAAGAACGAGTCAGTTAAAGTTTACGGCTGCTGTCAAGTCGACAATGCCCTCTGCTCTTCTTCTCTCGAGTTGGCCACATTTCATCCTTGACCGTTCAACACCCTCCTCCTTCATGTTGCCAACCACGGAGCAGCGGTGGCCCAAAAGATGATGCGCACGCCGAGGCCCTTGGCGTAGTCGACAAACTCATCCTTGGTGAAGAGCCTGCCGGTGTGCGGGTTGATCTTCTCCAGGTCTGGCTCCTGGACGGCGACGACGCTGATAGGAACCCTGTCGCGGTAGGCCGCGATGAACGGGTACGAGTTGCTCTCCTGCCCCCGCTGGAACGGAATCAGGTCCGGTCCGCCGACGCCAACGCCATGGCTTGCGTAGTAATCAAACGACGTGTTGAAGCGGCTGTTTGCGTTCGCCCAGCCGTCAGGCCAAAAGTTGACGTACTGCACGACGTAGGATGCGTTGAATGCCGCAGCCGCGTGGCCGGCGTTCTCAAGCTCGCCATAAAAGTAGCTCGCGTCGGTGTAGTTGTTTGCGTGGGTGTCAACGGAGATGGACGTCTCGGCGAGGTTGATGCCGTAGATGCGGCCGTCGAGCTGGCTGGCCATGGCGCTCAGGAGGGCCTGGAAGCGTTGTCGCACGCGCGGATTCCACTGCTGCGCCATCCAGCCGCTGACCTCAAAGTCGGTATCACAGGTCTCTCCATCGCAAGTGGGCGCGCTGCCGTTGTTGTACCCGGGCGTCTTCATGTACGACGGCACTGGGTCGTTGGCGGGGTTGAAAGTGCGGTCCTGAAGCTGGACCCAGAGCTTCTTGCCTTTGGCAGTGACAGTCTCGATGTCGCTCTCAATTGCCGAAAAGTTGTAAACTCCCTCGGCCGACTCAAGCGATTTCCAGCTGTAGAGGCCCTGGACACCGACAACGTCGGGGCGGTCAAGGAATTGCAGGGCGTCGGCAACCTGGCTGCTGTAGAGCCAGTGCTCGAGCCCGTGGACGAGGGGCAAGAAGGGGAGCAGCTTCATGGTGAGATGAGTTTTGCTCCATCATTGTCAAGTGTCAGCGGGTTACGCCGTAAATATACTCTTGAGGCTCGTATCGTCGGGAGTTGACCATCTCCACCGTCTAGCGTGAAAAGTCGTCGAAGGAGCTCCGCCACCACGCATTGACAGGCCCACTCAACACGAGGATTGCTGCCGATCGTTCGGTAATGGCATGGAGGCTTTGTCGACCCGCCTGGCCGAGCGCGATGGGTCGACTGACGTTGTCGATGGTTTTCCGAGCGTAGGCGATGTTCCACCACGTCGCATTGAGTGGCTGAACCTCGTGCCGGCCGTAGAAGAATCGCCCTGGGCCAGCTCTCATGCTAGTAAAGGAGTCCAAGGCTCGCGATACCTGCTGCAATTAGGACATTGCATGGCCTGGCGGAGAACACTGCAATCGTGGAGCCCGCGTGGTCTGGGCCGGTGCACATTCATGGCGGAATCTGCATGTCGTCAATGTCGACGCTCGGCCACTTCTCGCATGTCCTCAGGATTCCCCCCGCGCCGAGGGCCCGAGCCGCCTCTGCGCGCTCTCGCCCGCCAGAGAGGTAAAAGACGACGCCGCGGGTAAACTTGTCGCCCAGGTTCTTGAGCGTGTCCCTCATGCGCCTGATGGCCAGCAGCAGCACCTCGAGGTCGTCGCGGACGGCGGCCGAGCGCGCGCCCGAGACCGGGCAGAGGTGTTCCGTGATGAGCACGCGGCAACTCATGAACAAGAGCGCTGTGACCTGCCCGTTGTTGGCAAAGTCGGTGGACACGCGAGCCGCCTGGCGGACGACGGAGACGGTGCTTCGCGCGGCGGCCACGCAGTACGGCCAGTTGGCCGCCATGTCGCTTCCGTGTGCGTCCTCGCCGTCCTTGAGCGGGCGATGGTAAAGGAGGATCGCGCAGGCCGACATGACGATGCTGATCCAGACGACGCGCCCGTGATCCGGGTACTCGGCGGCAGCGAGGTCCGTGGCCGAAGCCGGCATGACGAGCCGGATGCGCGCGAGGCTAGAGGCGAGATCCTCTAGCCCCTCGGTCCCGTCGTCGCCAAACTGGGACGAGTAGAGATGCTCGCCGATGCGGCCCAGAAGCGCATACGCTAGAACGAGGCAGTGCAAGATGTTGCCGGCGCCCTGGCGGTGCTGCTCCTGGACGGTCGACGTGAGCTTGTCCAGGTCTGGGAAGAAGCGCTGCTGAACATGTGCGCGCGCCGGCTCGCTCTCGCCCTGGAACACGGCGTCGTCCATGGGCAGGTTCACGCGCAGCTGGCGGTCGTCGACGGCGTGCACGAGACCCATGGGAAAGCACATGCCGCGGTCGAGCACGAAGAGCATCCAGACGACACGTCTGCACTCCTCGCGCTCGACCCAACCGTCGCCCGGCCCGGCTCCGAGCGCGGGCATGGTCAGCTTAGTACCCGCGTCGACGGCGCTGCACCCGATGGCGACGGCCTTGCGCCACGCCTCGCCGAGAACGAGCCACGACGTCGAAAAGTCGGTCTGCACCGTCGCTTGGTAGATGACGAGGACGGCGGCCTGCATCGTCTGCAGCGCGCGCTCCGGCGAGTGCATCGACCGCGAGAGGTGCGCCTTGGCCGCGGCGAACCAGCCGCCCTGTCGCCTCTGGATGTCAGGGCTCGGGTGCGCGTCGGCAGCCACTGCACAGATGGCGTATAGCAACACGGGAGCCGTCCCGTCGGCCGGGAGCCTGCCGACCAGCGTTGGCCTGTGGATGACGGGCAGGTACGGGTAGAAGCGCTCAAAGAAGATGTCTACGAGCTGCAGGAGGACCGGCAAGGCTGGAAGCTCTTCTTCTTGGGGGCCGTCACCCGGCGACGCCGACTTTTGCGGCGACGGGAGCACCTGCGCGTCGAGCTGGAAGCCGCCGTCCAAGCCCATCCACAGCTGCTCCCCCGACAGGCCGAGGGGGAAGCCCACGTTCTCGCCGGAGTTGCCGGACAGCGCGTGCCACGGCTGGTCAGCCGCCGTGAGGGCCCAGCCGACCGGAGGACCGCTCGTCAGGTCAGAGCCGAAGACGCAAAGCTCTCCGCGCTTGAGGCACGCCGAGCAGGCCGGCCGCGCTCCCTGGACATGTCAGCGGTGGACGCACGCCTGGTCGCGCAACGCACGCACATCACATCTCTTCTTTCGCGAGCGGCAGCCGGCGCACACGTTTTGCGACTTGGCAGGGGTGGACATGTCAAGTTGAAGACGGTGATGAGGGGGCAAGCCAATTGAGATGCTGAGTGAGGTTGTCCGGCGTCACGTGCGCGCCAATGCCTGGTGTACTCCACGACAAGATCGGTAATAAATCCGCGCCTCTATATGTAGACTCGGCAGCTCATTCCATAGTGTATATACTGACATGGCCGTCTACTCGAATAGGAAGCTGGTCTTGCTGTCTCCCACCAGGCGCCCGCCGTTCGACTCGACTATGCCGCCCGTGGTGAAGGTGTCCTTCATGCAGTAGAGGTATGCCTCGGCGACCTCCTCCGGCCGCCCGACCGTCCCCGTGATGCCCTCCTTCCTCATACTCTCCAAGACGGCGTCCATGCGCTCCTTAGGTATGCTGTCAAAAAGCTCCGTCTTTACGGCGCCGACCATGATGCAGTTGACGCGCACCGGCCGCAAGCTGATGGCGCACCCGCGCGCAAACGCCTCCGAGGCGCCACCCCCGGCGGCGATGACGGCCCAGTCCGGAGCGGGCCGCCAAGCGTTTGTCCCGCTGGTAAGGGTAAAGGAGCTGCGGACGCTGATGTTGATGTACTTGGGCAGGTGCTTGGCGAGCATGACAGACCCGACCTGGCGCACGGTACCCAGCTTCTGGAGGCTGTCCACGGTAATGTCCTTGAGAGGAATGACGTTGATGGCGTCTCCGGCCGTGAAGACCACGTGGTCGAGCTTGCCCTCTTGTGTAGCAAACTCGAGCAGCTGGACAATGTTGTCCTCGACTGTGTCGGGGTTGCCGAGGTCGCATGTCTGGGCCGTGACGGTCGACGACACGCCAACTGCCTGGGCGTGCTCGCGGAGGCGTGCGGCGGCCTTGTCGAGTTTCTTCTGACTGGAGCTGCTGATGACGACGTGCGCGCCGTGCTCGAGAGCGGCCTCGGCGACGCAGAAGCCGATGCCGGTCGAGCCGCCGAGGACGAGGACGCGGTGGCCCTCGAGCTTATTAATGTACTTGGCCATGGTGTGCAATGATGTTGCTTAAAATTCGAGATGGGGGCTGCTGAGATGCTTGCGCAATGGCAGCTGCCACGACGCTTTTATAATGAGTGCCGCTCCCGGGCTGGCGACTGAGGCAGCCCGGGATCTGCGCCGTGTCTGACCCGTCTGTCGGCGACAGTGGGGCCGCCGCCGCTAGCGTCGCCGCTCGCCGCCATCCACCGCTAACCCCGCAATCTCCAGCCCCGTGGCCGTGGCCACGGCCGGACTTACAGCCCGGCGCTGGGGCACGTAAAGACGCGATTGATCTCGCCCACGGTAAACTGCTACAGGATGAGCACATACAGCGCGACGGGGGGGCAGGTCGCACTCCTTGTGCGGACGTGACATCCCAGCAGATGACGGCGAAGAAGGCGTTGAAGACGGCCAAGCAACGCCAACACTGCGCCATCAGCGGCCGGTGCATCGGTTGCTTACGGGACAAGAAAATTGATGTCATCTGTGACACAAGACACCCAGCGGCCCAAGCGACATCTGGACTGTCAGTACATACGTACACATCGCACACAAGCCGTGGGTCAGACACTCACGCAGGATGCTACACCAGGCGCTCCAGCCCTCGGCCGTGTGCTCGCGCACATGCCTCGATTCGGAGAAGAGGCGGAAGAAGACGAGCGGCAGGTGAGGGACGCGTACAGGGCGCTGAGGATGACCGTCGTCGGCACCATGAGCGGAAAGGACATGGTCTTGGGCATGGGCTCTCGAGGCCGCCAAACGCGGGCAAAGTCACATACTGTGTGCCCGTGTACTTGTATATGGCGATGCCAATGGGGCAACGGCGTGCTAAAGGTGCGCGGCAGCGAGGCAGAGGATATGAAGACCGTCTTGCAAACCGGAGAGCTCGAAGGCTCGAGCACCGTCTCAACTCCCGAGGCGCCGTCCTTGCCGGCCTGGAGGCGCTTCGCCACTCTTTAATCATGGCTCAATCGCATCTGCGAGGCGTAGGAGCAGGGTAACCCGTGGGCCGCGATCCATGGGCCGAGGTGTGAAGCGCGTACGCTGGTACGTGTTGCGGCTCACGGCCGAAACAATTGTCGCTCGACGACCTCGACGGCCCCGCTCGCTTCAAGCGCCGCGTAGAATAATGGCCAAGACAGACCAGACGATTTGAGGCAATTGGCCTGTCCGTTGTCAAGTGGCGCGTGTGCTGTTGGTGACGATGCGCCAGGCGTGGTGTTGACCGCCACCGAGGGTGCTCCACTGGTCGCCGTTGGCCCACACTGCACCACGCGTGACACAAGCGCCTGCCCAGCCACTTCTTCTCATCCGAGCTCCCAGCCTCCACTTTCAGGCTTCCACCAGCGCTTCACGGAATGTCAGGGGGACCCGGCGGCCTTAAGGCACGCCAACTCTCCTTCCCATGTCCATGGAGCGCCGGCCGGACCAGTAGTCCTTGACAGCTTCCCTGCAATTGCCTTCTCGCGCTCCTCCACCGATGCCATTTGTCGCCAACACGCCCGAGTCGCTGCTCGGCCGCTCCGACTCCAAGAACCCGAGCTCGACCTGCCGCGGCATCACGTCCAGTGGCAAGCCCTGCCGCCGCGGCATCGCCCGCGCCGCCAACTCGACGCTGCGCCCGCCCCGACGACCTGACCCTGCCGACGAGACCTTGTACTGCTGGCAGCACAAGGAGCAAGCGAGCGTGTCGGCGCACTCGAGCCCAGGGCCGACGGGCCACGCGCGCCCCATCCTCGAGGAGCGCTCCAGCCTCGACACCCTCGCCGACAGGCTGGGCCTGGTGACGCTGCATGCGGACGGCAAGCACCAGAGCGAAAAGCCCGATGGCGGCAAGCCCGCCGGAAGACCCAACGGGGGTTCGTCTTCGCCTCGCCTGACGCGGCCCAAGCCCAAGCAGAAGCGCCAATGCTGCCTATGCTTCTCCGTTCCTCTGGAGCAGGTGCAGGAGTCGCCGCCCCCGAGGCCCCGCCCTCGTCCCCAGCCTCGGCCCGTCCAGCAGACCGCCGCGGTGCCGCCCTCCGGCAGGCCGAGTAAGTCTCGCCCATACGACGCGGCCACCTCCCCGGGCAAGAGTTCGCACAGGTCCCGCAGATCCAACGCCTCGCAGACGGCCCGCCTCAAAGACCTGATCCCCGACACCGTCGACGCGACCACCGCGTCTGCCCTGCTCGCCGAGCTGGCCCGGCCGTACGCCGACGCCGAGGAGCCGGGCTACATCTACATGTTCTGGCTGACGCCGGCGTCGCGCCAGGCCGCCCCGCCCGTCGACGCCGCGCGGTCGCTGCTCTCGCCGCCGTCGGCACCGTCGTCACGGCGACGCCCCAGCGACGTGGTGTCACAGTTCGCGGACCCGGGCGCCGGGACCGGCGAGGCAACGATGCTCCTAAAGATCGGGCGCGCGGCCAACGTGCAGCGGCGAATGAACCAGTGGCAGCGGCAGTGCGGGTACGACATCGAGATGCTGCGGTACTACCCGTACGTGGCCGGTGCGAGCGACGCCTCGGCCGCGTCGACGGGTGGCGCTGCCCCGCGCACGACTCCGCACTGCCGCCGCGTCGAGCGCCTCGTCCACCTGGAGCTCGCGGGCATGGGGCTGCGCGCCGCCATGGGTAGCTGCGAGGCGTGCGGGCGCGACCACCGGGAGTGGTTCGAGGTTGCGGCCACGCGCGAGGGCATCCGCCGCGTCGACGACGTGATCCGGCGATGGGTCGAGTGGGATGAGCGGGAGACGGCTTAGCTGGAGAGCAAGGAGCATCGTGACGGGAGAGCAACCAACAACAGTGCATTGGCTACCTAGGATGGCGAACACATGGACATTGGAGGGACGTTTCGGGCGGCAGCATGAATGGGCGTCATTTGCAGAGAGCATAGCAACGGCATTTTGGCGCACGGCAGCATACACGGCGTATTCGAGTTTCATAGATTTCGCAAATGAGGCACGCAGCTAGTGCGCCCGTCATCCTTCATGAGATGTGACAACTCCCCCATTCTGTGTCGGGTCGAGCGATCGCGGTTGAGCGCGGTCAAAGCGTTGGGCCCGTCTGTCAGCTGTCCACGAGCCCGTGCCCGCGCGGCAGTCGGTGCCAGGCGCCTGCAGATTAGCGCAGCCACCCGACGCCCCGCCTCGATCGGCGCTCCACCCCCGCACGGCGCCAAGCCAACTGTGTGTGTAAGTCTGTTTGTACTTCGTACTTCATCCGTGTAAGTCGCGATGGGCGCGCCCGCCGGGATCCATGTTCGACATGCCCTCAGTTGGCTGCGGCCCAGCGGTGGCGCACAGTCAACTCCGCGCCTGGCGTGCAAGCGACCACGAGCGCACGGCTCAGTTGCGCACAAGCCTTCCAAGTGCCGTCCGCCCACTTTACATGTTTGACTCGTCACGTCTCACGTCTCGAGCAGGGGCTGTCTCAAAGTACAAACATGCTTCGTGCCCAGTGTTGCGGCTCGCAGCAAATGGTATCAATTAATGACCGACTAATCCTCAGTGTAATAAAGTATTGACTCCTCCAAACCGTAGATACACCCTGGTATATAGACATGCGTCATTAATGCGGTGTGCTTGGCAGTGGCGGGTTCCGTCCGTGGTGAGCGTTGCTGGCGTGCGCTGCCGTCTAGGCGGCGGCCGGCGCCGCGGGCTTCTCCTCCTCGTGCCCCTCCATCCTGTCGACGGCCTTCTTGGCGCCCTCGAGGTCGCCGCGCTCGACGCGCGACGTCGACGCGGTCACGACACCTGTCTTCCAGGCAGGGGTGCCCAGGTACTTGATGCCGTTGGGGTCCTCGAACATGGCTTCCGTCTCCTCGAGCGTCTTGCCGGCCGTCTCGGGGAAGACGAAGTAGACGTGGAAGAGGGCGGCGACGTTGAAGATGCCAAAGATGAGGTAGGTCCTCCACTTGATGTTGGCAAAGGCCGGGGGCACAAACTCGCCGAGTGCCGTGTTGAAGGCCCAGTTGGCCGAGGTGGCGAGCGCGCAGCCCTTGCCGCGGAGACGCAGGGGGTACAGCTCCGGCGGGTACGTCCAAGAGACGGGGCCCCATGTGGGAGCAAAGGACGCCACGAAGAGGTAGGTGACGGCGATGAGGGCCTTGGCGGGCGCGCCCGAGAGCTTCATCGACTGCGCGGCCACACCGTCGATGCCGCCGGGGACGATGACACCGTACTTAGCGAGGATGCCGGCGGCCGCGAACATCCAGATGGTCATGAAGATGGAGCCGATCATGAGGGTCGGGCGACGGCCCCAGCGGTCGACCCAGAGCAGGGCGGGGATGGTCATGAGGACGTTGACGACGTAGGTGATGGACGAGGAGAGGAGGCCCGCGTTGCCGCTGTAGCCGGCCATGGAGAAGATGTTGGCGATGTAGTACATCATGACGTTCATGCCCGTCAGCTGGGACCAGATCTGGGTGAAGAGGCCGATGAAGGTGCGGTTCAGCATCGACTTCTTGAAGAGGTCGAGGTAGGTGACGTCGGAGTGGCGGCGCTCAAACTCGCACATGTCCTTGATGTCCTGGAGCTCAAAAGCGACGAAGGGGTGGTTGGGGTCGCCCTTGCCGTGAACCAGCGTCAGGACGTCGCGGCAATCCTCCCAGCGATCCTTGCGGGCGAGCCAGCGAGGCGACTCGGGCAGCAGCATCATCATGAAGAAGAGGAAGACGGCGGGGATCATCTGCAAGCCCCAAGGGATCCTGAAGGACGAGGTCGAGTACTCCTGGGCGTTCTGCTTGCCGATGTGGGAGCAGCCGTACGAGATGTAGTACATGATGAGAATGCCCCAGGTGATGGCCCATTGCTGCATGCCGATGAGGCGGCCACGCTTGGAGGGGGGCGAGATCTCGGCGATGTAGACGGGGACCTGGGCGGACTCGATACCGACGCTGATACCGTTGATGATGCGACCGACGACGAGCATGCCAATGTTTTGAGAAGCGCAAATGATGGCGGAGCCGATCATCCTGCCCAGCGGTCAGACCCGGAAGTCAAGACACGGGGCGAGAGACAGAGAGATACACGTACCAGACAATGCAGCCGAGCATGATGGAGTACTTGCGACCCATGCGGTCAGAGACGGGACCGGAGATGAGGGCGCCGAGCCAGGAGCCGGCGGCCATGGAGGAGGTAATGCCGCCCTGCTTGCTCGAGGTCGGCCCGCTGCAGTACGGCTTGTCGTTGAAGGGGGGGCCGTCGGGGCCCTGGTTGAAGTAGCATTTGTAAGACTGCTCGCCGAGCTGGGCCGACAGCGACGAGATGTCGAAGCCGAAGAGGCCGCCGCCGACGACGGAGACGGCGGCGATAACGTAAATGTTGCCAATCACCATGGTGACTTGGATGTCCTTTGCTTGTGTGCGGTCAGATGAAGCGGACTCATGTGAGAGATCATGAGGGGTCCAGGGCTGAAGCACGGGAGCAGGGACGCGGGCCAGGGTCGGGCTTATATACGGGCTGCCTGGCGAGCGACGCGGCGCTGCGCTGCTGCCCTCGGCCGAGCACCGCGTCTGGTCGGTCGGTCGGTCTGCTCACGAGCCCAGACGAGCTCCTGATGCCCGTTCGCCGTCCCCTGCCGGTGGCTCGGTGCAGTGAGGCGCCCATGCTTCGCACACGGGTTGCATGGGGTTGGCGCCACCGGATGCAGCTAACCCCCCCCCCCCCCCCCCCCCCCCCAAAGGCCGGAAAGTCACCGCGCCCAAGTACTCAAACCACGCCACAGGGGAGGGGGGCCCCCTGGGGCAGTTGGCATGTCGCCCACCCCGGACGCCCCTCCGATCGACTTGACCGGAAGCGGTGCTTTTGCGAACGGCGCCACGAGGGATGATGCGGGCGACGTTGGTTGTCTTGTTGCGCCAGGGGGCAACGTCCAGGGCATCTAGATGATGCTAGTGATGACGATGATGATGATGATGATGGCGATGCATAGGTATGATGATGATTATCATCCTGCAGGGACTACCCTAGCCAAGACGACGTACCGGGCAGCCGTCGAGCCAAGCCGCCTGGCGAGCGGCAGACCGGCAGTAGCAGATGCCCCAGGCGTTTGGTCAGCGCCCAGGGCCAGGGGCGCTTGGCAGGGACGGCAAACGTCTTCGCGGGCGGCGCCGCCGCGGGCGCTCGAGTGGCGGTCGATCTGGCTGCACCACCATCAGCCCATCGGCAGCGGCAGCCCACCCAGCAACAGACGAGGCGGCCCCGCTGGAGACTGGTGGCTCGCATGTCGCTGGCACGGACTGGCACGGGCTGGCATCCGTAGATGGCTTGACGGCTCATGGCCGGCCCACCCGTCGTCCCCGGCGCCATGGCCAGGGAGAAAGGGAACAAGGGAGAAGGAGAAAAAAAACACAAAAAAACAAAGACCTGAGGTGTGGGCTGCAGAGAGGGAGTGGGCTCAGTGGAGGCCGGGGTGCATGCCACTGCCTGCCATGCTTTTGGCGGAGAGCCAACGGCAGAGGCCCGACGACAGCCGCTGGGCGAAGCGTGGCATGGCCAACGACACGGGGCTCCACGATCGCCCACTCCACGGCGGGCGTGAGAGGCGGGCAGGCTGGCAGGGGACAAATGTCGCCGAAGATGCGCCGCCACAGGGGCATGCGGGCGAATTGGAGATGTCGGCCTTCGGCAGCGTGCTTCCGACAGCCTGCGCCGCCGGGCGGGTGGGCTTCCAGGTGCCTGTCCGGCGCCGTTGCCGCCTCGAGCGTCGACACTGGGCTTCCAAGGTTGAGGCTTTCCAGCCTTGGACGCATCGCAGGCGCCATCCGCGACGGCGGTTGCTCACGCGCCCCGTCAGAGCCTGCCGAGGGCCCTCCACCAAGCAGCCCACTAACAGCCCGGCAGCCAGCCCAGTGCAGGCGATTCAGGCACCCCCGTCAATCGCTCCCGCAGGCGCTGGCTCTCGCTGCCAATGGACACGCAGAGTGCACCGCACCCACGGTGCCCAGGTGGGGAGACTCGGAAGTTTATACAGTGGCCTCCCCCCAAGCGACCGCGCCAATCGCTCGCGCCGACGGGGCGCCCTTTTTGAGCATCGGCCGCACCCTGCAACGCGTGCTTGTTGGGCGATTCGGAGCATCTGATCGTGGGCTATTGTTTTGCGTCTTGTCTCGCCGTGCGGTTCTCCCATAGTCCCATTGTCCCGTCCCGTTGTCCCGTTCTGCCCGGCCTGTATGCTGTCGCGTGACGAACCCGACGTTGAGATCCGGCGCCTCGATAGGTACCGACCCGCCGACGGGATCGGAATCCCGTCGGGCATGACGTCGCGGCGCTGGCAGTTGACCGCGCCAGGACAGTTGCCGGCACATCGATGCTCGGGCGTTGGGGGCTGCCGGCTTGGCTGGTGTTGGCGCTGGCGCTGGCGTTGTTGGCGTTGTTGGCGCTGTTGGCGTTGGCCGCCCGCGACCATTGCCGGCGCCGTCGACGCCCAGGGTGCAAGCCCCCCCGGCTGAGGTTGGCCAGGCCGGCGGCAGCCCGACCTACAGGGGTCGAGCTGGACCTCATCTGCTTAAATCACCGACGGCTTCACGACGACGCGCCACGCGCGCCGAGTGACAAACTCACGCTCCCGTACCGCGACCATTCGCTCGGTATCGCGGCGGCCAGATGGCAGCCGGCCAGGTCGGATGGCATCTGGGTCGAGCGTTGGGACGGGATGCGCAGGAGGGGTCTGGGGACGGGATGCGGGGACAATACGACGACGGCCCTCTCTCGACACCATCCGATGCCTTCACCCTTGTCGGATCCAGCGTCCTGTGTCGATCCTCCTCATCCCCTCTCGCAAGCCATTCGCTCGTCGTCGCGACGGTGCGTTGGTCCCTACGCCGCAGAAGCTCCGTCCGATGGTACGCTGGCGAGCCGCAGATGGATGTCGTTTGCTGCCGCGCTGCGGCGAGGCCACCGCCTCTTGACGTGCCTTCCTGATACAGCACGACTGGGACGAACATGAGTGTGGTGCACTGCAGAGTGCAGACAGTATTCTGTGCAGCGGCGGCGGCGGCGGCTGCTTGATCGGGCGCCCTTGGCAGAATGACTGACAAGCTCGACATGCATCCACCTTGCCGCCCCAGGACGCGCGGAGAGATCACCACAGCACATGGCAGAGGCGCATGGCAGCGTGCCAGAGACGGGATTCCAGGTTGACAGCTGCGTGCCCGCACCCCCACCCAGACGCGGATGCGACCCTGCAATGGAAGCCGTATGTCGCCGCCGACGAGCAGCCCCGGCCAACTCTGCCCGCGTCCTGCGCCGTCCCAGGCAGGCAGGCGAGCCAGACAGCGCCCAGTCGCACGCAGAGCCGCGGGTGCCGTGACTCGCGGGGTACGAGTGCTGGGCCGCCCGGTTTTACGACGGTCGCACCACCAGGCTTGACGAGGCTCGTACGAAGCTTGTGTGCAAAGTAAGATGTGTGTGTGTGTGCGTGCATGTGTGCGTGTGTGACTGAGTACCTACCTATGTGCGTGTGTACGAATACGTTCTCGTACACAACACCATCCCCCCGGACGAGAGGTCGATGCCCCTCCCCCCCGGCCCCCACTGGGCCCAGCGGCCAGCAGCCCCTGCCCAGTCTGGGCAGTCAAGGATGCCAGTCAACCGGGCAGTGGAGGCCCTTCACTGGGAGAGACCCAGACAACCTCAGCTGGCCCCCAGGGAGTCGCCCAGGGACCCGCCCGAGCCGACCCAAAGCCGGCGAACCACGCCGTGTCGACCCACCCTACGCGCCCCAATCACCGCCGTCGGCCCACGACGGCCCGACATCACGAGCCTGCTCGTCACGGGGCCATGGCCTCTTGCGGCATCTACAGCGAACTCTCCGCTCCTCTGCTCCTCGGGCTTCCTCGTGCTCCTGTGCGCATCTTGCCCGCAGGCGGGCTCGGTCCCACCATCATCGGCCCTCGAGCTCGGTGGCCCCTCCCCGCGTCGCGCGACGTCCCCATCCCATCCCGTCCAATCCTCGCTCCTTCGCCAAACTCGTGTGCTACTGTGCAGTACAGTACTTCGCAGAGCACAGCGCGGTACGAGACCTGCAAGGTTGCGCCCTCGCGAGGGTCGCCCGCGTGCCATGAGTGGCCGCCGTCACGGCTGGCCACCACTCTGCGCGACGTGTCATCGCATCCCCCGGACATTGCGACGCGGGCCCGGCTGCCGACGGCCCCATGGCCCCCATGGATCCTTCGCCGCCGAACCCAGAAGCTTGTCGTCTCGGGACCGTGGCATGTCGCCCTGGTGCCATTTCGTCAGCGGCAACGGCGCGAGGGTGGACACGCCGACACCGAAGGCCCGAAAGCTCTGCGGCGGCTTCCACAGCTCATCCCACCTCTGTGCCCTGCGCGTTGTGGCGTGCCTCCTTCGCCTCGGTGAGCATCCGTCTCGACAGGAGCCGACAACTCCGTGGCCAGCTGGTCGCGCCCGCGGTGCCTTAAACTCCCCGCGCGCTATTGGAGACGTGGTGGTGGCACTGTTCGGCAGGCGTTAACCATAACGAGTTATGGCCGCGCCAAAGGCCTGCCGGCGTGTCATGTGTCCGTCATTGGGACGCTTCGGCGTCGACGACTGCACGGGGTATACCCTTCGGGTCCTCGTAAGAGCGACTACTACCCCGGAGAGCCGTCGAGGCATCAAGAAGCACTGTGCCGCCTCCACGCCTCGTCGACTCAAGCCAGCAGCAACAGCGCCTGTCCAGGTCCTTCGCTTCGAGATAGACATGATCGCGACACTTATGCAGCCGAACTAGCGCCCATGTCCCTGGCTTGCCAGGGCGAGGCCGAGCGCCACATGCGTCGCAAACCGTCGAGGCTGTCAAGCCGTCACCGCGCCTTGACTTTGGGCCATGGGCCCGACGGCTTGACGGGCGCACAAGCTGGCCTCTACCCCCTGTCCTATGCTTCGGACGGCTTCAGGGCCCGAGTCTAGGTTAACCGTGCATACAGCAGCTCAAACAGCCACCTGCGTGACAGTGCAGAGCTTCTTCTACCCGAGCGCCGGTGCATGCCCCTCGAGGCAATACGTCCGAGTCGCAAGGCACGGCCCGCGCATGCCGGGTCGTAGCCAGACCCGACACGCCATCTTGCGCGCCAGCCCACGGGGGCTCCCGCTAGGTTCGTGGCAAGGCAGACTCTCGAGCACCATGCCCTTTATTACACAGCAGGTACGCAAATAAAGCAGTGGGAGGTCATTATGATTAATCGTAAACTAATAAAGCATGTCACAGAGGACTGCAGGTGAACCCCTTTGGCGAGTGCACGTTCTCGCATTTGTACTTGTCGAGCACATCGCCCCTGACGTTTTTGATGTCGATATTGGTCGCCTCGATGTTGTCGCAGCCGCCGGCGGCCGAGCTGCATTGAAAGGAGCCAGCCTCCTTGACGTCGTTGATGACGGTGCCCCGGACATTGCGCCAGGCGACGTTGCTAATCTTGAACTTGCTCGAGTTGCAGTCCTTGCCGGCCCAGCCCGAGTAGTTCTCGCACTGCCAGGAAAAGAAGGGCTGCTGGCGCAGGCGCTCAATCACGATGTTCTCCATGACAATGTCCTTGGCCTCACCCACGCCGCCGCCACCACCGTTGGGGGGGTAGCCGCGCGAGACGCCAGCCCAGGTCTTGATGTAGGAGACGTGGGCCGTGTTTCTGAGGGTGATGTTGCGGGCGTAGAAGCCGCGGACAAAGTCGTAGCGCTTGTCGTACTGGGCCAGGGAGCCGATGGCGACGCCCTGGCCATCCTCGAAGACGCTGTCGTAGACGCGGATGTTGGACGAGTCCATCTTGGTGGCGATGGCGTCGTCGCCATTCCGGACATACCAGCGGCGGAAGGTGATGCTGTCGGACCAGATGGTGTCGCAGCCGTCCGTGTTGAGCGTATTCCACTTGCTGTTGGAGACGCTGCTGACGTAAATGTCGTCCATTTGAACATTCTTGGAGTTGGTGATGGCCATGGTCCACATCTGGCTCTGCACGAAGCGCATGCGCTTGACCGACGAGTTGGTGAGCTTGTCAAAGTTGATGTTCATGGGCCGTCGCGGCAGGTTGCCCTCGCTCTTGGCCCAGTCGTACCAGACCTGGCCGTTGCCGTCGAGCGTGCCCGTGTTGTAGCCGTCCCAGACGACGCCGTCGCCGCCAAAATACCACACCGTCGACTGGTTCTGGAAGCCGATGGGCATGGACACGGAGAGCCAGTAGTCGATGTCGGTGGACCAGAGCATGCGGCCGAGCTGGTGGATGTGAACGTCCTTCAGGCCTCGCGTCGTCATGTTCGACTTGATGTTGTACGTGGCGCCCGGCAGGGAGATGAAGCCCTTGGTCTTGCACTTCTTGAAGGCCGCGGCGATGGCGGGCGCGTCGTCGCCGCCGTTGGGGTCGGGCATGACCTCGCAACAAGCCCGCCCCTGGCTCAGGCAAAGCTTGCGCAGGCTTTCTCTCGTGGGCAGGCCGTCGCTAGGCTGGCGACTCCGGACAAAAGTCCCGTCTGAGGCGGCTGGGACGGCCAGGGCCGAGGCCTGGAGCAGCGAGAGGAGGGCTGCTTTGACAAGCATCTTGACCTTGGGCGCCGACAGTCACGGTTCTGCAACAGGAAGAAGCCTTTTTTGACGAGAGGAAGGGGGGTGCGTGCGGGAGGGGAAATGAATGGGGAGGTGGTGCTTGGTAGACGGTCAGCGAGGGCAGGCCAGATATATACTAGGCAAAGGACAATGCCGTCTAGGTCTCAAAGGGTTCACGGCGGTAGCTTGCGGACGAGGAGGAGGCCCGGGGCTATGGCACAACGGAGCCACAAAGCTTGGATGCATGGACGAGATAATATATTTTTGTCCGCGTCCTTCTTGGCGAACAAGCTCGGGCCAAAGATCCGCACCCCGGCGCCACATCTGCGGAGGAACTGCTCGCGAGAAGCATCATATGACCGGCACTCGTCTGGATCAGGCGGCGTGCGGCGGCGAACCGCATCATGCGTCTGCACGAACGTAGCCAGTCGCAGTTTCGCCAGGGGGCACAATGGGCATGGCGAACGACGCTGCGCGACGCTGCGCGACGAGTCGATGACCCCGCACGAGATCGTGGGCACCACGGCAGGGGAGGCCTCGGAGAAGGTGTGTTCATCCGCCATGTCTTGTGTTTGCGGACGGACGGACAAGGCACCAGGTGATGGTGGTGTATTTGGGTCGGTGGCGGCGGCAGAGTGGCCCCCCCATGTCCCCCTCCCCTCTCAAAGCGTGCTTGGACGATACGCACCGACCACAGCCAGAAAGGGAGACGAAATGAAGATGGGGGCATCGGCATGCAGCGCCCTCGACGTTGGTTCAGACGGCCCACCGCACGGATGCCGGCTCCAGCGCGCGCGCGCACGCAAAATAGATGAGCTCAGGGGTAAGGCTGGTGGTGATGAATAGACTGTGAGCCCACTTGACGCCTCCACGAGCGAATGACGTCGAGGGCGCATTGTCTGCGGACAATCCAAATCCAAATCCAATGCAATCCGCACACGGCGGAGGCGGCGCCGCCGCCCATCCCCTTGCCCTTGCCGCTAGATCAGAAAGGTCGCGTGTCTTGTTCTCGTGTCTTGCCCGGCCAGGCCCCCTCGCAGTGGCCCGGCAGGGTGCACCCGGGGTCGGTTCATCATGCGGCGCGGGCGGGACCTTGCTTTGTCGAGCCGTTCGCCCGCCCTGATGCCTGCGTGGTCGGTGTTAGACACGGCCGCGGCCCGCGGGAATAATTTAGGTCGACGCCCGTCCCGTCCGCGATTCCAAACGCTCTGTTTCCCCGCATGGTGCGGGCGGACAGGCCGACAGGCGGGCATCGTGATCGGGGGTCATTCGTAGGGCTGCCTCGCTAGGGACGGCCGGGGGGTTAGTTCCCCGCATCGTGATAGCCGACGCGGTAGTTGGCAAAGGGAGGAAAAAAAGATTGAGGCGTGGTGAGTGGCCACACACATGTCCGTCTCGTGATGGCCGAGTGGGGGGCCTCTGCTGTTGGGAGATGCAGGGTTCCTCGTTGGCGTCGCCGGGGTGTAAGGGACTCGGGCGAGCTTCGGCCGAATGGCGGTGCGTGCGGCCGTGGCGGACTGTTGTCGTGGATTGTGATGCCACACGGACAGAGCAACCTTGGAAGTTTGCTGGAGGGGCCCAGCTGCCTGACCGGGTTTCCGATGCGAGGCAGGTGGCTGATGCCGCGCTCCTCCTTCGTACTGCCACGCACGCTTGGCAGGGGCAAGGCGCTGTGCCGCGTAGGTACCTACAAACTGGCACGGCACTGTTGCTGGATGTCGCACCGCCACACCGCCCCTCCAAGCCATCTGCTGCTGTGGCGGGCGCTGTGGCAGATGCTGTGGTCGTGCGCGCCGCTCATCAACGCTAGGTACTGTGGCGCCAGCCTGGCAGCGATGTCGGTGTGCTCCCACTGCGTGCCCGCTGGCCAGCACTCTGCTCTGGGCTCCCGCCCAGGTACTCTGCTCTGGTGGGGGCGGGGCCGTGACTCAATCCACCTACTTCGCAGTAGTCTTCCCAATGCCTCCGCCCTCCAGGCGTCATAAGTTATAACCACCACAACTCACCTCTGGCACGACACGTCCCATCGCCATCGCACGCACCATGGCGCCCCCGAGCCAGCCCGATCCCACAATTGACCTCGACTGGGGGGCCTACCGCGGCGGTACGAGCCATTGACTGACCCCAAGTCCAGACCAGGCCTCACTGACCGCTGGCAGCCATCCACGAAATATTTGCCTCCAATGCGGCCCAGTTCCCCGACCGCACGTGCGTCGTCGAGACGAGAAGCTCCCGCGGCCCCGAGCGCACCTTCACTTACCGACAGATCAACGAGAGCTCCAACCAGCTGGCCCATCACTTTCTCGCCAACGGCTGCCAGGTCGGAGATGTCGTCGCCATATACGCCTACCGAGGGTCAGTGGCCCTGTCTCCCCCGCCCCGATCTACCATCCCGCGCACAGCCGCTGACACCCTCGCAGCGTCGATCTCGTCGTCGCCTATATGGGCGCCCTCAAGGCCGGTGCCACTGTGAGCGTTCTCGACCCCCAGTACCCGCCCGAGCGCCAGAAGGTCCTGCTCGAGGTCGCCAACCCGCGCTTCCTCGTCTGTATCCAGCGCGCCATTGACGAGTTTGGCGAGCTCTCGGCCCTCGTCAGGGACTTTGTCGCCGACAGGCTGCAGATCAAGAGCACCGTCCCGGCCCTGCAGCTGCTCGACGACGGCGGCCTCAAGGGCGGTGACGGCCAGGACGTGCTCGCCCCGCACGCGTCCGCCCGCGCGCAGGTGCCAGACGTCGTCGTCGGGCCCGACTCCATCCCCACCCTCAGCTTCACCAGCGGCTCCGAGGGCCGGCCCAAGGGTGTCCAGGGCCGGCACTTCTCCCTGACCCACTACTTCCCGTGGATGGCCGAGCGCTTCGGCCTCTCCGACAAGGACAGGTTCACCATGCTCTCGGGCATCGCCCACGATCCCATCCAGGTGCGACAAGGCTCTGCTCTCCCGTGGCTCGCACGAGGCTGACACAAAGCGCAGCGAGACATCTTCACGCCTCTCTTCCTCGGCGCCCAGATCGTCATCCCCCCCGCGGAGCTCATCAGCTATGAGCTGCTCGCCGAGTGGATGCGGGACCACCGCGTCACCGTCACCCACCTCACTCCCGCCATGGGCCAGATCCTCGTGGGCGGCGCCGTGACGCAGTTCCCGACGCTGCGCAACGCTTTCTTCGTGGGCGACCTGCTGACCAAGAAGGACTGCCGCAAGCTGCGGGACCTGGCGCCCAACGTCCGCATCATCAACCTGTACGGCTCCACCGAGTCGCAGCGCGCCGTCTCCTTCTTCGAGATCCCGAGCCAGAACGAGGACGAGGCCTTCTTCGAGGGCTTGCCCGACATCATGCCCGTCGGCCAGGGCATGCGCAATGTGCAGCTGCTCGTCGTCGACCGCGACGACCGCAGCAAGCTATGCGGCATCGGCGAGCAGGGCGAACTCTTCATCCGCGCTGCCGGTCTCGCCGAGGGCTACCTGGGCGACGACGAGAAGACGACCCAGCTCAACCGAGACAAGTTCCTGACCAACTGGTTCGTCGACCCAGCCCAGTGGACGAGCGAATACGAGCGGCAGCGCGCCGCCGGCGCCTACGATGCGCCATGGACCCGGTTCTACAAGGGCCCGCGCGACCGCCTGTACCGCACCGGCGACCTGGGCCGCCGTCGTGAGGACGGCAGCGTCGAGTGCACGGGTCGCATCGACTCGCAGGTCAAGATCCGCGGCTTCCGCATTGAGCTCGGCGAGATCGATGCCTCGCTGTCGCAACACCCCTACGTGCGGGAGAACATCACCGTCGTCCGTCGCGACAAGAACGAGGAGCAGACACTCGTCACGTACTTTGTGCCCGAGATCAAGCGCTGGCTCCAGCACCTGGAGCAGGACAGCGCCCAGGAGGTCGACGAGTCCATGGGCGCCATGCTGCGCCGCTTCAAGTCGCTGACCGACGACTGCAAGTCGTTCCTAGCCGCCAAGGTGCCCAAGTACGCCGTCCCCAGCATCTTCATCCCGCTGGTGCGCATGCCCCTGAACCCAAACGGCAAGGTCGACCGGCCCGCCCTGCCGTTCCCTGACGCCGCGGACCTCGCGCTCCTCGGCAGGAGGCGGGCGTCGTCGACCACGACGGCCAACATGACGGACACGCAGCGACGCCTGGCGGCCATCTGGGCGGGCATCCTCCCCAACCGAACCGCCCGCATGTTCGTGCCCGCGTCCAACTTCTTCGAGGAGGGCGGCCACTCCATCCTCGCGCAGCAAATGTTCTTCAAGCTCAAGCAGGAGTGGAAGGGCATCGACCTGCCGGTCCGCGTCATCTTCCAGTCGCAGACGCTGGAGGCCCTCGCCGCCGAGATTGACCGCGCCCAGGACCCCATCGGCCTGCGCCTCGACGCGATGCCGCTGCCGGCCGACAGCGACGCGGGCGACGAGGCGTACGCCGCGGACGCACGCGAGCTGGTGCGGCAGCTGCCGGCGTCCATCCAGAGCGCGCCGGCCGAGGGCCTCTCCTCCCCGGTCATGCTGCTCACCGGCGCCACTGGCTTCTTAGGCTCGTACATTCTCCATGAGCTGCTCGAGGGTCCCGCCAAGGCGGCGCGCGTGGTGGCGCACGTGCGGGCCAAGGACGCCGCCTCGGGGCTCGCGCGCCTCGAGACGACCAGCAAGGCGTACGGCCTGTGGAAGCCGTCGTGGGTGGCGGACTCGAGGATCGAAGCGGTCGTCGGTGACATCTCCAAGCAGGACCTCGGCTTGTCGTCCGAGGCGTGGGAGCGGCTCACGCGGGAGGTCGACGTCATCATCCACAACGGCGCCCAGGTCAACTGGATGCTGCCGTACTCGAGCCTGCGCGCGGCCAACGTGCTCAGCACGCTGGCGTGCGTCGGGCTCTGCGCGACGGGCAAGCCCAAGCGCCTGGCGTTTGTCAGCTCGACGTCGACGCTCGATAGCGCGCACTACGTGGACCTCTCGCGCCAGTCGCCCATCCTCGAGGCCGACGACCTCGAGGGCAGCCGCAAGGGCCTGGGCACGGGCTACGGTCAGTCAAAGTGGGCGAGCGAGTACATGGTACGCGAGGCCGGCAAGCGAGGACTCGTCGGCGCCGTGGTCCGTCCGGGTTACGTGACGGGCGACCCGGACACGGGCATGTCCGTCACCGACGACTTCCTCGTCCGCCTGTGGAAGGGCTGCCTGCAGGTCGGCGCACGGCCCGACATTGCCAACACAGTCAACACGGTGCCCGTCAAGCAGGTTGCCCGCATCACCGTCGCGGCAGCCCTGCAGTTGCCCGCCGTGCTCGCCGGCCAGCCCCTCGGCGTGGCCCAGCTGACTTCCCATCCGCGCGTCACCCTCAACGACTGGATCGGCGCTCTCGAGGTCTACGGCCACTCCGTGCCCCGCGTTCCCTACCGCGAGTGGTGCGACCGCGTCGTCGACTACATCGGCGACACCTCCAAGGAAGAGCACGCCCTGCTCCCGCTCTTCCACTTCGTCGTCGGCGACTTGCCCGCCGACACCGTCGCCCCAGAGCTCGACGACCGCAACGCCGCCGCCGCCCTCCAGCGCTACACGGGCGAATCCGACGCCCTTGCTAAGAGCGCCGTCGACGTCGACATCCTCGGCAGGTACCTCGCGTACCTCATCGCCGCCGGCTTCCTGCCCGCCCCCACCCGCGCCGGTGAGCGGCCGCTGCCCCAGCTTGACGACGACACGCTGCAGAGCCTCGCAGCCGGGGCACGCAGTGTCGTCGGCAGCAGAGCCAGGGCTTAGACAGTCCTGCTGGAGCAAAATGGCTTGGAAGAGGAAAACAGGCGTTTTGAATCTGAATAAAAGTCATCTGTTCTTCCCGCACACGGCGCGTCTCGTGCCCGACCGGCCGCGTAGGCGTCCGGGCAAGTGCAAAGGTTAAGTCCCTGCACATAGATCCCGGCCACCCCCGCATTTCGGCCACGTCCAAAGTGGCGTCTCCCACACCGCTACTCCGACTTCAAACCTACCTGGCTCTACGCATTTGTTCTCAATTGATTTCGAACTTGGTATCGATGTCAGTTAATGAAAAATGGCCAAGTATACGGAAGCTGACATTGATCTGGCATTGCAGGCGGTCGCAAATGGCACGTCCGCCAGACAGGCCTCGAAACATTGGGGTGTCCCGAGGGCAACCTTGTATGACCGCATGCACGGCCACGAATGCAGAAAGGATGCATTTTCTCCTCTTCAGAGGCTTTCTCAGACGCAGGAAAACCAGCTTACAGAATGGATTCTCATCCAGGACGCCCTGGGGCTTCCACCCACTCACTCGCAGATCAAGCAGTTCGCGCAGCGCATGCTGGCCGTCAAAGGAGACCACGTCCCGCTCGGAAAACATTGGATGCAAGCTTTTCTGAGGCGGAATCCCGCAGTTCGGACACAGAAGTGTCATCATAGAGATTCGGCGCGTGTCAATGGCGCGTCTACCGAGGTAATTCGGCCTTGGTTCAACAATTTCTTCCTTCCTGAGATTCAGGCCATTAAGCCCGAGCACAGGTACAACATGGACGAAGCAGGCATCATGGAAGGACTCGGGGAGAATGGACTGGTGGTAGGCAATGCTGAAAAACGATCTGTTCAAAAGAAAGCACCTGGTTCTCGCGTCTGGACCTCGTTCATCGAGTGCGTCTCCGCCACGGGCACCTTCCTACCTCCTCTCGTCATTTTCAAGGGGAAATCGGTCCAGCAGCAGTGGTTTCCCGATGATTTAAGTCTTTTCAGCGACTGGCACTTCACTGCGACAAAGAACGGCTGGACTTCGGACCAGACTGCGGTGGAATGGCTCGAAAAGATGTTCATTCCAAGGACTCAGCCAGCGGACCCTTCGGAGCGCAGACTGCTAGTATTGGACGGCCACGGGAGTCATGAGACAGTCGAGTTCATGTATCTATGCTACCAGCATAAGATCCATCTTCTTTTTCTGCCCCCTCATACCTCTCATGTGTTGCAACTATTGGATTTGTCCGTCTTCTCCCCTCTGAAGCACTACTACCGCAAACAGGTCGGATTTCTCAGCCTGTTGACCGATTCGAGCCCGGTCGGCAAGCAAAACTTTCTTTCCTGCTATCAGCGAGCACGCGAGCAGGCGCTCACGGCGTCCAACATCAAGGGTGGCTGGAAAGCGACGTGTTTGTAGCCGGTATCTGTGGCAAAGCCACTTTTGAGCCCTCTCCTGCTGGAGAACAGCAACAAGCGCAACAAGGATGCGAAAAACGCGCCCGATGCCTTCAGAAGCCCTTTTTCTACGTCGGGATGGCAATCAGACGCATCGCAGATCGCGTGGTCGACTCCGAGGCGTCCTCAAGATCTGAAGGTGCAAGTGCTTCAATTCAACCAGCTCGACGACGACGTGCCCACGAAGCGCCTGCTGTTCAGGAAGATTACAAAGGGGTTTGACGAAAAGGATGGCCTCTTGGCAAAAGCCCAATTACAGATTCAAGCGCTGGAAACACAACTGGCGTCTGTGAAGCCGAAGAAGAGGAAGAGGGTGGAAACGAGCCCGAATTCGAGGTTCGCCGACATTGAGGCAGTGCGGCGGGCGCAGGCGGAGGTCAATGCAGCTGAGAATGAAGACCCTGATGGAACCGAAGATGAACTTTCAGAAATCGGTGACGATTGTATCGTAGTGGGCGTTGGTAGGCAGTGAAGGGCGATTGAATTGGTCTTCATGAAAACCGCTCCCGCTTTTTTGGGTGGCCGATAACAGGGGGTGGCCGGGATCTATGTGCAGGGACTTACATCTAATCTAGACCGCAGGCTGATGCTATCTGGTATCTCTATGCTGCATTGCACAAAATTAAAATGGTATTGTGTGTCGATTAATCACACGTAGCGGACCTCGTCGAATAGGCCGGCGCGCACCTGCATCAGGCCGGCCAGCTCCAAGAGAAACGACTGAAATATGATGACGTTTGTGATGACGTGTGAGACCGACACCTGTACCTCTTCCTCCTCTTCGTAGGCCGCCGCATCGACGGCTCCCTCAACCTCTGCAGCTGCTGCTCCAACGGCGCCAGTCTCGGAGGCATCCTCGGCGTTTGCCCCGTGCTCCTCCTCCGGCGCCGCCCCGGCGGCCAGCTCCTCGGGCACGCTCCGGGCGGGCCTGTCGAGGCGCAGGGGAATCGGCTTGAGCCTGTCGTCCGGCAGGCCGACGCGCCTAGCGAGGGTGCTCTGGTCGATGGCGGCAAACGCCGACGCCTGGCTAGTCGCGCTGCTGTCTCGGCGGCGGCGGTCGTCGAGCGCGTCGCCGGCGGCGCTTCCGGGCGACAGGCTGCGGGCGCCGCCGCTGCGGCTCGGGTCGGCGTAGTTGATGGGAAACTCCTTGGGCGGCACGCGGATGGCGTTTGGTGTCATGAGCTCGGGCTGCACGCCGCCGGGCGTCGACGTGCCGGAGCTGCGGCTCTGCTCCTTGCGGCCCTTGGGGCTGGCGGAGCGGCTCGGCGTGCCCAGCTCCGAGAGGAGACGCTGAGCGAAACCCTCGAGGGCCGACGGCCGCGACGGCGACCCCGTGCGCAGAACCTCGTCCATGCTCGGGCGCTCGGGCGTTCCCTGGAGCGGCGGCTGCGGAGACGCCTTCCGCGGGGGGTTGTCCAGCATCGTATCGGCGGTCTGGAACGCCTCGCGACGCTGCTGTAGTAGCTCGTCGAAGCGGGGGACCGTATCGCGGTACGACGAGACTTGGTCGCACAGCCGCTGCAGGATCGCCAGGATCCGCGGCAGGGTGCCCGTCGACCATTCGGGGCGCGTCCTGCACCGTTTCAGCGCCCTGAGCCTCTCTGCCTCTGCGTCTGGGGCGACGGGCTCCACCTCGCTCGCCGAGGCGTCGTCGTGTTCGCCGTCCCCAGCATATGCGTAGCCGCTCGGACTGCGCGCCAGCCAGCCCTCGATGCTCATGTACCCGCAGATGGCAAGGTCCACCAGCGTCTCCGACACCGAGAGGTTCGTCTCCACTGGGTTGACGAAAAAGGTCTCGAGCAGGTCCAGGATGGCGTTAAGCAGCGGGTCATCCGCACGCAGCGTGTGCTCGCGGATGTCTCTGGGGGCGCCGGGCAGGCTGTCGGGGATAGCCGGCAGCTCGCGGTTGTTGGTCGAGACGCGGGGCGCCACGAGCCGCAGCGAGCACGGGTGGCTCTCCAAGCGTGTCATGGTGTCCTTGAGGATGTTGGCGTACGTCTCGTCAAAGTTGCCTTGCCCGCCGATCGAGGACGCGAGCGAGACGAGATACTCGACCTCCTGCTCGTGGGCACCGACGGTGCGGTCCACCGAGTTGGCGGGCAGCACCTCCGTCTTGAGCAGCGTGATGACGGCGTAGCGGTGATGCCGCTTGAGGATGGCCGAGACGAGCTGCAAGGTGACGTGGATTGTCTGCTGGTTCCGCGAGCGCAGGCATGCGAGGATAAGGTCGACGAGGTTGAAGAGGAGCGGCGTGGCGGCGTCCTCGGACTTTTCGGCCATCATGGTCGCCAGGTCCATCGACTTGCGCTTCCGCGCGAGGCTGATGGATGACCGCGGCTGCTCCCTGGAGGGCAGCGTGTCTGGCAGGGCCAGGAGGTAGTGGAGTATGAGGTTGATCATGTCGGGGTGGTTGAGGGACTCAAGGATGCGCCGCAGGTATGTCAGCACGGCCACCGACGAGCCTCCATCGATATCGGAGGACTCTAGCAGCGACGGATACCTACGACGCGGTCAGTGGGGTTCGACGCGAGAGTAAGAACAGACGGCTTACAACAGCTGCTGCAGAAATATAACTTGAAAGTGCTCGAGCAGGGTCGACTTGACCTCGACCGACTTGCAGTGGTTCAAGACGTCCTGCCAGAAGAGCAGATGAGACAAAAAGGTCTCGAGGTGCGACTGAAACTCGGGGGAGCAGGAGCTGACAATTTCGTAGCTCGACGTCGGGTGCTGGTAGTCGGAGAGGGCGAGGATCGGGGGCAGGTCGTGAGGCGGGTGGTCGATGACGAGCTTGCGGCTGAGCTGGCTGTAGAGAGCGCCCAGACCCGTGGCCATGAGGGTGGACAGGTCGCTCTCGACGATCCACTGCTCGAGGGCGGCGGAGCTCGAGGCGGCCTCGATGATGTAGAGCAGGCCAGTGCGGGCGAAGTCGCCAACCTTTCCCTCGTGGTGGATGTAGTCGACGAGGATGTAGAAGAGGGGGAAGTCGGCTCGTTGTGTGCGGCCGGCGAAGCCCGAGGAGGGCGCCGGCACCGGCACTGGCACCGGCACGTCGGCGATGGCACTACGGCCCTGCGGCGCGGCCTCGTCCTGTGTTCTGAACCACGCGGGCAGTATGGATGGGTCGAGGCGGATCTTGGTGGTGATGTTGAAGGCGAGCTCGACGACGCGGGACTCGGTGTCGAGGCCGAGATGGACGCCCTCGGCGCCCGTGATGCGGACGAGCAGGTTGGTGAGGCTGGTGGAAAATGTCGGGTTCTCAACAAAGGCTTCCTCCTCGCTCTCGATGAGGGTCGCGAACAGCAGCACCGCCTCCTTGATGATCCACTCGTTATGCGAGGCCGTGGCGATCTTGCCGATGGGCACGTAGATTTGCTTGATGGAGGCATACTGGATGCACGGGTGCGGCAGCGGCCGGCGGCTCTCGTCGCTGAGGATGTTGGTGAGCTCCTGCAGCCGTATCTCGAGCGTCTCGGCCGCGTCGCCGTCGCGCAGGTTGGTCGTGCGCCATGTCGACTGCGAGTAGCCATGTCAGTTCCATCGCTTGCAGCCACAGTTCGGGTGAGCGGCAGAGACGCACCAGCAGGCTGCCGTACTCCTTTTCGAAGCGGTGCAGGCGTTTGGCGGGGTCCTTGGCCTGGTCCTGGCGGGACGTGCCCGCCGAGAGAGGGCTCAACAATCGTGACCACTGCCGTCGTCAGCACGCACGTCGGTGGTCGGGGAGGACCGTCTGAGAGGGCAAGGGCTCACAAAGTCCATGGTGTCATGGTCGCCTCTGAAGCGGCGGTGGCATGTTGAGGTGGAGGGTGGAGATGCGCAGGGTATTGTCGACGGACGTCTGGTGTCGCCCGACGCGCCCTGCAGGTACGAGGTACCTGCCCGGATCCGAGGCACGCTACATTTTAGCGCGTCCAGGGTAGTCGATGCTGCTGCGAAGTAGTAATAACGAACAGTTAATGCATCGCGTACCGACATGCCCGGCTCTGCCAATCTGGCAGTGTACGTTTCAGGAGGCATGAGCCGCAGCTTGGCAGAGCATCGAATCTCATGCTCGAGACCCGATCAAATGCACCCACCAGTCGCAGTCACAAAAGTGTCAACACCGCCGATACGTCACGCGTCACGCTTACACAACGCGGGGCGACAACTTCTCACAGCAATTCATTCTACCTAACGCTTCTGTTCAGCTACGCCGGGCTCGACGGCTCGCCTACGCTTCCGCTGCTGTTGCTACCGTGCGCACCGATTCTTCCCGCAGGCCGAGCCGGCTCCACGGCCTCGTCGCTCGCCTCGGTGAACCCACTCACGTCGCTCAGCATGCTCGAACTGCGGCCCCTCGACTTGGCGCCGCGCGGCTCAAAGACCGCGGCCGTCGGCGGCGGGTGCCACGGCAGGCCCGGCGGCATCGTCGGAGCCGAGATCGGCGGGAGCATGTCGCCCGAAGACGCGCCCCAGGGGCCGCCGGGGAAGTGCGACGCGGCCGCCGGGTTCGGGTTCCACGGACTCTGGCCGTACGGCTGGTGCGCGTCCGCCATCATGGGTGGAGCCTCGATGGGCATGCCGTTGACAGGATTGACGTAGGTTTGGAACGCCTGCACCTGGGCCTGGAGGGCCCGCAGCTGCTCGCGCCTGGAGGCGTTGGTCGCCATGGCCTGGTTGGTGCGCTCCAGGTAGTTGTTCTCCATGGCGACTGTGTGCTCGGCGAACCGGACCCTCTCCTGGCGGCGCCGCTCGGCTTCGTCAAGTCCGCGGTTGTTGGCGTCGGTGAGGTTGGCGAGTTCATTCTCAATCTTGGCGATGCGCGTGGCGATCTTGTTGCGGCGCGTGTTGAGATTCGACTTCTCCACCTCCTTGGCCTTGACCTCGCCTTCCAGCAGCGACTTGTGGCACTTGAACTCCTTCTGGGCGCCGTCAAAGACCTTCTTCTCCGCAGAGAAGGTGCGCTCAGTCTTTTTCTTGCGCTCGGTGAGCTCCGGGGCCGTGTCGAAGTTGTCGAGCTCGGTCGCGCGGCGCTCGGTGTCGCGCTCGGCCTGCGCCTTTTGCGTCTCCTGCTGGCGGATCTTTTGCTTGTACTTTTCGTCGTTGTTGCCGGCCGTCGCGAGTTGATTGTCGGCGGCCTCGTTGTCCCGCTTCAACGAATTGACGCGGTTCTTCCAGTCCTTGCGCCACGTCTTGAGCCGGTTCTTCTCGTCCGCGAGCCTCGCCTCGGCGGCGGCGATCGACGTACGAAGCGTCGTGGCGGGCGAGTCGGGGCGCAGGGCCTGCTGGCTGCTGGCCGGGCCGGCCACCAGGGGGGCGTCCTCGCGCAGGGTCTCCTTAACCGTGCGGATGCTGGTGGTGAAAATCACCTGGTCCGTCTTGGTGTCGACGAACTCGACCACGTACTTGGCGGCGGGCCGAAGGCCGTAGATGTCGCCCGTCCAGTGCGTCTCCTTTTCGTCGTCGATGGTGTAGATGCGCGTCGGCTGCCAGAAGGCGTTGTTGATGCGCACGTAAAAGGGCTTGGACGTGTCCACGCCGGCGGGCGTCGTCGAGTGGCCGTTAACCTTGGCGTACGCTTCGGGCTCGGGGAAGTGGCTGGTGTTGAAGCACACCTCGTCGCTGCCAATGTACGAAATCCAAATCTGCTTCGGCTGCCCGTCGAACGAGGGGGTGCTGCCCGAGTTGTGAATGTCGCTCTTGTTTGCCACGCCCTTCAGGCTTGATATCTCGTACTCCTTCATCGCGACGATCTTAGTGCTCGCGAGCGCCGCCCACAGAGGCTGCTGCAGTCGAACTTGTGCGCTCTGCTTCCGCCGCCTCTTGGCGACAGCGGCCGAGCTCGTCGCGGACAGGCCCGTCTCGGTGTCGGGGGGAGGGACAAGGCTCGTTTCCGCAGTCGACGTATCGTTTCCGCTAGAAGTTGCGGTGCTGACAACCGCGGAGCCGGGCTTCCCGGCCTCGGGGTCTGTCGAGTTGAAGCGCTCCCGCCGCAGATACCACTCCCGGACGTACCTGACGATGCCCTGCGTGAGGATGTGGATGGCCAGGATGCTCTGCAGCCAGCCGTGGCCGTCCCTCTTGTCTTGCCAGGCGGAGGGGCGCAGGAATGAATCTCTCAGCGCGGCCGGCATGCGCCAGCCATCGGGGACATGACGCGCGAGTTGGGGCCAGTACACGCGCGACGCGCGTACGAGCTTGTGCAGGAACATCCAGATGAAGCAGGCAGTGACGCCGCGCGAGGAGCCGTCCTTTGCGCTCGCTCCGCCGCCGAGGGTGACGGCGACGACGGGCTTGGCGAACTCGAGCATAAAGTCCTGTATGGGGGGCCACAGGAACACCCACACGAGGAAGAAGAAGAAGTCCATGGCCATGGTGGTGGCGAGCGAGGGCATCTGGGAGATGCCATCCATGATGTCGCCGAGGTTCATGTTCCAGCCGGCCTTGCTCATAACGGGCGGGACGAAGGTGAGGGTGGCGAAGAGGCCGTAGACGATGGTGAGAGAGACGTAAGGGAGGTGCATGAGGATGATGAGTATGGCGAGGGTGTCCTGGACAGGCAGGGAGCGGACGACGGTGGAGGCGAGGTCGAGCGGGCCCGAATCGCGGTGGACGTCGGCATTCTTGAGGGCGTTGACGTCGATCTGGCGGGCGCCGTCGACGCCGTTGGCGACCGCGGGTGCGCCCGACAGCTCCGACGACGACGACTCGGACGAGGTGCCGAGAGAGCCTCGGCGAGCATCGAGGGTCGCCGCTGATGCCGCGGCCAGGGCGGAGGCGGCGCCATCGTGCTTGCCGATGCCGTTGAGACCGTTAGCGTGCGGCGGCGGTGACGACGGCCCTGCGAGGGCACCATTGTCGGGCGACCTCGCGGGGCCGTCAAGGTGGCCGTGGCTCTTCTTGGGCGCGATGCGCTTGCCGGGGCCTACGAGCCCATTATCGTGCTTCGATTCGCGGGGACCTGCGCCTCCTTGCTGTCGCTTGCCCGAGCCCGACGCACGAGGCATGCGCAGCTTGTGTTCCCGGTTGGCGTGCGGACCCGCGACCTCGTCCAAGGGGCAGGGCCGGCAGCGAGCGGGAACGAGACTGGGAGGGAGAGCAAGGTTGACGAGAGGGAGAGAAGGGGGGGGGGCGGGCTTTCGGTCGGTTCGGTCGATTGCTCGATGGTTCGGTCGTGAGACGCTGGTAACGATGCTGGCACTGATGCACGCGGACGAGAGAGACAAGAAGGAGAGGGAGGGGAGAGACGAAGCGTCGACGTCTGTCCCTCTCTCGCGGGCGTGGGCAGCAGCTGTGTCAAGGGAGGCGAGACCAAGATTGTTTGGGAGGAATCCAGGATTTTCCTCGCGGGTTTGCAGGAACGGAGGAGGGCAGGATGTGACGGAACGGGAATAAGGCCGGGTCTCTGGGGCGGGCCAGTGAGCGAGGCGCTGACGGGCGGCGCTGGCTCGAGAGTGCAGCGGGCGGGCAGCAGATGGAGCGGAGCAGCCCTGGATGCCAGTGGAGAGTTGCGCCTGATGTGACGAGCGGCAGGGTGCCCTCCTAGGACTTGGACGCCTCCACTGAGCTGCCCGAGGAGTGTTCCAGGGCGGCGGGTGCCTTTCACGTTTCGACGAGTGCCCGCCCGCCCGGCTGGTGCTAATTGTGGCCGGTGCCCTCGAGCGCTACGGTGCCCGGTTGTGAGCGCTGGATCTCCTTCGGTTGGCGCCAAGGGTGGGTGGATCGGCCCAGGTCTGAGGAAATGTCGCGGTACTTCGACGTTGCGCCTCCCCCCCTTCCAAGTTTGGCGGCCGTTGCCTCGACCATCCCGCTGTCTGGCCTGGCACCTGGTGAGCGGCGGTTGCGCGTCACATTCAATGCCACCCGGCAGGCAGGCGGTGACGAGATGCTGCACGCAAGCAGGGACGTGAGTTGGACGCGCACTGCAGCTCACCCGAGGAGCGGCAGGCGGCGATGCTGGTGCGGACAGCGTCCGGCCGCCCTCTCCGGGGTGGCCAACAATGGAATTCGACGACAGCCGAGGCGGGTTAAACGGGCTCGCGGCTACGGGGGCGCCTTGGCGACGAACCGGCGCCGCTACGGCCACTGGCAGGCACCTGGAACAGGAACCTCAATAGCGTGTACGGAGTACATACGTACCGACGTATGTACATTTTGCACACTCCGTGCCTCGCCGTGCTCGTCTAATTACGTAGACTCGCCAACAGAGACAAGCTCATTGAGCCCCCAAAAGGAAAACAGCCTTGTTTCGACGACGTCCGCGCACTGGGCGCACGGTGCCGTCATTTGCGCCCTACGGACAACGCCTGCCTGCCTGCCTGCCTGCCTTGCATGCTTGCTGCCGTCTGCTCGCCCGTCTGCGTCTCGCCCTGCAAGGCCGAGGCCACCGCGCCCACCAGAAGAGGAAGCGAGCACCGAACAAACATGGGACGAGGGATTCAATCGCCATGTACCGGTACATGCAGCTCAAGCAGCGCTCGTGGCGCTGGTTAAGCTTTTTCTGCCCGACGGTGCCGGGGTCCCCTACACCACCCGCCGGCCAGCCTCACCTCAGCGGCCTGCTCAGTGGCCACGGGAGGAGCATCGTCTTACGCCGGCGCGGCAGCTAGCTGACGTGGGAGCTTGGAGGGCCCGCGCGCGCGCGAGCGACAGAGAGGGGAGGGGGCTGGCGCACCAAGAGGTAGCTGCAAAGAAAAACAGGCAGCGTCGTGATAGGAGCAGCTGCCAGTCCCATCCGTCCAGCCGCCCATCCATCACCGAAGGAGGGCCCAACGCCGGCAGTCGAGCGGCAGCGGCGCCGGTGATGTGATGTGCGACGCAAGCGACATTGCCAATGGCACGTACAAATTGCCTACCAGGCACCACGCGAATAAAACCCCGGCAAGGGACCACCAGCTTCCATGATGCGGCCAGCGAGCGCCGGCACCGCAATCACCTGCCTTGCCGAGGCTGCCTCACCTGGCTCGCCAAATGGCCCATATGGAAGGTACCCGCCCTGCAGCACCAGGCGGTTCTATTAGTAGATAGCGATTCTAGGTTCTGCAGCACCCGACGCGACAGCGCTCCGTCCTCGGCAACCCGTCAAGTAGATCGTCCACCTCACAATGCTCACAACGCTCACCACCTCGTACGCGCACCCGCACACGCACAAAAAGCCCCCCCTCGCTTCCCCGCTCTCTGCGTGCCCCGGCATGGCTCGCGCTCGTCTCTCCTTCCTGCAAGCTTGCATGCCCGCATCCCACAGATCCAGTGCCAATGCCACCCCGTCCGCCCGTCTGGTCCAATCCGCCAGCCCGAGGTGGTGGAGCGCCGCCACCGCTCACTGCCGATCCGCCCATCGGCTGGCTTCCGCAGTGGCTGCCCATCTGCCCAGCGCCGCAATCACCGATGGGGATTGCCGCCGCCTCGCGCCGACGCACCTCAGATGACTCGTTTCAAGGTCCCCTCCAGCCTGCCTGTTTGGCGGAGGCGGACGGGCAAACAAGACGCGGCGTCGCAAACGTTTGCCAATTGAAGCCCGTTCTTTGCTTCTTTGTTGGACGTGCCTTTGGTGAAGATCAATCCCGACTTCCCGTTCTCGACGTTTCAACGAGCTCCAGCGCCTCGGAAAGTCTATCCCCGCGCTGGGCGCCCCCCACCCGCCCAGACAACCTTGGATCCGTCTCCCGTGCGTCTGCCCAACCTGGAAGTTTGCCATCTGCGCGAGCGGGCGCCTCCCTCGGCAGTTGACCGTCGGCGGGTCGTCCCATCATTCGTCCCTCGTACCTCGTACTTGCTCCTGCCCGCCACGAGCAGGAGGAGAAGGAGGAGCAGGAGGAGCTGGTGGTGGTGGTGGGAGCCCGCCAAACCCCTCGGCCATTAGATCCCGAGGCTGCCCTGCCAAGGGCGCACGATGCGTCCAACACTTCCGCGTCCAACAGTCCATCCGCCGTGCCGGCTCGTCTCGTGTCCCGCCGCCACGGCCTTGTGCAGGCATTGGATAAGAGTAGTGCTATTTGTAGAGCCAACTTTTGCTAGCTGTAGAGCCCATAGGAGCAATAGCAGCAATGACAGCAATGACAGCAACGATAGCGACGATAGCGACGATAGCGACGATAGCAACGATAGCAACGATAGCAACGACAGCAGCGGCAGTAGTGATATCAACGACAGCAATAGGTAGGCAGCGCGCCGCTGCCGCCCCATGCCTGCGCCAATGCGCAGTAAAAATCGCTGGGGCAGCATGGGGGTAGGTAGGGCGCTGCTAAGGAAAATGTAGGACGGCTCTACAACCAGCACGATATGGCTTACGAATAGCCCTACTCTTGGATAACATGGCGTGGCCAACAGCGGCGCCAGAATGCATGCATTGAATGGGGTATCGCCTCAACGCCAACTCGTACATACTCGTACACTGCCCAGAACCGCCATCACCAGAGCTCCTGTTCCCCGCCCGAGCCCGCCTCCGCAAAGTACATCTTCCACCACTCGTAGCATCCTAGGTACAGCCCGCTGCCCAGAGCCGCCGCGACGCAGGTCAACCCGAGGCCCCGGAACAGGCCGGCCGTGCCCTCGGCTCCCACCACCTGCCTCGCCACGGCCAGCGGCCCGGGCCCGGGGTTCAGGGGCGGCCGCGTCTCGCGGACCGACGTGCCCGCCGCGAGCCTCATTCGCGTCTTGACAACGTCGACCGGGACGAACAGCGCGGCCGTCACGCCGCCCGCCAGGCCCGCGCTCACGGCGCTCATCCCAGTCCGCCGCGCGATGCCGCCCCCGTCGTCGCCCACGAGCGTCTCCTTCAGCCGTTCGTACAGGCAAAACGTGAGGCATGTCCCCGGTAGGTGGCCCGCCGTCAGCGCCGTGTATCCGGCCCACAGCCGGCCCGGGTGCCGCGCAAACTGCCTCGCCACGCCGACCGTGTGGCCCCAGCGCCGCCGCCGCCGTCCCGGGGCGTCGTCCGCGGATATTTGCGCGTTCTGCTTGAGCACCTCGGCCGGGTTCATGATGGCGCAGGCGACAACGTCTCCGGCCGCGCTGCTCAGGGCGTACGCCACCGGCGCGGGCATGTCCACGAGCTTGGTTTCGCCCTCCCGCGGCACCAGCGCCGTCTTGAGCCCCTCGTAGACGGTGAAAAAGGCCGCCGAGGCCGGCACGCCGGCGAGCACGGTCGGCCCGAAGCCCTGATACAGGCCGGCAAAGAAGCTCCGGTTGAGCGTGCCGCGCGCCGTTTTGTAGCGCGTCGCGTACGCGGGCGACTGGATGCGCGTGATGAGCGTCTCAGCAGGGTGCACGGCCAAGTCCGTGACGAGCGTCGCTGCGGTGGCGGCCTTGATACGATTGATCGTGAGCACGGATGCTGCACACGCGGAGGATGGGAGCTCGTACCTGCCAGACTTGCGCGCCGACATCGTGGGACATGGTGACGCATATGTTGGCGTCCGTATGTGTTGGATACGAGCTTCCATGGCCCGAGCACGCGACACGGATTCAAGCTGAGCTCCAATGGACGAGATTGTCGGGATGAGTGAGGATGTACGGCGAGGCGACCCGCCGGCGGCCGCGGGGTCCAGCGGACATGCCGCCCAGGTGCTCCGCCACAGCATCGAATGGCCCACCACTCGGACGTGTCGCGCTCATCATTGCGAACCACTCCCAAACACCTCGCGGCGACATCAACTGCTCTCCGAGGCCAGCGCGTCCGCTCGCTCCGCCCAGATCTCACGCTCCAGCTCCCACAGAGGCTCCAGCGCCAGCGCCCTGACCTCGTGGTTGGAGGCCCGAGCCTCGGCGCCACCAGGCTTGCGCCGAGCCAGCCTGCCGTGTGCCCAGAACGGCCGCATCGCCCGCGCCGTCTCGTCGTAGTGATATACAACATAGTCAACACGTGCGGCGCCCACGTACGCCCCCGTGCCCGCCGCGAAGAAGCGCGCCTCGCCCACAGCGCGGCCGGTCGCCCGGTCGACGCCCACCGTGGCGAGCGAGTCGACGGGCAGCGGCCTGAGCCCAGAGACGGTTTGCTGTGGAGGTCGGTGTCAGCGAAGTGGGCTTCCGCGAGCCGTGTGTCGACGTACGTGCAATGTGCCGTTCGGGAGCGGCATGCCCGGTATCATGACCTGTGTCTCTTGGATATGCACCTTCTTTAGTGGCGGCTGCACCTTGGATATCTGCTCTTCGAGCATCGCGCGAAACCGCGCCGTGGCCATCCGCAGCAGCGCCTCGGGCCTGACAACACCGGCCTGAAGTTTCCTCGTCAGCAGAGCCCCTCATATGCGACAAGTAGCCTCACCCTCCGCGACTCCACGGCGTCAAACACGTCTGCCCTCGTGAGCGTCCCCTCGCGCTTGTGCAGCGCACCGTCGCCGCCTCCGCCCCATCCCAGCCGTGCCGCCGCGGCCCCGGGGCCTCCCCACGCGACCACCTGCCGCAGTATGTCTCCGATGCGCTCCGTCTGCCGCGGCGAGGCGCCTGCAAAGATGAGCACGCCAAGGTCATGGTACAGGTGCAGCGCGCTGAGCTGCAGGCTCGCATCGTCGGGGCTCGGGGCGGGGCCGGAGGACTTGCAGCCGATGGGCACGTGGGACTGCTGTCGGCGCGGACGCAGCGCGGGGAACCGCTGCAGCGTGGGAAAGACCTGCAGCGCTGGGGGGAGGCGCGGGCCCGGCATCGTGAAGACGAGCAAGGTCGGGGGACTCGGAGTCGTGCGGGAGATTGAGATGGCAAAAGTTGGCGATGGCGCCATGGCTGAGAGCTCCGTGACCGTCCATGTTGGCGAAGCTGTGGTGGGGCCGGGACCTACTGTAAGGTACCTTAGCTTTTGCGGGGCGCCACAAGGCGGGCAGCTCCCACGGCCCCGTCACCACTTCCATTGACGACGTGAATGGCACTCATCCGCGTCACCACCGACATCACCCAGCATGCCGCCACCGAACCCCGAGCTGAGGCGCCAGGTCATTGCCATCTACAGAGGTCAGTCGCCAGTCTGTGTCTGATGGTCACGAGCCGCGCTCAGCCCCTCCAGAGCTCCTCTACCTCGGCCGCGAGTACCCCCTCGGCTTCGGTTACTTCCGGCCGCGGCTGCACAAGGCCTTCATCTCACGGGCCGACGAGCGCGACGAGGCCAAGATACGCTCCGGCATCGCCCAGGCCGAGTACGTCAAGAAAGGCAAGTCTGCCCTCTGATCGAAGCTGGGGGTCATCGCGCGGCTGACACGACACGTTACGGCAGAGATTGAGGCACTGTAAGACCGTCGCCCTGTCATTCACACAAGCCCTGCTTGGTTCGCTCGTACTTTGCCCGGGACGTGCACTCGTAATGCATAGATGCCATACAGTAACGCCTCAAACGCACCAATGTCCGTTGATATGCAATCCCGCGGAATCTGCGGCTCCCCCCTCGCCGCCCCCTCGCCGCCCCCTTGTCCCAGCCCGTTCCGTCACACCACGTTGCTCCAGTCCGTCTCCAGTCAGTCAGTTGGCTAATCGGCAGGCAGCTACTACTTGAAACGGTACCGCACCCTCAGGAAGCGGTACGATGCGGATGCTTGAGCGAGGGCAAGGCTGGCGGCGGGACCGCCAAAAGTAGTAAAAAATTGTACAAAGCAAATGAACCGAAATTCGTGACGGCATCAAGCCGCGGTTGGTCGTGTCCGTGTATAGAATGGCCTTGTTCTGGCATCCGGCTCTCAATCGTCGCTCCTCTTCTTGGCCCACCACGCGCCGACCTCGAGGCACTCGCCCCAGCTCGCGCCGCCGTCTCCCATGAGGTCGCCCATCATTTTCCCGAGCCAGACGTCCCACTCGTCCTGGCTCTTGCCGCTGACGTCGCGCAGGATGGGCTCGAGCGCCTGTACCTGTTGCACGACCGTCAGGAGTGCCGTCTTGCGCAGCGCATGCTGCCCGGCCGTGAGGGCGCGCTGTTCCGTCCTCTGCTGCGCGGGGACGCCTTTGCCCTTGGCCTCGTCCTGCCCATTGCGTGTGAGGACCACGTCGACGCCCTCGCGCTCCCAGCGCACCTCGCCCAGGGGCACGGCCAAGCGTCGCGAGCGTACGTCGGCCAGTGTCTCCGATTCCTGCAGTAGCGCGGGCCCGATGAGCGTGCAAGGCACAGCGTTGAGGTCCAGGTTCTCCAGCGCTCGCGAGAGCCAGTTGTTGTACTCGACGAGGAACGCGTTAAGCGGCGCCGACAGCGGCGTGTTTGCCGACATGACGTACGCGCCGAGGCTGGCGGCCGCCTCCTGCTCGTCGGCGTCGGCGCCACCGCCCTGCGCGGAGCCGGGCACGTGCGGCCGCAGCATGCGGATCAAGTGATCCGACTCCCAAATCTCCAGCGTGCCGCCGGGCCGCAGCAGGCGCAGGTACTCGTCGATGAAGGCCTGGTTCTGCTTGTTCGTGGTGGCAAGGCTCATGTCCTTGACCATTACCAGGTCGAACTCGCCGGTGGGCAGCGGCCACGGGAGCTGCCGCAGGTCCCAGCCGATGAAGCGCCACTTCATGTCCGGGTCCGGCTTGCCTGCCTCGGGAGCCAGTGGCGCGATGTCAATGCCGGTGAAGGAGATGCCGCCGTGGCCGCGGCCCTTGAAGTAGCGGTGGCACATCATGCTCCAGAAGCCGGAGCCGCAGCCGATCTCGAGCACCCGCTGGGGCGGCTTCTTGATGAGCGCCGGCGAGCACACGGGCGCGCCGAAGAGCTGGATCAGCAGGAGCGTCCGCAGCGATTGGCGATGTAGCTCCGTCAGGTCCGAGGGCAGCGGGTAGGGGATGTCGTGGAGGTAGGTTCGTCCGTTGCGCAAGACAAAGGGCCGCGAGGCCGCGCCCTCGCCGGCGGTCGGGTCGGAGGTCATGGTCGTGCGGGCGGAGATGGAGGTTGCGCCGCTGGCAGACGAGACGGACTCGGCGCTCGTGGCGTGGACATTCATCTGGAGGCACGTGTGTCAGCGGCCGATATACGTCTGCCGGAGGAGGAGGGGGTTGGAGGGGGGAGGGGCACCGACATCGAAGCCATGCACGCCTTCTGCGAAGCGTGGACGGTTCATCGAGGAGGGAGACTTGGCGGATGCGACCCTGGGCGAGCCGGCGGCTGACTTGAGACCGTCGAAGCTCCCGGCCGTCAACACGGTCGTGCCCGCCGTCGTGGCCGTGGTCGCGCTGGCGGCGGGGCGGTCGTGCAGCGACGTCTCGTGAGACGAGCGGCTCGCCTGGCTGCCGCTCGAGGTGCGCGAGTGGCCGAGCTTGCGACGGGCGCCCTGGTAGTCGGCTCGTGAGGTGGAATTGGAGCGACGAGCGGTGGACGGGAGGCCGCTGGAGCGTCGGCGTTGTTGCTGCTGCTGCTGCTGTTGTTGCTGCTGCTGCGTCGGCCTGGGTCGGTGGACGGGGACGGGCATGTGCCCCGAGTACATGAAGGCGGCGTTGAAGGCAAGCTCGCCAGCCATGGTGGTCTAGAGGTACCCGCCTGGCGGGGCGGCCCCGTAGTACCCGGATGTGTGCTGTGGGTGCGCCTCTCAGGGAGCGCACAGAGCGAGACGGGAGGGAAGGGGAAAAAAGGGGGCTGCGCAAGGGCCGCTTCGCGAGCTCCAGCGGTCGCGGGGCGGATCCTCCGCGGCCTGCCTGGCCCGTCTGAAACACCGCCAGGTGCCCTCTAGAGGCGCGCGATGGAGGCAGCGCCGCTGCAGTGACACCCAAACGCTCGCGTGTCGCGGGCGGCGATACGAGCGACCTGCGACGTCTTCGGCTGCCGCGGCGACGGCGGATCTTCTAGAATGCTTCTTGCCGCCCGGCGCGATGACAACGGCGGCGTCGATTCCTCGTTACACGGCGAGCCGCACGGGGCCCGGCCGTCCCAATCGACAGCGTCCACGACCTGTCTGTGCGCTGCGGACACGGCCGTCTGCACGCGATGAATCTGCCTCGCGAGTCGACGGCAAGCGACGTATCAGCCGGGCGACGCAGCCGAGCTGTCGTTTCTTTTGCTTTTCCGTTTGGTGTTTCGCCGTTGAGTGCCGGTGGAGGGCGCTGCCGTCATGTCCGCGCGGGGCTCGCGCAGCACTGTCCTCTGAAGACCGGCCTCGTTCCCGTCGCAGGCTCGATTTCCTGGTGTCGCTGCCGCCGGGTAGGTAGGGTCGTATCGCGCGTCGTCTGTCTGCGTCGCGTTGCTCCCTGGACCCTGCCGACGTCTGAGATGGAGGCGGCGATGGCTGGACGTGGCGTATGCCGGAGAGGCGACGTGCGGCCAAGCACCTTTTGAGCTGCGCTTGGTCCGAGGCAAGACAAGGAGGCCAGGTAGCACGAGGACAGGTATCTCAGTACCTGTGCCTCACCGTGCACCGTACTTGCACGAGCGCGCCTTGGGACCCCAGCTCGCGGGAGGCAGCACGGGATGGAGGGCGGGGAGTCGACGACTAGTTGCCTCTTGCGACTGCGAATCGCTGCGTGCGACTGAGAGCGCGGTGGGGCGACACAGTAGCTATCAAGCGACAGAAGTGGCAGGCCGCGAGGCTGGTCATGGGCCCGGAGGGGAGGGCGAGGGCCGAGTCCTGGACAAAGTGCGTCGTCTATATACTCACTCGTCCACGCCGGGCTCGCAAAGCCTCGCACCTTATCTTGGTCGCGCGGCCGCACGCCACGGCCTCGCCCAATCTCCTCTGGATATTAGCCTCGCAAGCCCCGAACCAAACTCACGAGCCGGGCCCGCTGACGACGATTGAACAGATTGGATTGGCATTGGGGTTCCCGAGCCCGGGTGGCCCTGTGGAGCTGTCGAGACTGACGAGCGTCTAACCCCGCGTTGAGCGGCGTGGAGCACGCACGCACGCACGCACGCACGCACACCCACAGAGCAAGAGGCCGTTGGCCACGCTGCCGACTACGGAAGCTGCCAGCTTCAGCTTGCATGGCGCACCCTGGTCGGCCGCCTTCTGGCCTGTCGTCGGCGGGTGCGATTAATTAATGCCACTGGTCCCCTGGTCGGGGGTGGCGTGCCGTTACATCCACGGCAGACAAAAAGTCGCGTGTGCGCGCGGACAGGTGGGTGGCCCGCAGACGTCACTGGGCGCCGTGGCTCCGGCAAGGCTCGCTGCGCCGTCTCGTGCTCCCAGCATCGTCACGGAACGGAACGTAGCAGCAGCGCGCGGCCAACCGTGGGGGAGTCGTCCGCCTCCGTAGGAGGTGGGAGGTGGGAGGTGGCAGGTGGGAGCTCGATGCCGGGCATCTGGGCGGGTTGGCAGGTCTAGCGTCATCCTTTCCGGCTAGTGCTCCAATAGCCAAGACTGATATGCCAGCAGCCATCATCGGAAGCGCACGCGGGAGTTCGCCCAAGTGCATCGTGCCAGATGGACCTGACTGGACCAACGCAACTGGGCGCTGTGGCGGTTTCGGCTCCGCCTTCAAAGAGCCTCAGGGCGCCCGTGAACCTGTTGTTGCGACGGCCAGCTTGCCCCGAGATGGTAGGTCGGCCAGCGGCGTCCTTGAGTTTGTCCGGTCGAGACTGAAGCCCCTGCTGCCGCGCAGACCTCAATCTCACCGAGTAGGGCTATTTGTAGAGCCAACTTTTGCTAGTTGTAGAGCACATAGGAGCAATTGCAGCACAGCAACGACAGCAACGACAGCAACGAAGGCAACGAAGGCAACGAAAGCAACGACAGCAACAGGCATCGCGCCGCTGCGTGCCTACGCAAGTGCGCAGTAGAAATCGCTAAGGCAGCATGGGGGTAGGGCGCGGCCGAGAAAAAATGTAGCAGGGCTCTGCAACTAGCAAAAGTTGGCTCTACGAATAGCACTCCTCATCTCACCAGCCGTGAAGCCGACCGCGCATGTCGTGCGCCAGGTGACGCCATGGAAACGGCAACTGGCTGTCGACGGATGGCTGAGGGTGCGTCGATCGACGTCCGTCCACCTCGCGACGGATTCGCTGCGTGGCCCGGCGCACAGCGACAAGGCACAGCAAGACCGCATCCAGTTGACGAGCAAGACCGTTCGAGTCAGACACGGCCGGGGGGCATCAGACTGCAGGCCAGCTTGGGACAGGCAGACGTTGGCACAATATCACGTGACAAGGACACTCGTGCCCCAGCCGTTACACCGGTGAACACTGTGCGTGCCGTGCACGGTCCGTATGGTCTGCGCACGTGACACGACTGACGCAGTTTGTCACCGTGGTCGGTGGCCTCGTCCGGGTCTCGACTGGCCTCACCTCGACGTCGGCAACCGGTTTTCTGCAACTCAATATCGCTTGATTCAATCAGTGTTTATACCATCCATTGCGCTCGCTCGTTACCGTACGTCGTCTTGGGCGGCCCTCGTCATCCCCGCTGCCTGCACTCCGAGCTGCCCTTCAGCTTCGCGTCGTGGCCCTCGTGCAAGCTCAGACATAGCTGACATCGTCTTTTCTCTCTCTCCCTTCAGCCCTCCGGCAGTCCGAGCAAGCCGCCCGCCCATCCGTTGCGCTTGTCCTCCACGACACGACTGCAGGCATCGACGGACGTGACATCGCGTCGACGGCCGACCCTCCACCTCTCTCTGCCTCGCCCTCGCCGCGCGCCCAACGCTCCCCGTCGATGGGCCTGTGACAGCGTCCCACCCGACTGCGGCCCTCACGATTGCACATGCAGCGGTTGCCGTCGCCCCTCGACCCATGCGAAGACGCGAGCTCCGTCCTCTGTCTCTCCTTTCGAGCTACACGCGAGGCGCACGTCGACCCGGCCCTGACTGCCCGCCATCGAACCCACTTTCCAGCCTCCCCCCACTTCCATCAGGCAAGAGATAGATGCCGGCCCGGCCGCGACGTAGTGGCTCGACGACGACGACTCCTCGCCCCAACGCGTTACGGACTTGACACCGCCGGCCCTCCCCCACAACCGTCACCTCCACCACCACCACACGCTGGCCCACGCGCGAGGTAGACGACGCCCTCATGTACTCCCAGAACCATCAGCAGGGCCACAACGCCCGGCTGAATGGGGCGGGACGCGGGATGCCCAGCCTGCTGTACAACTACCAGCAGCACCCGCAGCACCAGCACCCGTCCCAGCCCCAGCAACATCATGGCCTGCAGCACGACCACGGCATGCCGAGCTCCAATGGCCTCGGCCATCACTCCTCCTTCGCCTCGGGCGTCATGTCCGGCTCCAACGCGTTTGGCGGCGGCGGCATGCCCAACGGACACTCAGCCGCGGCGCGTGGCGCGCAGGGCCCCCCTAATGAAATGTGGCAAGAGCAACTGCGGATGCACAAGGAGGCCGAGCGCGCCCACTCGGCCATGACTGACCAGCAACAGCCCCACTACTATGCTCGCCTCAAGGCGTCAGAGAATCGCGGCATCGGAGGGCCGCCGCCCTCCACGGCCAAGACGCAGGCCGATGGTGAGAATGAGGCCGACGACCGGAGGCGGCCATACAACCTGGAGCGCGAGGCGCGGCGGCAGGACTGGCACAACATGGACATGAGTGGCCAGGGCCTGCGCAACCTAGCCCTCGAGCTGTTTCGGTACCAGTTCCTGAGCGAGCTCTACATCGCCTCCAACAAGCTCACGCGGCTACCCAAGGAGATTGGGGAGCTGCGGCAGCTGCGGCACCTGGACGCCTCATACAACCAGATCTCGGAGCTCCCCCCGGAGCTCGGCATGTGCACGTACCTCAAGCAGCTCCTGCTCTTCAACAACCAGATATCGGAGTTGCCCTATGAGCTCGGGTCGCTACACCTGCTTGATATGCTCGGCATCGAGGGGAACCCTTTGGAGCCTAACCTTAAGCAGGAGATTATGGAAAAGGGCACCAAGAGCATCATCAACGCCCTGCGAGAGGGAGCACCGAGTAAGTCCAGCTTGACCGTCGTCGCGTCTTGTCGGCCGGACGAACCCCTGCTAACGCCCGACCAGTGCCCCCGCCTCCGACACCGCGCAAGGAGATTGTGATCCAGGAGGACGTGTCGCCGAGCCTCGAGCGGGTCAAGGTTTTTTCGTGGAACGTGCTGTGCGACAAGTACGCGACGGCGTCGACGTACGGCTACACGCCGACGCGCGCCCTCAACTGGGACTACCGCAAGAGCTGCATCCTAGAGGAGCTTCGGCTGCGAGACGCCGACTTTCTGGCGCTGCAGGAGGTTTCGACGGACGCATTTAAGGAGGACCTCAGCCCCGCACTCGCCCAGATGGACTATAAGGGCGTGCACTGGCCCAAGTCTCGCGCGCGGACCATGTCGGAGAAGGACGCGCTAACGGTCGACGGGTGCGCCATGTTCTACAAGGGAAGCAAGTACATCTTGCTCGACAAGCAACTTATCGAGTTTGCGTCCATCGCCATCAACCGACCGGACATGAAGAACCAGCACGACGTCTTCAACCGCGTCATGCCCAAGGACAACATCGCCATCATCTGCTTCCTCGAGTCGCGGCTGACGGGCGCTCGCCTGATACTCGTCAACGTGCACCTTACGTGGGATTCGGCGCTTGCGGACGTCAAGGTGATCCAGACGGGCATCCTTATGGAGCACGTGACCAAGCTGGCCGAAAAGTACGCCCGCTGGCCTGCCGTCAAGGACAAGAAGATGATTACGGTGCCGGGCGGCGACGAGGGCGACCCGCCGCCGCCGCCGCAGGCAGAGCCCGGCCCGAGCCAGGAGTACCGGTCCAACACGGAGATCCCCCTGCTCGTGTGCGGCGACTTCAACTCGACCGAGGACTCGTCCGTGTACGAGCTCATGTCCATGGGCCGGGTGCCGCCGGACCACCTCGAGCTCAGCAACTACCACTACGGCAGCTTCACGCGCGACGGCATCGAGCACCCCTTTAGCCTGCGGGACGCGTACGCGCACATCAAGGGCACGGCCGAGGAGCTGCCCTTTACCAACTACACGCCGGGCTTCGCCGACGTCATCGACTACATTTGGTACTCGACCAACACGCTCGAGGTGGTGGACGTCCTAGGCCCGCCCGACGCGGCGTACCTGAAGCGCATGCCGGCCTTTCCCAACTGGCACTTCCCGGCCGATCACATCCAAATCATGGCCGAGTTCGTCATCAAGGGTCGCAAGGAGAAGAAGCAGCAGCAGCAGCAGCAGCACGCGGAGCGCGAGTCTGGCAGCGGTTCCGGGACGCCGCGGGCTTAAAGGGCGGAGGGGTGTTGGATCCTTTTGCCGCAATCTGGATGTAGTTTTGGGTCTTGCAAATGGAGTTATCGGATCTTGCAACACAGCGGACGGGGCGGGGAGGGGCTTGTGGGAATGTAAATGGGAGGAAGGGGAAGCGCACTGTACTGTTTGGGAGTTGTGAATTGTCAGCCTTGCTCGTCTACGGCTGAGCGTCGTTCTCGTCGTGATTGCCACTTGCGAATGGCCTTGTCGCCTGCCGAATCATTGCACGTGTGCGGCGAACCTGCCCGGGACGCGCTCTCGTCCCATGTTTTGGCCTTGCCACGCGGGAGGGCTCGCCCACGTCTTTTCCGCCACTGTTCCCCTCGCCGCCCGTATCTCTAACGTCTCGCCTAGCATCGCACAGTCCTGCCTAGACGCAATCACCAACAGTCCCTTGGCTCAGTCTTTATATGATACCGGGCAGACTTTCATCAGCGACGCAGCGAGTCTTTAGCTACCACTCAGAGCGATACCGTCAGAGCCGCCGCCATGGCGGAATCCGACTCGACCCGGCCTGGTACCAGCAGCTGGACTGGAAATTTTGATGATCTCCCTACGGACGTCCTACTCGCAATTATCACGAGCCTGACCAGCCTGGCAGACATCGAGAATGTCTTGCGAGCCTCTCGTGCCGCTTCCAGGGCTTATCGCGAATTCCAACCTTGGATTATGAAGAAGGCTTGCAGTAACTATGTCGACCCGTCCAACGCGGACGTAGCGTTCATCACGCTGGCCATGCTACGCATCCACCCGTCCGAGGTGGGCCGCACAATAGATTTGTTTTCCGGAATATCGGACGCTCCGTGGGTAGTCGCCGAGCAGCTTCTTAATCGAACGACGCTGCAGGTCGAGTTCCTCAGGCTGGCGGACCACGTCAACCACCTCGCCGATGTATACGCGAGGGTCCCGAACCCGGAGTGGTTCTGGAGGCGACTCGCTCTCAGATTCAACAGCTGCTGGCCTAACCAGAAGGACCTGCCCCCCAGACGGTTCACCCAAGAGCAGGTCGCCGTCCGGACAGAGGTAGCCGCGCAGGTGTGGCACATCATGGAGGGCGTCCGACCGGCGGCCGACGGCTCCCTAGAGGCCCTTCCCGAAGCCAGCCACTCCAAGGAAATGCTTCAGCTCATACAACGCTCCTTCTGGACTCGGGAAATGTCCGTCCGTGGCAGCCTCATTTGCGGTCGGCTCCAGGCGCGGCAGGAGCCCGTGCCGGACATGGGAAATTGGTTCCCCGATGAAGCTATCAGCGGCGGCGTGAACCGCTTCCTGCGACTGCTGACGGATGTGGTCCGGCACATCGCCGACGTCAACTCGGGTAACGACCTGACGCTCATTCAGCCGTACGCGCGTCCGAACTTATGGGACAACAGCTGGATGCTCGGCACCCGGCATTGGGCGAGCATGTCGCGGTGGCCACGGCATTCTATCACGACAGCCAAGATCGAGGATGTGACCCGCAGCTGCCACGAGGCCTTGGAGCAGTATATCGACGATGCTGACGGAGCGCCGTGGTACTTTCACTGCCGGAACATGGCCACTCTGTTCGTCAGGCGCCTCGCGGACGGCAGGATGAAGCTGCCGCTGGAAGACATGCGCGACGTGTTCTTCATGCCGGTTGTCTACAACGGACTGGTGCTGGACGTCGAGGACTGGCGCCAACTTGGAGGGGGCTCGGCAGAGTAGTGTTCTGCACCATCTGTCACGCCGAACGAGTACCTTTCATCGGGAGGACTTTACTCGGTCGTTACTTTGGACGATCTCTCTTTGCTCGTTGCGCAGGGCCCCTACTTGGAATCGGAAGGGGACTAGGAACCCGTGGAGTTGGAGGACGGGGACGGATCGGAAAGCCCGGTTGTATCGGAGGAAGAGTGGTTGTGAATTCAAGGCCGAGCAGAAATAGAAGGTACAGTGACTGGCCTCTTCCGCAGCGTCGGTTGGCCGGGGTAGGGGGTCACCCGCGCCCAACCTGGCGTGGCCGTGGAGACAGCCGAGTTTGGCGACACTAGTGGTGGATCGACCAAACGAGCCGGATGGATACAGTGGGAGGCGACGATGGTGTACGCTATGGATAGCCATGTCACCTAGCACATGATGTTAGAGCAGAAGCGAATGTAGACCAATTAACCCTAGACTGCAGGCTACAGTTCCTCCTGCAGCCACTCGGCCTTGGGCCTCACGAGGTGAAACCGCTCCTGGCGGCCATACACCCACTCGAAGCTCCCCTCGCCGTCTCCCTCGCCGTCGACCCAGTAGACGTCCTCCTCGAGGGGAAACGACAGCGTGACGTTGCGCTCTGGGACGTAGTGGCGGGCCATGAGCTCGACGCTGTACCAAGTGCGCGGGAGGAGCGGCAAATCGCCCAGCACTGGGACTTTGTCCTGGAGGTTGGTCATGCCTGGTGGCAGAAGAGTCAGTGTCTCGCGGTTCTGCGGTGCGTGTGCATGTGTGCGTCCCTGCCACCTCCTTATCCACGTCCACACGAGAGACGACGGGGTAGACAAAGAGAGGGAGAGCACAAGGAAAAGTCTCACCTATGACAGTCCCCGCCGAGTGGCCCCAGTCGCCGATGGAATGGCAGTAAATCTTGCCGTCGATGCCCACCTCGGCCATCTCGGCGCGGATGGCCTGCAGGATCTCGTTGCCCGTCCGCCCGGGCAGCATGTGCCGGCGCGTCATGTCCTGCAGCTGGTTGCCCTTGCGCAGGCCCTCGCGCAGGCCCGCGGGCACGCCGTCAGCCTCGGTCTCGCCAGGCCGCAGCACGTACCCGAGATGCTGCGTGTCCGTGTTGAGGCCCATGGCGGTGACGCCAAAGTCGACGTGCAAGAGGTTGCCGTACGCGATGGGCTCGTCCTTGAGGGCGTCGACGCCGTCTTCTTCGTCGCTACCGGCTGCCGCAGGCCACTCGGATTCGCGAATGATCGTCACGTCGGGCTGAAACCACGTCGTGTAGTTGAGCGCCTGGATCTGCTCGCGCATCCACCACTCCACGTCGCGGGGCGTGGTGCGCCCGGGGACGATGACCTCTTCGCTGAAGCCCGTCGTGATGATGGCCCAGGCCGTCTCCTGCATGCGCCGGTACCAGGTAAGCCGGGACCCGTCGCTGCGGGCGCTGCCCACGGCCTGCGTGCCAATGTACTCGACCGCGAGCATGGGCTCGACGACAAGCCGCGACGCCCAATCGGGTCCCAGCGCCGCCGTAATGGCATCCCGCTCTCCAGCGTGCAGACCCGACGAGAAGGCAATCTCTGGGTGCGCGTCGACGGCGATGGTGGCCGGCTGGTGCGCCTCGAGCACGGTGAGAAGCTCTTCCCACACCCGCGGCGTGTTGTCGACCCAGGTGTATTCGCGGCGCGGCTCGCTACCGCTGCTGCTGCTGGACTCGTTGCCCGCGGCCAGGAAGAGCTGCGTGGTGCGCCGCCGCGCCGAAAACTGCGTCGCCGACTTGAGGCTCCAGAAGACCGTTTCCTCGGCGTACTCGCGCTGGCTTATCTGCCGTGATTCGTCAGCCAACACATGAACGCGAGAGTCTCAAAGCCGCGGCAACGAACCAGCCACGCGTCGATGTTGTGCTTGCGGAGGAGGGCCGGGATGGCGGCGCGGCGCGCGGCCGCCCATTCATTCTGTAGGACGGCCTGGTCGCGTAGAGACGGGAGGAGCTGGTACGATGGCGACGCGCCTGCTGCGGCGACGCCAGCCAAGGTGGCGATGAGTGACACTCTCATTGTGATTGAGGCGATTGCGGATGTGAGCTCGACGGAGTCGAAGGCCGGGACGGACGGAGGCTAGTTATGGTGCCGGGCCGGGTGAATTGGTGAGGGGTACGGTATCCTCAACGGGCAGGTCAGCACAGCCCCGGCCCGCGGAGTTCGCTATCCATGTTCATGGTAGTGTCATATACGTCTATGGTCTTATTGTACAATCGGTCTAGGCAAGGGTTCTGGTCGCGCGCGCGCGCATCTAGTTGAGCAGAATGTCGTAGCCGTCCTTGGTGATGCGCACCTCCTCCGCTCCGTACCCGTACTTGCGCCGGATCAGCTCAAAGATGATGAGCCCCGCGCTCGTGCTCGGCACCTGCCGGATCGCGTTCCACCAAAAGCCCCGGTACAGCCAGCGGCCCAGCGTTGTGCCCTCGGAGGCGGCCTCGGCGGCGCACCCGGCCCACGTCTCCTGGTAGGCGCGGTAGTAGGCCCGCATCATCCTCCACCGCCAGCGCGGCCGCTCCGCACCGGGACCCGCCGCGCGGTACCGCCGTGCCTTTTCGTCCAGGTCCTCGAGATGGTCCCAGTGCTTGACCTGAAAATGCGTCAGCGGGTGCAGGACCAGCTGTTGTGCAAGAGAGGCGCTCGCGCCTGCGCAGAGCAGGAACATTGGTTCGATGGCGTAGTGAGGGCGGATCATGATGCGCTTTTCTTGCTTGTCGTCGTCGTCGCCGTCGCCGCCGCCGCTGCTGGTCGGGTTCACGGACGCGGGCGTGGGACGCTTCGAGGCAAGCACGTCGACAATGTCCTGCTCGAGGCCGCCGTAGTACCATGTCACGAAGCGGTAGTAGCCCTGCGCCTTGACGTACTCAAAAGCACTGAAGAAGATGGCGCTCCCCAGGCTGTCCTTGGCGAGTGACAGCCCCCAGCCGGCGAAGACGCCGCGGAGGCCAATCTCGCGCAACTTCTCGGCGCCAAAGGTCCACATGCTGCGCGGCCGGCCGCTGCCATCGTTGGGCATCAGGTCGCGGTGGTCGTAGCGCGCCTGCAGGGCGTCGAGCGGCGCAGCCAGAACGCTCTGCAGGCCACCGGCGAGCAGGCCGGCGAGAAAGGTGTGCTGGGGCGATGGCGGCGGGTAGACGCGGCGGCTGGCCTTTGCGCTGCCCTCGTGCAGGCGACCGAGGATCTGCAGGTAGCTGGTGTAGAGGACGGCGCCGACACCGACGTTTGCGATGAGCGGGGGCAGGATCTGGTGCGGCACGACGCTCCAACCCTGATGGCGAATGGCCGAGGTGAGGACACCGGGTGTGGTGCCACGCAGCCAGAGCCAGGCGTAACGGGCTAGGACCGAAGCCCGCGAGGGCGCCGACGACGACGAAGACGAGGCATCGGCGGCAAGCGCACGCAGCATGCGCTCCGTCTGGGCATTGTGCAGCGTGCGAGCGTAGGCGAGGTAGTCGACACGAGTCCGGAAGAAGGCCTTGGCCGGCGCGCGAAAGTAAAAGGCCACGAGCTGCGCGCTGAGGGCACGCACGCCGGCGGCAGAGGCGGCCGTCGCGGCGTCGCTGCGGGGGGCGCGGTCGGGGAGGTCGGTCGCGGGCACTACCGGGAGGACGCCGTAGCGGGAGTCGGGGACGACGCCGGCCACGTCATTGCGGCCGATGGTCATGGCTCCGGCATCGTGAGGCCGCGACGACGGTGGGAGAGGCCGAGGAGGGGGGTTGAGGAGGGCTGAGGCTGGCTGTTTCGGCGATGGTCTTGCGCTCGGGTGTTGGGAGGCGCTTTGCACGCTGACTAAGTTTTGTGCAACGGCGACGAGAATGAACCCTGCTCAACCACGCATCACCCTGCACCTTTCACCACGGACCCGCGAATGGAGAACGTGCTCGGACGCAGTAATATTCTATCTCTCGTTCTCACAGCCGTCGCGCAAGGTCGGGTCGACTTCTCTGCCCAAAAATCTACACGCCCCGTGAACACCATGAACACTCCACGTGAACCGTCCGCCTGACACCTCGCTTGCGTCTCATCAATGTCACGACGCGCCACTACGCCGCCAATGCGCCTACCGCCGTGACTACAGCTGCTCTATTCCACCATCGCCATCGACCGGCCCACGTCTTCCGGCAGCTGCCGCCAACGGCTGGTGTACACCCGTCCGTTCTTCATCACCGCCAGCACGTTTCGCTGCGGCCGCGCCAGCACCGACACGTCCTCGAGCGGATTCTCGTTGAGCACCAGCAGGTCCGCCGCGAAGCCCGCCTCGACTCGGCCCAGGACGTCCTCCTGCTTGAGCAGCCGCGCCGCCGTCACCGTGGCCCCCCGCAGCACCTCGGCGGCGCCGAGACCCTGCGCTCGGATCTCGAACTCGCGGCTCTGCTCCTCCTGGAGCGGCCCGAGCAGGTCCGACCCGTGGCAGATGCTGACGCCCGCGTCATGAGCCATGCGCAGCGACGCGAGCCCCCGGGCGAGCACCTCGCGGTTCTTGACCCGGTTGACGGGCGGTAGGAAGTCCGAGTACTTGTCCTCGCTCATGGCCTGATACGTGATGAGCGTGGGCACGAGCCACACGCCGCGATCTGCCATGTACCGCGCCGTCTCCTCGTCGATGAGGTTGCCGTGCTCGATGCAGCGGACGCCGTTGTCCACGGCGTGCCTGATCGCCTTTGGCGTGTACGCGTGCGCCGTCACGTAGGTGCCGTACGACTCGGCCACCTCGCAGATGGCCCGGATTTCGTCGGCCGTGAACTGCGTGTTCTCCAGCTTGTCCGTCGGCGAGGCCACCCCGCCGCCCACCATGATCTTGATGAAGTCGGCCCCGGTGCGGATCTGGTTGCGCGTCGCCTGGATGCACGCCGGCACTCCATCGATGACCTGCGTCAGCAGCGTGTCGCCGCCGCAGCACTGCTGGTGCGCCTGGTGCGGCCCGCGGGCGTCGCCGTGGCCGCCCGTCTGCGAGAGCGCCTTGTTGGAGATGACGAGCCGCGGGCCTGGAAAGACGTCGTCTTCAATGGCCTCCTTGAGAGCGAGCGTGGCGCCGCCCGTGTCACGCACCGTAGTGAAACCCCGGCTCAGCATCTGCGCGCACAGGAACGGCTGCCGAAAGTACGAGACGGCCGGGTCCGGCGGGAACGCGCTCGCGGCGAGGCTCGCGTTGCCGGCCACCGCGCTCAGATGGACATGGCAGTCGATGAGTCCCGGGCACAGAAACTTGCCCTCAAGATCAATCACAACGTCGTGGGAACCGGCGGCGATACGGTCGCCCACAGCCTGGATGAGGCCTTCAGCCAACCTCACTGTCTGCTTCCGAATGACACCCTCGACGGTGTCCACGACGTTGGCGTTCTTGAAGAGATAAGACGTCTGCGGAGGCAACGTCCACGGCTTGATGAGCCGGGCCGGGGTGCTGGCGGCAACAGGGGCCTGCGTCGCCATGGTGGGCTCTGCCTTGCGCAATGTCATGATGTGGTCGATGGTGATGCTGAAGCACGCCGTATATACTGTTGGGCCACGCGAGCGGGGTTTCTGGTATTACTGGGCACGGCGACCAGCTGCACGACGGGCGAGGAGACGGACATGCATTCATGCAGGAGCGCCAAGCTGCACCCTCCGCATCGGCTGCGGTACCCCGCCATCCCCATCTCTGGCCGTCTGCCCCTGGGTTTAGCAGCTTTAGCTTTGGGCCGTCGCGGGCCGTATAAGTGGCTTGACGGTCACTGAACGGGAATATTAACCCATCGTCGACAGAGGGTGCGGCACGGGGCCCCACCAGTTTGCATTTATCCCCAGATGGCATCTGCCGTTCATCAACACGACCGCCCAGGCAGCGAGGCGAGACGCAGATGTAGTCACAGACGAGTCAATTACTCAGGCCGTCTCTTAAGCTATCATACATGCCGAGGCCCTGTTAGCCTCCTTGTTGCCGTCAGCTGTTAGAGACTCGTTTCACCACGTCTCGCCGTCCTTCCGTCAGTTACAGGTGCAAATATTTTGCGGCGTGCAGGAGCCGCCCGGCTTGCCAATCTTGCGGCAGTGCGCCTCGCAGCAGAGGCCCGAGTAACCGGGAAGGTTGATGCAGCAGATGCTGCGGTTCACGAGGGTCACGTTGTCCGTGAGCTCGCGGCCGGCGTCCAGGGTCGCCTCGAGATCGCGGCGCAGCACGGCGTCGCCATCCTCGTACTCGGCGCGCTGGACCGGGTCGAGGCTGCGCTTGCGTGGGTAGCAGGCGCAGATGTTGGCGCCCGGGCAGCCATCCTTGGGTAGGCAGCGGCCGCCCTTGGGATTGCCCTGGCGGATGCACACGCCGTTGCAGGCCTTGTCGGCGGCTGGCGAGAGCTCCTCGCAGGTGAGTGAGGGCATGCATAGCGCCGAGGCGAGTGAGGCGGACGCGAGGGCGGCGAGGACGAAGCGCATGGCGACGGGATGTGATGCTGGTCTTGCTGGAGCTGTAGGGCTTTTGCTACTGCTCACTTGTGACGTGCAGAGAGTTCAAGTGTCTTGGGAGCTGTTGTTCGATCATCAGTGAGGCCGATATCGAGCATTTTATACTTGAACCTTTTCACTTGACCATCCTGCACTCCCATGTAGCTCCGAGAGGCATCGGACCCCGTGCTCAGAGACTTGTATACGTCTGTCGTAAAAGGCCATCATCAAAGCCACGCAGATTTTCAAAATGTGTTCCAAAAATTGACATTGGTATCAGAGAGTGTCGCTCATCCTCGCTCAGCTGGTCTAGATCCACGAGGCGTGACGGCGTGCGGGAATGGGATCCGGACAAGTCAGGGACATCCGACTCGTTTTTGGTCCGCGAGACATTCAGACTGGACGTCTGCTTCTAAATCGAGCGCCGAGCAGTTCTGCGGATCCGAGGATCTAGGCTGGCCTGCGGTGTCGGGCAGTCGCTGAGCGCATGACGATGTCTTGGGGGGAACGCCGGACGTGGTGGCGAGTGAGTGCCGGGCCATTGCCGACGGAGGGATGCGAAACATGACGATGAATCACCGTGATAGAATCTGTGCATCTGGGCTGAAGGATTCAGTATGCGCCCTCCTTGTCAATTGACGCATCTGGATCGCTGGAGGATCGCCCCCCGGCCCTACGGCTTCTGGCAGGATCGCCACCGGGATTTGCACGGCGCCGCGCCGCTGCTTCAGCTGGAGACGCCGGTGTAAACAGTGGCCTGCCGCTTCACGAAAGCTGTGGTGATCAACAGTCAGCGCACAGTGGACGGATGTTGACCCGGCTGACGGATAATGCATCATGTTGTTCGATGAGGGTCTCATCCGTCGACATGGACGAGGGACGTCTGGGGGTCCAGGTCTTCCTCGTGGACTCCAGGCATGCGTCCAAGTCTCATGCCACCATGAATGACTTCATATCCTATTCCTGCACCTGCGCCTGCCGATCCCTAGCCTGCCTTGGGTATCACTCCCTTCTGTCGCAGCGCGTCGTCCGCCCTCCGTGCCCCATCGATGCTTCGTCGCAGGATCGCGAGCTGCCCGTCGTCGAGCGGCGTCGCCTGCGCGCCCGCCATGCAACTCATGTTCTGCTTGGTGGCGCCCTTTTCCCACCTGCCGTCCAGCATCCAGTCCGTCGGCACGTCGTACGCTTCCGGGTCGGCGAGCTTATTCTTGAGCAGGCTGCCGTTATACCATAGAAGGCGGTCCTCGTCGTCTGCGTGCGCGATGACGAAGCTGCACACCCGTGCTTCATCTCCGTCTTCGTCCTTTCCTTTGACGCTTTGGACGGTCTCGTTCGTCGGGGGCTTTGTCTTGGGCCGCCACCCTATCATCGATCCGTAATGTTTCTCAAACTCGTACGTCGACCCGGCCAGCTCGAGCCCCAGCCACCACGTCTCCTTGTCGCCGTACGTCAGCTTGTACGACACCTCGTCGCGCACGTCGCGCGTATTCTGCCACGCCGCGTGCAGCAGCCCCCCGAGCACTTCAGTCCGCGCCTTGTCCGCGACCACGACTCCCGAGTCGCACTCTTCGGCGTAATCGTCCGTCCACACGAGCGACTGGTTAAGCGCCGCCGACGGCTCCCGGATCTGCTCGCGCCACCACTCGTGCCGCTCCGCAAACGCATGCTGCCACAACAGTCGGTCGTGAAAGAGGTAGGCTCCCGTCGTCGCAAAGGGCCGCTGCTCGAAGAGGACCTGCGGCGGCTGCAGGAACACGGCATCTGCGTCCACGAGAATCGCCTGCTCGAACCGGGACGCGAGCAGCCCAAACGGCTTGATGGCCCAGCCGCCGGCCAGCAGGCTCAGCGTGTCGTCGGCGAACACGGACAGCACATTGAGGAACTTGATGTTGCCCGTTGCGTCCAGCGCCGCGAGGGCATTACGTCGCTCCTCATCGAGGTCGATGTCGCCCGCGTAGGCGATTTCGATGGGCAGCTGGCACTCGAGCACCTCGCGCAGGGCCACGACGAGGTGGCCTGCGTACCGCAAGTTGCCGTATCCGACGGGTATGACAATGCCTCGCCCGCCGCCCCTGAACCGGGAGCGGAGGTCGGCCAAAGGCGTCGAGCTGCGCGGGCGCGAGGGCGACGACTTGAGGAACGGAAAGAGGGCCGCGGCTGCCCGTTCCGACGCCAAAAGGAGGTGTCGCCTCGTGCGTGACGGGCCGGCCTGGTCCGCGACATGCAGCCAGTGGGCGAGCATTCGGGACCGTTGTCCGACGAGCCAGAACTGGTCCTTGTAGGGCGGCTGGACAGTCGTCTTCGCAAAGTGCTTTGCTGTGGCCGTCACGTTGTCAATATCGATCCCGATTGGGACGCGGCCGTCGTAGAAGAGCACATCATCGGCGAGGTCTCGAATCGTTGCGTTGAATGACAGACAGAGGACAATGGCGATCAAGGCCGCCGCTATGCGTGGCCTGCACGCATAATGGGTTGCCCACCGCACATGTCCCACCAACATGACTCTTTTTACATGTCCAACCTCATGGCCAAGAGAGTGAAAGGACGATGACATTTTCTATGTCCGATTTGAGCGGATTACGCCATCAGCCCGGGAGTTGCCCAAGTGGGCATGATGGAATCACATCCCGTCGAGATCCCTGCCGCTGAGCCGCTGCGGCTGCACCGCGCACAAATAGCTATGGGGCTGAGTCGCGTCCCGGCCGGCATTGCTGAAATGGACTGCCAGTTGCGTCGCATTCGTGCTTGCAGCCATCGTCGGTTGGTGGCGCTGAGGCTTGCCCGACCGACGCGCGTCCGTCCACGTTTGCTGGTGGAGTTTACGCTGACGCCAAACCTCCGATAAGGATGCACACAAACAGCCCCGTTGCGGCTTGCTTGAGGTCTGGCGGCGGGCACGCCGCACGATGAATGTGGGGGCTTGGTTCACTGGCCGAGGTTCGTCATGAAAGCTGTGACGCCTGCTGAGCGCGTTGCATGGTCCAGTTGCGCGTTTCCCAGTCGCGCTGCTCATCGCGCCCAGAGTCAATAGCCATACTTGCACATCTGATATTGATGGAAATGCCGCTTAGCTTTCACACAGCTTCCCACACCCCTAGCCGCTCCGCATAGCCGTCCGTGCCCTCATCCGTTCGCTCGATGCCGAGGCTGCCGAGCCGGACCCCTCGGCCAAGACCCTCTATGGCCCGGACGTTGAGCGGGAGCAGGCTCACGTTGCGGTGGTACGCCTCGAGAGCGCGGGCCTTGCGCTCCGGCGGGAGCTTGTCAAAGACGCTGAGGGGCGGCCCGTAGATGATGTTGTAGACGAAGACGCCACACGTCGAGCAGTGCACCACGCCTCCCCATTTCCGCCCCGTCTCCTCAGCCCCGAGGCCAAAGTACTCGAAGCTGTACTCCTCTTGGCCATGTGTTCGGACCTGGTCCTTGGTCGGGTACACGCCGATGTAGGCGTTCTATGAAGGTGAGCGCCGGTCAAGGTGGTGGGAACGAGACGGATGGTGAGTGGGTGACTTACACGCACGCACGAGCTGCAGTTATCCTCCTTGACTTGCTGCTCAGATAGAGGCGTCAGAAGCTCGGCCTGGATCTTTCCGCAGTGGCACGCAAAGACGTGCTGCGCAGGCGGCTCTCCCGCCACAGCGACAATGTGCCGGTCGTCCTCCGTATCGACATTCGTGACATGGGGTCTGCCTGTCAGTCTCCTGCACATTTATGGTGGCTGCCTCGTCTTACTCGAGCTTGAACGGGTTGACGCCCTGGATCGCTCGCACATTGACGAGGAACTGCCCCTGCAGCGGGCCGACAATGTGCTCCCCCGTCACGCCCGTGCCGCAATGGCCGCAAAACTGCGCCGTCAGGATCTGCTCACTCTGTCGCGAGGCGCCCCACGATGGTGCCGACTCACCTTGTCTCGAAGCGCCTTGGATGAGTACTCGACAAGGCGCCCGTCGTCGCGCACCACGCGAAAGCTCCCCTCAGGCGGTGCCACCCAGAGGTAGCCCTTCTTGACGCAGATCGTGCAGCTGCAGGCCGTCGTCTCCGCGATCTCCTGTGGCAGCGCCAACTCGTAGCGGTAGCGACCGCAGTGGCAGTTGCCACGGTACGCGATCCGTGCCATGGCCATTACTCTATGGGAAGGGATGAGGTCGATCTCGAGTTGGGGACTTGACAACGTGGCTTGGCAGCTGCGGAGATGAAGGACCAGACCGGCCACGCGAACCCCGACGCCAACGGCATAAGCGCGATCGCACCGTCAGACCAAAACAGGGACTATACTCCGACACTTAAGCACCGCATTCGCCAAACGTCCATCATCCAGGCTCGGGCCGTGGAATGGCTCTCGACTAGCGCAATGCCAACCGGCCGATTCGAGCTCGTTCACATGTATGACTACGACGCCGTGTTTTTCGCACGAAATGTATTTGAATCTGCTGTCCCGGTTCGCCCATGCTGAGGTCCCTTGCCGAGGGCGAATCATTCGCAATGAAGCTGTACCTCCTCGCCGCGGCGCTCGGCGCGACAGCCTGTGTGCCGTCGCTGGTCCTCGAAGGCGTAAGCGAAGAGCGCTCCAATGCTCCTAACTCGCCCTTTACCCTCAGAGCCTCCTGTGCCGACCTGGGCAATGAGCACGCCGTATTCCTCCGTGGCAATTCCGCCGCCGAACCCCAATCAGTCAGGGGCATTCTGCTGAACACGACCGTGTCGAGCGACGGCATCGCCGTTCCCGGCCTCCGGCCCGGTCAACAGACCATAACAGTTGTCGCCGCCGACGCCAGAGGCAACCCGATCATGCAAAACTTTATGCTCCGTTTCGGTTCGGATCGTTCCGCCCGGTCTGAGATCTTCCAAGCCAAGTCGGCCGACCCGAGCCCCGCCGCGTGCAGTTGCGGCAGCTGTCAAGATTGCCCCGGCAGACCGATTTGCGAGCCAAACTGCCAGATCCCCCCACAGTCATGCGACTTTTACACCAGCTGCGCCGAGGAGACACTCCACTGCGGTTCGGACGGGTATCCTGTCCGGTACGGGGCCAAGAACTGCGGTCGCTTCGTGCACAACCTCGGCGCCTTTTCGCCCTCGGGTCAAGCCTGGGTATGGCGCGTCATGACGTGCCTGCAGCGGGCTCTGGTCGAACCCGTCGGTCGCTGCGGGGCGACCTGCCAGGTCATCGAAGAAGCCGCGTTCGCGTCGCATCCGGTGTGCTATGTCGACAGCGGTGTGTGCGACCTACCGCTCCAGGACTTGGTGGAGATTGTCGTAACGGTCAACACTGATCTTTTCGCTGGGCCGGCGCTGGAGCAGGTGTTCAAGACGGCGGGAGGATGCGCGGCGCATTATGACCGCGAGCTTGGTGCGAGAATCGCCGAGCTGGAGGAGGAGGCTCGCGATCAACCCATCCGCAAACCCGTCATCTATGCTGAGATTGTCCTCCTTCGGGGCGTCAAAAGGTTTATCGGCAGTTTTGCAGGTCCATAGACGCCACCACTCTAGCAGGTCGAATGGAAGAGCCCTCCGACCGGCGTCGTTTCGGCCAACTTGCTGTATATGGTCACCGCCTCTCGGGTCTCGGCAATGTATATGGACACGTTCTTGTCGGCAAGGTACTCCAGAACGGCCGGCTCGACACGAAGCTTGTTCTGGAAACCCCGCGACAGCACAATCGCAGTCGCCCCATTTACGACGAGCTCCTCGACGTCGGCGATCTGGATGCCCGGCCGATGCTGCGTCCCCGTCTCACTCCAGTCCCACTCCCGGCCACCGCCAGGCCAGAGCTTGAAGTCCTTGCCGTCGCCGACGTCCGGGATCTCCATGCGACCCCAAGACACCGCCTTGATCTTTGGTGACGCCATGCCGCGCTGGTATGAATTTGATTGTGATCGGTGAGTGTTTGAACATGGTCAGGTTGGAGCGGGGCCGTGTGCAAGCTCATCGGCTGCCTCGGCCGAACCTTTGTCCGCAGTTAGGTGGGAGACTGCTCAGCTCGTCAAGCCGTCTGTCCCCGGCCGTCAAGCCACTTGCTCATGTACGGTCCGTCCAGCCAGTAGCCCAGCTTGGCATAGTAGCTGCGCACGCCCACGCCCGAGATGACGCTGATCTTGTCGCTGCCGTGCTCCTCTCGGGCGATGCGCTCTGCCTCCTCCATGAGCAGCGTGCCGAAGCCCTGGTGCTGGAACTTGCGCGGGTCGCGTGCGTGAATGGGCACGGCCGTGCCATAGACGTGCAGCTCGCGGATCATGCTGGTCGGCTGCCCAGTCAGCTCCTCACGGTATGTATACTTTTCCGTGCACTTGCGCAGCCGTAGCAGCGCCACCAAGATGTCCTGCTTCGGGTCTTCGTAGGCCAGGAACGTCTCCCAGCCTCCGTTGGCCGCGTAGTCGCGACGCACCAGCTCGATCTGGTTCGGCCGGATCTTGTTCTTGACCTCGTTGACGCCCACCTCGCGCGTCCGCACGTCGCGGCACGTCGTACCAAAGTCCTTCATCCGCGCCAGCGCCAGCTCCCGCAGGTTGCCGTTTTCGACGCCCGACGTCACCAGCGGCATGGGGATGTCTCGCTGCACCCGATAGATGCGCGTCCAGGGCGGAATGAGGGCGAGGATCCGTGCCACTAAGTCGATGAGCCCGTTGGGGGTGTAATTTTGGTACCGACCCGTTCGCCACAGCTCGTACAGGCCCGTGCCGCGGATGACGAGCGTCGGGTAGATCTTGAGACCGTCGGTACGGAACGCTGGGTTCTCAAAGTACTCGCGGAACTGGTCGACGTCGCGCTCCATGCCCACGTTTGGCAGGTCCGGCATCATGTGGCTGACCACCTTGAATCCGGCGTCCTTGGCCAGGCAAAACGTCTCGGCGACGGCCGCCACCGTGTGCCCGCGGTTGGTGTCGCGCGCGACGTCCTCGTACAGCGACTGCACGCCAATCTCGAGGCGCGTGCAGCCGTACCGCAGCATGTCCGTGAGGTGCGGCTGCAGGCAGTAGTCGGGCCGCGTCTCGATCGTGATTCCCACGCACTTGACATTGCTCATCTCGCCCGCCTCGACCGCCTCGTCGACCTTGGACGTCTGGTATCCGCTCAGGGCATTGTGGAGCTGCGAGATGAAGTCTTCGCGGTACGCCTCGGGGAGCGACATGAAGGTGCCGCCCATGATGATGTACTCGACCTTGTCAACCGAGTGTCCGAGTGATTTGAGCTGGTCGACCCGGCCGCGGGCCTGCTCGAAGGGGTCGTACCGCGCGCGGATGGCCCGCATCGACGTCGGCTCGTACCCGGTGTACGACTGTGTGCTGTACTCGAAGTCGGAGTCGGGCCCGCCGGGGCAGTACACGCAAATGTTGCCCGTGTAGGCAATGTGCGGGCAGCGGTGCGGCTTGCACATGACGGCGACGACGGCGATGCCGGACGAGGTTCCTGCTGGCGGTTAGCAAACCTCAAATCGCTGACCGGCTCAGGCTGGCCCACTTACGGATGGGTTTGGCGATGAGTTTGTGCAGAATGTATTTCTTGTAGTGCTCGGGGATGGCGGCGATGATGGCCGTCAGCGGCGGGATGTTTGTCAGCTTGTGCTTCTTGGACATCTTGGCGCGCAGGCTGTTGAGGTTGATGTCCCGCGAGGTGCGGCCGTCCTTGCTGGCCTCGTGGTCCTCGATGAGGGCATTGGCGACGTCGGCGCAGCAGCGCAAAAAGCGCTCGCTCTCAGGTGCGAGGTCGCCCTTGCGCTTGGTCGTCGTGACGGTCGCGGTAGCCATGATTGCGGCGGTGCAGGATGGCCCCTCGGTCTGTCGTCGAGACTGTGAAGCTGTGCGGTGTGACACGGGGAGTTGGATATAAATTCATGGTGGGGCGGCATGGGCGGCCGGCGGGTCACCAGCAGGCTGCAAATTTGCGGCCAAGTGAAGGTACGTACCCACCTCAGCGCCGTCCCGGCAAGCCAAGGTCAGGCAGGCCGTCGGTGAAGCGGCCTAGCCGATAATTGCCTTAGCAGTCGAGTCCAGCGCCAGAGCATGGCCCGTGGTGTCGGAAAAAGACAGCTGCCGTGTCCGAGAGAACCCGAGTCGTCGCCAAAGCTCTCGTTTTCGCGCACCAAGCTCCGGCATCAGCTCTCCAACCCTGCTCTCCGGTCAACGCTGCATCGCGGCGTCTCGAGTCGACAATCTCCCCTCTCCCCCTCCCACTCGCAATGCAGGCTCTTCCCAGGACGGCGGCGCGCTCGGCCGCGCTGCGTCAGGCCGCCCGTCGCGCCTACAGCTCCTCCAACACCCCCTACGCCAGCACGATCGAGAACCTGCGCATCAACGGCGACACCAAGGTCATCTTCCAGGGCTTCACCGGCAAGCAGGGAACGTACGTGCCCTGGATCCTGACTCTTTGCGGACACGCGGCGGTGCTGACGAGACCAGCTTCCACGCCCAGCAGGCCATTGAATACGGTATGAACAAGTGTTGAAATTCTCTTGGACGCCGCTGACCTCTCCAGGAACTAAGGTTGTCGGCGGTACGAACCCCAAGAAAGCCGGCCAGACGCATTTGAACCTGCCCGTCTTCAAGGACGTCTCCGAGGCCGTCAAGGAGACGGGCGCCACCGCCACGGCCCTCTTTGTCCCGTACGAAAGCACCCTGCCTTCCACGATGCCCGCGATTCCCGGCTGACATGACAAAGCCCACCCCTGGCCGCTGCCGGCATCGAGGAGGCCCTCCAGGCTGAGATTCCCCTCGTCGTTTGCATTACCGAGGGCATTCCGCAACACGGTTCGTGGCCGGACCCCCCGTTCCTCCAAATCCGCGCGCTCGCTCACACCTTCGTCCAGACATGGTACGCATCACGTCGATGCTCAAGTCGCAGAACAAGACCCGTCTGGTCGGTCCCAACTGCCCCGGCATCATCGCCCCCGGCCAGTGCAAGATCGGCATCATGCCCGGCTTCATCCACAAGCGCGGCCGCATCGGCATCGTCTCTCGCTCCGGCACCCTGACCTACGAGGCCGTCAACCAGACCACGCAGGTTGGCCTGGGCCAGTCGCTCGTTGTCGGCATCGGCGGTGACCCCTTCAACGGCACCAACTTCATCGACTGCCTCAAGGTATTCACCGAGGACCCTGAGACGGACGGCATCATCATGATTGGCGAGATTGGCGGCTCCGCCGAGGAGGAAGCTGCCGAGTTCCTCAAGCAGGCTAACACGGTCGGCGGCGGCAAGCCCGTCGTCTCCTTCATTGCCGGCATCTCGGCTCCTCCGGGCCGCCGCATGGGTCACGCTGGCGCCATCGTCTCTGGTGGCAAGGGTGGTGCCGAATCCAAGATAAGCGCTCTCGAGGCCGCCGGCGTCATCGTCGAGCGTTCGCCTGCCAAGCTCGGAGATGCTCTGGCACAGGAGTTTTTCCGTCGGGACCTTTGGTAATTTAGTGGGTGAAGAGGTCGAGGCTCGAGTGTTGCGGCGATGGCCGCCGACGGACATGGTCGCTGATTTTTGTTCCATTATCATACCGTAAGATAGAGTGGCAACATGCCGAATGTACCAAGTCGATCCGCGCAGTCGGGTAGTGCGTCTTATGAGCGTCAAGGCGCCCCGCCAAGTTCAATTCTCAAACGGGGCTGCGAGGCAAGGACTTGAGCAACCGGCGTGAGACACCGGTGACCGTTGCTACTGTGGATGCTTCACGCATCAGACAAGGCACTGGCCTGTGTCTATGGGTTTCGACGAGAGACCACTGTAATTCATTCGTAACATTCCCAAGGTAACTGATGCTCAACATACTCGTCCAAAAGTCATCCCGATCGTGGCGTCTCATTGTTATACAACCGCTGGCCACTTTGCCCGTCCATTCCTACTTGCCACTATGCGCTTTCTTAGGCGCTGTGCTCGTTGCACCACAACCCTATTTTCGCTTTGTGGCGCATTGTTGCTTCGTTTGTTAGCGTCTCCGTTATCCAGGCGAGCAGTCGCTGGCGAACTTACAAAAAACGACCCATACACCATTCTGCATTCAAGGCCAGGGCAGCAAGGGTCCTGGAGGTTCCCATCAGGTTAGAGGATATCATGGGGCAGGCTTTGCCTAAGAAGCGTCCTTACATTTTTGCAATGGTCTCCCTTCTTCTACAACAGTGCCACTCGCGTCAATAACCATCCAATCTTGGTGCATTTGCAATTCAGCATACCTTGCATTTCTCTCCGTCTGCTTTCTGATCGGCCATGGCCAGGCCAGCGACGAGCAGGAGCGCGAGGGTGAACTTCATGTTGACTGAGAGGACAGACAAGACTTACTGCGTAAAGTTGGGCTTCGAGGCGCTGGGGATCTGTGGCATCTGGTCCTATATGTAAAGAAGGAGCTCCCTCAAACTCCTAGCAATTTCTCACACTGTTGTTGAAACCGTCTGTACATAATTGAGACTCTGGAGCTTGTGGTGCGATACCCAGCGTTGGCCTGGTACGGTCCTGTGCCACGTTTGCATAGTACAGTCTCTGACCCGGCCGGATGCAATGTGAGAGCACAGGACCAGTGCCATGGTCAGCGATAGGATTTTGTTACAAACAAGCTCGGATCTGATACATGCCGGGCGTGAGCGCCAGGCCATACTCCGACCAACATGACGAACGGCGACTCGGATGGGGGCGCATTCAGGTACGAACGCATGCGTTTCAGAATATCTGCACACGTCACCCTTCTGCAGTCCCGTTGTACAGAACATCACGTCATCGTAAACAGCGGAAGGTGATACAGCTTATAACAATATACACCCTTTGACTCCCGTCGAGGGAGTTGACTGTCTGATCCAACTCTTACTGCTGGGTGTCGTGAGTAACCGCTTCTGATGTCATGAATGAGCAGACCTGCCCTTGCGTCGTGGCTCTTCCGATATGGCTCGCGACTTTCCGCATATCGCGGTCACAAGAAGGAATGCGGCCCCCGCAAAGCAAAGGCTGTACAGGTGCAAGTGACGGTGCGGCACTCGGATGCCACCGCCAAGTCTTAAAACATCGCTGCCTACTTGGTGCTCGTGGAAACTCTGCGAATTAAACCCTGTTGAACGCGCGAACCCCAACACCTCAGCCAGAAGACTGCCCGAAACAAGGAAACGAAACAAACCAAAAATACGCGCAAAGAACTCCGCGATGATGATGCTCCTCCCAATGCATGTTCGTTACATGGACGCTCATTGCTCACCCAGCAGACGGGCTGTGATGTCGCCCATATAGGCCTCTTCCAGCACGTAATCTCGCCCGTTATTGCGATCGATACCGAAATAATGGAAAGCGTCGATTACTGCGTCGACATCGAAGCCCATGTTGACGAAGCGGTCAACCAGGTCCTTGTTGTAGCCGTTGTATCTGCGCCACGGTCAGCGTGCGAGCTCGTCGGTCGTTACACGTCGGCCAGCCCGAGACCTACCGAGTTGAATCGCTGGCGTTCTGGACCGGCTGATTCGCGTGCTTCGTGAGCCACTTGCTGAGGTCAAAGGCCTGACGGTTGGCGCCGGCAAAGCGGACGGCCCAGTCCTGGGCGACGCGGGCGAACCGCTCCGGGTTCTCCATCATCATGCCTGCGACCTCGGCGTCCTGCGGGTCCTTGGGATTGGGCGCCTCGAGCAGCATGCGCAGCGAGAGGAGCGCCGTCTTGATGGTCTGGACGGGCGACCACCCGCTGCCCAGCGTGTCGAGGCAGATGGCGCCCTGCACAAGTTTTTGAGTCAGCCGCGAGCCTGGTGCGGTGTCGGGTCGGGGAGAGGCCGGCGCACCGTCTGACTGCTGACGTTGGGGTGCCAGATCTTGGTCTCAAACTTCATGATCGGCGACTTGAACGGGTACGTGTCGGGAATCTGGATGTCGATGTCGTACGTTGCGCTCGCATACGGCGTGTCCGGGGGCGCGGGGATGACACCCTTGAGGTGCTTGAGAGTTACGCCGTCGGCGGGCGCTGCGTACACGCCGGAGCTATCTCGGTCGGCTTGGATGTCGGCCAGCTCCTTGGCGATGCGGCGGTCCCGGCTGCTCGTCATGGCGCGGGTGGTTGGTACGTATGGTCGGCTTGGTATCGGTACTGCACGGGCGGCGTGAGGAGTGGGCAAGGTCGCGGGGAGACGAGGACGAGTACGAGGCGCGGGCGACTAGGTCGAGCGGGCGGACGCTATGGCGGCTTTGAGGAAAACTACCTGAGGCTGGGCTGGAGGGGCTGATGGATGGAGCTCGTACACCAGTGCGGGAAGGACGCTGCAAGGAAAACGACGTCAGTGGGCGGAAAGCTCAAGGGTGCAGTGTGGGCGCGGGCGCTAAATATAGGCTGACCGGCATGCCGACAGCGAGCGCATCATCCCCCCTCGACATGCCTCGCGAGTCACTGCAACGCCAAAGCGACGGTGCTTAACTTCTGTCTGTGATGTAGGGCCGCCAGTAGATGCTTGGTACAAAGAGTGCCATGTCAGGCAATGCCAACTGCTCGTATCTACAAAGTAATGGCGTCAACTCAGATTGGTCTACCCAGTGCGTGCCCACGTGTAGTGGTATGGAACGAGCACCAAGAGTGACACAATCACGAGGCCTAAGTGCGGCCGTGCACAGAGCATCAGGAAGCTGGAGCCACCCCGATAGCATTGCTGAAATCACTGCTTAGTACAGCATGCCACCGGAGAGACGTCAGTTCTAAGACCACTCAGTCAATGAGTCGACGGAGCTTCGCTCGTTAGTTAGTTAGTTAGTTAGTGTATTTTCCGTCCAGCGGCCGTGAGGCCGCTCAGGTCCCTTTTGGGCACAGGACGTGCTGGGCTAGTGGGTCTGTCCTACATCTGTCTCTTATACACATCTAGATGTGTATAAGAGACAGGCATCCAAGTGCCGTATTCTACTGGCCTCGAGGGAGGCCGTCGTCGGAGACTGCGAGAGCAGCCTCAACTGACCCGGGCGGGCAAAAGGGTGTGGGTGCACCCTCCGCCTGGACGGGTCTCATCATGCATTGATCATGCAAGAGAACAAAGGAAAGGAGAAGAGGGAGGGTGGAGTTCGCCTAGTGGCGAGGACACGCCCATTCGAAGAACGAGCTTGCCTTCGCCAGCTTGACAAACTTGTCGAAGTCTCTGCCTATTGCGCGATTGACTGCCGCAGTCGGTGAGGGTGCCAGCCTCATCCGGAGCTTCGCTCGCTGACCCTGGTGAGCCCCTGCAGGGTAGGTGATCAACTTGCCGCGGCGAAATGTGCGACGCGTGCGCAAAACCAAACAAGCATATTGCAGGTATATATTTCAGCAGAGCGGCCCGAGAAGCGTCACTTTATCAGTTCGACCCTCAATCGATGCACCGCGGACGTTGCAATCTTTCCTGCGGAAGCAGCAAGCTGGGCGCGTAGAGATCATCACGTGACTAGCAAGCACGTGACCCAGAGCTGCGTGTTCCCTGGCGCCTGATCGCGAGGCGGCCATTCATCATCAACCACCAAGCCCAGAGTCGTCACAACACCTCGGCATCCATCACAACGACCCAGATCATCCGCCGAGCTGCGATCAAGCTGTATCCTACCGCAACCAGCTCTCTTGTAATTACACGAGCTCCTAGAGCTTGACGCCAAGATGGTAAGTCCGGAGTGCTTGCCTTGGAAGCCTAGCTGACCATAGCAGGGTCAAGGCCAATCTGGCATGGGAGGCGGCGACGGCCGCGACGACAAGGACAAGAAGGTACGCGCACTGGATCTTTCCCCTACGCAGACTTGATCTAATATTTCGCAGAAGGATAAACCCAAGTACGAACCCCCCCCTCGGCCGACGACGCGGGTCGGCCGCAAGAAGAGAAAGGCCGGCGGCACCAGCGCCGCGGCCAAGCTCCCTGCCGTCTATCCCACGAGCCGGTGCAAGCTCCGACTGCTCCGGATGCAGCGGATCCACGATCACCTTCTGCTCGAGGAGGAGTACGTCGAGAACCAAGAGCGCCTGCGCAAGGCCAAGGCTGCCAAGGAGGGTCAGACCGCCGGCCCCGACGCCGACGTCGACCGGTTAGCCGACGAGCGCGGCCGCGTGGACGATATGCGTGGCAGCCCGATGGGCGTGGGCACCCTCGAGGAGCTCATTGACGACGACCACGCCATCGTCAGCAGCACCACGGGGCCCGAGTACTACGTGAGCATCATGAGCTTCGTCGACAAGGACCTACTTGAGCCCGGCGCGAGCGTGCTCCTGCACCACAAGAGCGTCAGCATTGTCGGCGTCCTGACGGACGACACGGACCCCATTGTCAGCGTCATGAAGCTTGACAAGGCGCCCACCGAGTCGTACGCGGACATTGGCGGCCTGGAGCAGCAGATCCAGGAAGTAAGGGAGTCGGTGGAGCTACCCCTGCTGCACCCGGAGCTGTATGAGGAGATGGGCATCAAGCCGCCAAAAGGCGTCATTCTCTACGGCGCCCCCGGCACCGGCAAGACGCTGCTGGCCAAGGCCGTCGCGAACCAGACGTCAGCCACGTTCCTGCGCATCGTCGGCAGCGAGTTGATCCAGAAGTATCTGGGAGACGGCCCGCGGCTGGTGCGACAGCTTTTTCAGGTATGTGCGACGCACAGACTCTGAAGACACAGGCAAACTGACTCGCTTAGGTTGCCGGCGAAAACGCGCCGTCCATCGTCTTCATCGACGAGATCGACGCTATTGGCACAAAGCGCTACGATTCAACTTCTGGTGGCGAGCGCGAGGTGCAGCGGACCATGCTCGAGCTCCTCAACCAGCTGGACGGCTTCGACGACCGCGGCGACGTTAAGGTCATCATGGCGACCAACAAGATCGACACACTAGATCCCGCGCTGATCCGACCGGGCCGCATCGACCGAAAGATTCTGTTCGAGAACCCCGACCAGAACACGAAGCGCAAGATTTTCAACTTGCACACGTCGAAGATGAACCTCAGCGAGGACGTGGACCTGGAGGAATTCATCTCGCAAAAGGACGACCTGTCCGGCGCCGACATCAAGGCCATCTGCTCCGAGGCGGGCATGCTTGCCCTGCGCGAGCGCCGCATGCGCGTGCAGATGGCCGACTTTAGGTCTGCCAGGGAGCGGGTGCTGCGGACCAAGCAGGAGGGTGAGCCGGAGGGTCTGTATCTGTAGTGTACAGTGTAGGACGAAGACAGCTGCTCGGCTGTGCGTGGCCCGGATAGGCACAGCAGGGTAATGAGATGTATTATCACTAGAATTAAGAGGTCTGCGGCCATCGCCGACGGTCAGCCCAGCTGGTTCCATGTCATGAATCGTGAAAGCCTCCAAGTCTATTAGTGCATAGTCTCCACCTTGCCACCGAAGTCGTCTTCCCCCTTCACGTCGACGCGCTTGCCCGGTGCTTGAGCTTGCACGCCGCTAACGACCGCGGGTGCGTGGCTGTAGAGGAAGCGAGCGACGACGAAGGCGGCGAGAGCCCAAGCCCAGACCAATGCGGCAACAGACGACGTGAGAAGTAGTGTCGGCACGAGGATGAACAGGGCGACCCCCATCCAGAAGAGCGTGAAGAGGAGGCCTGCCGCCAGGGCGAAACCGGCCGCCGACGCACAGAAGAGTGCGAAGAGAATCAGCGGCAGGAAGGAGAAGCAGACCTGCACGACAAGAAACGACTGCGAAGCGTTAGTTCACCGTCGACGGACTCCGAGAGGCGCGTGGGGGTTGGTCGTACGAATAGCATTGGCCGCGACGACGCGAGTGCCGAAGCCGCGTCATACGCATGGCGGCGCGAGGACGGCGGCACGACGCGGTCGAGGGAGCGCTGGGCGAGGGAGTAGGCGCCTGCAACTTGATCGCCGATGGTGACCTTGACGGCGGGCGCGACGGCCGAGGGCGAGCCATCGCCGGTGCGTTGCTGGGCGTCGTGGCCCTGCTCCTGTGTAGCAGCGGGCATGGCGTGCAGCGGTGGTGGAGCCGGCAGCTGTCGCAGGCGGGTCGCTTATCTGGCTGGGCGTAACGGTAGGCAGGTCTGGCAGCGCTAGGTGAGATCACAGACGAGGAAGCGGTGATGCGAGATGCAATGTGACGGGGTGCGCATGAGCGGACGAATAGGCCAGGGTCAGAATGTGGTGTGGTGAGGTCGAATTAAGGTGCCCAGCGTGGCATCTTGGCCGCGTGACAGTGACGCAGACGACTGCGCGGGAAGGGGCGGTCGCCACAACGACGCCGGGGTCACTTATATGAACCGAATTGCGCGAGCCCACCCATCAAGGCAGCAACGCACCGAACCCGCGATTTTCACGCGACAGGAGGCGACTGTGAACTGAGCGCATCGCCGTCGTCCCATGGTCCTCTGGTGAGTCAAATAGGCGTAGATAATATTTAACTCGTGGGTTTGTATCACATCTGGGTCGACCATCGACGCTGGCCGCCGCAAAACTGCTGGTCCCAGACTCCCAAGCGAGCCTGATGACTTCACGTTCGCCTGTGCTTGGCAACATAATCTACAAAGTAGGCGCAGGAATTTGATATTAAACTCCACAGTCGAGACTATCCGCAGCATTGAGACAAGAGTAGTGCTACTTGTAGAACCGTCCTACGATCCTGCGTGTTTTCTCGGCCGCGCCTTACCCCCATGCAGCGCCAGCGATTTTACTACGCAGGCATGGGACGGCAGCGGCGCGCTGCCTATGTCTATCAGTACTGTCGTTACTATCGTGACTGTCGTTGCTGTCGTTATTGCTGCTGTTGCTGCTGCGGGCTCTACAGCTGTCAGAAGTTCGTTCTACGAACCTGGAATAGCAGTACTCATTGAGACAAGGCGCTGCACGTGTGGGGAGAAGTTGCAGCGTGGCATTGAACTAGCTACGTGCATGCAGTGAGGTCGTCCACTTTCCATATGCCCCGAACATGCAGATGGTACTAGACAGTTACCCAGCTGAAGAGCTCACTGAGATACCGTGGTAGTAGGGCCTGGGGCTGGGTGGCGGGCGGCGAAACATTCCGCGGAGTTCTTGTAACCCTTCTTTTTATACAACCCGGCTGCGGTACAGAAGGTGTGCGTCCCGTTACAAGGCTCATCTTGATCGGCGTTGAATCCGCAGTCGAAACCGGTGCCAGTAATGTAATAGCTGAGGAGACCACCGCACTCTTCCTTCGGCTGGTGATCCGCAAAGCATTCGGCTTCCGTGTTGTAAAGCTTTTCTCTGGGAGTCTTGCACTGAAAGTCGGTCCCTCGGCACTCTTCGGAATCCGAGTTCTTTGCAGTGCAGTAATTGGCAGGGCAGCGCCATGGCTTGGATGGAGCCGGGTTGGGCTCGTGGTCGGCAAAGCACTTGGCGGCCTCTGCCTCGGGGAGCGAGCCGCAGTGCACCATGGTGCCTTGGCACTTCTCTAGTCCTCTCTCCGCGGGAGGGCAGCGCACGGCAGGGTTCAGCCATGGCATCTTTGCCTCGCGGGGGAGCACGGGGCCTTCCGCAGGGTGTTCCACCACGGGGTCGGTATGGTTGTGAGGTCTGGCGACCGCGAGGGCTGCAAGTACAAGTAGAGCAATGGCATACATTGTTGCGGCGGAATCGAACAGATTATCGATGGTTGAGATGGCTAGTTTCGTGTTGAATAGCTTTAAAACTGATCACAGGTGATGCTCTCTTGCTGAGTGTAGGTGTCTGCATCACCGGGTTAGCGTGGCCCTTTTATAGACTCGCATGCGCATGTTGAGGACATTCTTGGAAGGCAGTCGACTGCCAGGTTAGCGGGCCGGCATTACTGCACCGGGGCCTGAAGGCGTATTAACTCTAGGAGAGTTTCGCGGATCGTACCATTATGCTTCACTGAACTCAAAGCCAACAATGCATTTGTAAATCTCTTATGCTATTATATTGACTGATACTCCGCAGGTTGACTTCGCTAGACTTGTATGGCCTCACTTCAGCTTGAACGAAGATTCAGCCAGGTTGGTGTGGAGGGCACAGGTGGCAATATTCTGCGAGCGGACAAAGTTCTGTTCAGCAAGATATAAACGCCATTTGCCGGAGCTTTTCCCACGTTCAAGCTGGCTGAGCAACACCCCAATAGGCGTTCGCTGGGTAGCACCAGATAACGGGCTGGCAGACCTTTGGCGAAAGGTATGCCCTCAAAGGTGGCGCAGATGGAGAAGAGGGTTTCATGTAACGCTGTCTCTCCAGGGATGCGCTGGCTCACCTGTGCGACAATCGGCGCTTATATGTGGACGTCTGCGATGAATTAGGATTGCTCATTTGAAGGAAAGAGGGGGCATAACGTGCCTTTCACGACCTCTTCGGGCTTCGTTGCATGCCGAGAGAAACTGTGCGACCCAACCACTCAGTTAGAGGGGAGGCAAAATCCATAGCGCCCGCACAATCCGGTTTTCGTGGGCCATCCATCGTAGCCAGAAATGCTTCAATTTCTTCTTGATTGAGAGGATCTTTGCGCCAGCCTTTACGCAGGAAAGTTAAAGCATCGGCGACAATTGGCGGTCTCGAAGACGCATTGCGTTGAGATTCGCTCAGATCACCAACATATTATACGCGAAAAAACAGACATCCCAGAAGCCTGAAGAGCAGGACTGCCGCAGCGAGGATAAAAAGGAAACACTACACACAGAGAGCGAGGCAGCGGAGAAAGTCTCATCCAGTCCCAGATCTTTGTCTGTAGTCGGACGGGACAAAAAGAGATTGTCCTCGGTGAGACTCGAACTCACGACCTTTGGATGGCCCAGAGTAAATCTGATCACACATATGGATGTATGAGACCAACGCTCTAACCAACTGAGCCACGAAGACTTTGCTTTGTTGGGTGGATGGTGGGTTATTAGTAACTATTTGGTTGTAATCCACCCTTGAGCCGTACAGGGTGACTGGGATTCGTCGGCCAGACGCCCCTTGTCACGCCCCACCCAACTGAGGACCAACGCAAAGCACGGTCACATTTCTGGCCTTCGGTTCCCTTTCTGATAACGTATGTGGCCGAATAACACTTCGTCGATGGGCACTATGCAGGCGAACACGGGACAGTGCACGTCAGCAACGTGGATGAGGAGCTCCCGCCTGCTCGAAAGCAAGCATGGCAACCCGTAAACGGCCAAACAATCTGGGACATCATCCAGCGCCCCAGGGTGAGCGAGAATTGTGGGTGGTCAAGCCACGTGAGCTTCGAGGCATGAGTACGAGCACGTAGATGAACTGGTACATACTTTGGTTACCTAGGTATACCGTAGCTACGTACAAGGAAGGTTGTCTGGGGGCCCGCAGCTTACCCCGTCACGGACCGGAGCGTTGAGCGTCCAACGGTGACCAGCAGCACCAGGCTCGCTCCTGCCTGAATGATTGCGCGTTCCTGCGGATTACATAACACTCGTTGGCGCCAAGCTCGCTCTCGGCCTTCGCGTGGCGTCGCGGGGCGAGACTCGCATTCGCCAGCTCGCTTTCGGTCGCTGGCGACGAGTGTGTTTCACAGTGACTGACGGGCCCGTGGCAGCGTTTCCCACAGCGCACCACCAGACGCGAATCTCCTGCGCCACGGCGGCCGCGAACGCGCTGTGCCTCTTCAGGCTCCGCTGACGACGGAGGGCCGCCTCTACACCCGGAGCTGCGTGCGCATCGCGACGTGGAAGCGAGACCCGAGCGCGCCGGCGGCGTGATGGAGCTCTGCGAGAGCCTTCGACATATAAGATGTCGGGGCATCGTGTCGAGATGAACAGCAGCACTTGCAAGCACCACCATCAGCTCAACCACCCCAAGCACTACCAACCTTCCTGAGTAGCTTCACCGGCGACAACTTCCAGGCCCCAACCCGATCGACCTGCCAGCAAACGACGAAATGACTGCCTACCCCGTCTACGACGAGCAGGCCGCGCAGGCCCAGCCTCCGGCTTACACGCCCTCGCAGCGCCCCACGCCGAGCTCGACCTTCAACGCCAACACAGACCACTTCCAGGCCGGCAACGCGGGTCCCGCCCCGGCTCCGGCCAAGCAGCCCTCGGCCTTCAACCGCAAGTTCCACAGCATCACCAGCAAGGCCGGGTGGCCGCTGAACAAGGCCGCCAACGTCATTGGCGCCGAGGGCTGGTGGCCCACGAGCATGGAGAAGGAGTGCAGCAAGGCGGCCCGCATCCTCCACTCCTTTACCAGTGAGTGCCCTGCTCGTCCTTTAAACGCCCTGGAATTACAAACCGAAAGTCTAATACGCATGTTCAGGTCTCGGCGCGCCTCAGCCTCCGCGGGCCGACGGCCCCATGCATCCCACCGGCATCACCAAAAAGTCCATGGTCAAAATCCCCGACGCGGTGCTCCGTGAGTGCGCCGGCCTCGCCATCTTCAACGTGATCCGCGCGGGCGCCTTCCACGGTTCCCTGGCCGCCGGCTCGGGCGTCGTCGTGGCCCGGCGCGCCGACGGCACCTGGTCGCCGCCGTCGTCCTTTGTCGTGTCGACGGTGGGCGCGGGCTTCATGCTGGGCCTCGACGTCTACGACTGCGTGTGCGTGCTCAACACGCCGGCACAGGTCGGCGCCTTCACCAACCCGCGCGTGTCGCTCGGCGGCGAGGCGTCCATCGCCGTCGGGCCCGTGGGCACGGGCGGCAGCGTCGACGCCGCGCTCTCCAAGACGGTGCGCCCCATGTGGAGCTACATGAAGAGCCGTGGGCTGTGGGCTGGCGTGCAGATCGACGGTACTATCATTGTGAGCCGCGGCGACGCCAACAGCGTCTTCTACAACGAGCGCGGCATCACCGCCAAGAAGATCCTCCGCGGCGACGTCGCCTGGCCCGTGCAGGCCCGGCCGCTCTTCGAGGTGCTGCGCGCCATCGAAGGTCGCCCGGACGTCGACCACACCGTCGTCCAGGAGGTCGGCCGCATGGCCACACCCGGCGACACGGTCCTTGACGAGAAGCGAGGCGAGACGCAAGTCCAGGTTGAGCACCGTGAGCGCGAGGATGAGACCCTTCTGGACGAGAAGGAGAGGCTGGCACGGGCGGGATATTAATTTTTGAACCTCGTGTTGTTAATGGTATAGGACCAAGGCGTTTGAGTCTCATTTGTGTCTGGCGATAGAGTGTACGATGGTACTCATTGGTTTGGATGGCAAGTTTGGCATGGCATTAGTTATCAGTTACGAAGTACGACCTCTTACTTTGCTTTATTCTGCGTTGCCGCCTGCGTTATTCATCGTGAAAGCACTGCGCCGACAGCCGGCAAGGCGCTCCGTCGCATCCTGGGCGAACCCATGGAACGGCATCATGTTGCTGTGCGGGCCCAACGACCATCGGAGTCGGCGCCGGAGTCGGACTTGGGCCGGGCACCCCGCACCCGCACTGGAACTGGACCTGGACCTGGACCTGGACCTGCACCTCATGCTGCATGCCCAACGCTGGTACCCAGCATTGGATCACGCCAGGCCACCACGACGGTGCGATGAGCTCCTCGCCCGGGGCAACCATCTCGCAGCCAGCGAAAAGAAGGTCTTGCGACCGCTGCCATGCCGTGAAGGAGAGGTGCCGCTGGGCCGACCCCAGCTGTTGCGAGAGATGCCGTCGGCTAGGGTCCGAGTGTAAGACAAATCGGCCGGCGGGCAGGGCTGGCAGGAAGCCTCGCCTCGCCTCGGGAAACCGCATATCGCTGCGTCGGCCCAGTCTGCCGGGCCGCGGAGGCGCGCCTTTGTCTGCGGGTTCGCCGTCACCGCCGCCGCCGCCTCAAACCCGACCCCCTTCCGCAAAAGGCTCCGACGACGAGACGTCGCATCAGGAAGCCATTGCGACAAGCCCACGGTCACTACCAACAGCTGCAGCTGCAGCTACAGACCGTGGCCATGGCCTCCAGATACGGCACATGTCCCAATTTCCCGACCTCAGCCGTCTCGAGATGCACTTCCTCGACGTCATGCTGCACAAGCAGATCGAGGTGGACAAGTATCTCATCGGGCCCAGCTTCCGCGACCAGCATCTCCAGGCCTTTGCGAGCCACCTCACCGCCGGCATGCCCCTTCTCAGGGATGCCTTCATCGCCTGCGCGTCCCTCCTCGTCGGCAACCAGAGCCTGCGGCAGCTCGCCCGCGGCCAGCAGATCGGGTTCAGGCGCGCGGCCGCCGCCATCGGGTCGCTTCGCGTGTCTCGCGTCGACCGCGACGACGACCTGTCCACGGTGCTCATACTAGGAGTCGCCGTCGTCACGTTTGCCCTGCACCACTCCGGCACGCCACTCGCGCTGTGCAGCTTCATCCTCGGCATAGCCAAGGCCATGTACGAGCGGGACCGCGCCCTGCCGCGGAGGATGGGGTCCGACTGCGCCGCCTTCCTGGTGTGCCTACTTGGGACGGAGATGGAGGAGTGCCTCATGCGATGCCGGGTGCCGACCTTGAGGGTCTGGGAGGGCGACATGGACCACCTGGTCGACCGCTTCATCGGCATCTCGGCGCCGCTTTTGACGCACTTTCACGATCTGTGCGTACTGGGCTATCGAATACGCGAGTCTGGCTGCCGTGAGCGCGGCGACCCCCCGGGCGACGCCCTCCTGAATGACTTGGCGAGAACTCGGAGCATATTGGCCAACTGGCGGCCAACCGTCTCCGCCGCGAAGCTTGGCACATACTCTGAAATCGAAGCGAGCATGATGATCGCGCAGTCCAAGGTGCTGCAGCTGACTGCTCTACTCGTTGCGCACCGTCTACGGCATCCGTTTGGTAACGACGAAGGGGCGCTCGCCATGTCGCGGACTGTCCTGCACGAGCTCGACGCGGTGGTCCAGAGGACAGGCCGCTCCATACCATTTGCCGACTTGGCGTTCCTGGTGGCCGGATTTGAACTTACAGAGGCCCAAGAGAGGAACGCGGCTCTGGAAAGCTCGTACCTTATCGTCGACTTTTCGCCGCACGTACGCGACGAAGAGGCCGCTTGGCTCGTCTCCTTCTGGGCAGCCAGAGATGTCGCCGACCATCACATATACTGGGACAACATAGAGAGTTTTCTCGGAGGCACAATTACTACTCAAACATGATTTCGCTATTGCCGCAACGCAAGAGCCCGAAGCACATGGCTGTCAGACATCGCGGCGTGTCGGCTGGCGGCGCGCCATCTCCATATACGACCTCGCCGTCGCGATTCTCGCTTTCTTGCCCCAGACGAGCAACGCCACGGGCAAGAGCAGGATGACGAAGCTGAGCACCCCGATGAGGATATGCAGGTCGCGCAACCCCATGGCCGAGACCCATGGCGTCAGGGCGAACAGGACCACCACGGAGATGGCGTTGCGCGTAAACACGACACCCACCAATGCATTCCCGATAATCTGAACGGCCGTTAGCGTGGTAGGCAGTACGAGGAAAGGGAGCCATACATCGTGGTAGCAGTCCATGGCGTAGGAAAGGGCGCTGTCGCCGGCGACAATGAGACCGAAGCCGAAGATGCCGAACCCGACGGCGAGAAGCGGCCACGGAGCTTCCTGGGAAGCGTCAGCACTGGAGGGTCAACTTAGCACGTTTGATGGTCACCTACGTATGCAAGACCCAGCCCAAACATCAATATGCCAGCCGGAGTGACAAGGGCCGCCGGGAGGGCAATCCACAGCCGCATTTCGGGCTCATAGATGCCTCCATTGCGTCTCGACAGCCAGATGATGGACTTGTCGTTGAGATATCCTCCGATGATGATGCCAGGAATAGAGCCGACGAAAGGCGCCACATTCATGAGGCCGACGCCGGCTGCAGAGAAATTATATGGCGGCTCGAAAAGATACGTCGCCTGGATGCTGATCAAGACGGCGAACCAGGCAAGAAGGCTGCCGTACGTGATGGCTGTGTACGCGATGGCCGGGAAGCGGAAGAGCAGCACCACGGGGTTGTACATGTCAAAGAGGATGGAGCCGCCGGTGGGCGTCAGCAGGGCAAGCCGCTCACGGTACGAGCGCATAGGGATCGACGGATCCAGGTGGCTCATCGACTGCGTGTGCACGAGCTCGCCGTCCTTGTTGTCGCTGTGCAGTTTCTTGAGGCCATCGCTGGGACCGTCCGCGTCCCGCGGCGGAGCTGGAGCCGACTGGCCATGGATAACGCTGACGTACTTGGACTCCTCGAAGAAGAAGAGGATGAGGACCAGGTTCACGCCAAAGAGGATGACGCACCACCACCACATCCAGCGCCAGCCCTGGTTCTCGACAATGTACCCCGAGGCGACGGGGCCGAGGTAGGCGCCGGTAAAGGTGGCCAGCAGGTACCAGCCGTTCATGGCGGCATGATTGTGAACAAAGAAGATATCTGCAATGGTGATCTGCACAATGGTCTCGGAGATGGCACCGCCAAGGCCGGATATCAGGTTGCTCCCAACGAGGTCGCCAGTGGTCTGCGTGACGGCGAACCAGATGCACGATACGAGCTGCAGCACGGTGCTGAAGATGTACACGGGGCGGCGGCCGTATTTCTGCACCAGGGGCACGAAGAAGACGCAGCCGACGGCAAGCCCGGCGTAGTTGATGGCGGCAGCGGCATTGAGTAGGCTGATGGAGAAGCCCAACTCGTCCTGGTACTGCTGCCAGGCAGTGAAGCCGATGTCGAGCTGAACAAAGGTGAGGAGGACGTAGAGGGAGACGAGAACAAAGTTGACCGTCTTGCGAGTGGCGGACCAGTTCAAGGGGTCGTTGGGGTCGGACGTCGGCTTGGGATGCAGGACAACCTTGTCCGTTGAGCGATGCACTGCGGAAACATGGTCAGGCTTCGGGATCTAGGGCCTAGGAGAAACCAATATGGATCGTGCTGAGAGCTTACAGTCCTCGAGCGTAACTGTTCCCGGAGCCCAGAAGGTCTCATCTCGCTCCGTGGCCGGTTCCATCTGTGGCAGCCTCTGTTGACGGAAGCAAGGTAAAGAGTTATAGGAAAAGACGTTCAAGATTTGCACAAGAGAGCAGGTATCTGCCTGAGACACAAGCACAACAGACCCGGTGCAACCTCTTGGCGTCGATAGGCCGAGCGGCGACGACTTATAAGCTCGCCGTCGAGACACACATAACACCGGTAACATAGTAACAGCGCAACGGCCTCCTCTTGTCGAGCCCCAGCAGCCGGATGGATGTCTGCCATATCCGGGGACGATTGGCTCAGTCGCCGCCGCTCAGGGACCGCGCTCCCTGCCTCCGATTTCGCGGGGAAGCGTGTGTGGCGTGCCGGCTCTCCCCCGCAACCCATCGCCGGCGCGATTTCCCCCTTGTCCACCCATCCCCGGCACGGAGAGGCCAATCACACCTGTTCAAATGCTCCGGCTTGGCCCCACCTTTGGGTCCTGTTGGTGTCTCGCCAGCGACCCGTTGGCGATGAAACTCGGCTGGCAATCTTTCGTCGAACGCGGGGGCGGGTCGCGACCGAGCAGTAGCTCCAGTTGACGCGGCTGCCCTCCATTCGTATCATGATTGCTGTGATCAATATCCTTGGCTTGTTCCGGACGAATGGCTGTGCTATCGAGGCGGCCGCCGTCGCTCGGGCCCCGAGGGCGCCGGTTCGACCCTGCTTGTACTTGGTGTGACGCCCTCGTATCGGCATATCTAGAGGGATAACGTATAAAAGGAACGCGCGAGGGTTCGCGTATTATCGTGCTCTTACCTCGGGACGACCCAGCAGATAACGTTCAACCGCATAGAGCAGCTCAGCTCAGCCAGCTATCGGCTGCCACCCCTTCTGTCCAAGTCACCATGGCAATCTCTCCCAGCCTCGTCGAGGAGCTCCTGGCCCAGACCAAGGCCGATCCCCAGCTCCCGCGCGCCAACCCGACCACGTCGTTTTGGCAGATGCCGCCGCACCCCAGCATGTCGACCGTGCAGTCGGCCGAGCTGCCCGCGGCCGTCGACGTGGCCATCATAGGCTCTGGGGTGACGGGCTGCAGCGTGGCCAAACACTATCTGGAGCACCCCGGGTCTGGGTCCGGGTCCGTCGCCGTCCTCGAGGCCCGGAACCTCACCAGCGGCGCCACCGGCCGCAACGGCGGCCTCCTGACCAACCATGTGCCCGGCGACTACCGCCTGCTGAGCGAGCGCTTCGGCGACGACGAGGCCGTCAAGATTGCCCGCTTCGCCAACCGGACCCTCGAGAAGATGCACGCCCTCGGCAACTCGTCCGACGAGTTCCGCGAGGCCAGCGTCGTGCGTCGCCTGCTCGACGTCATCTGCTTCGACGACGAGCCCTCCTTCACCCACGCCAGGGAGTCGTTTAAACTGTACGAGGAGCATGTCCCGGAGGACCGCGGCAAGACGCGGTTCCTAACAGCCGACGAGGCCACCTCGGTAGGCTGCCCATGAGCTTCACCATGTCCGCCGCACGACCGTCACTTAGCAGAAGCTGACAATTCGTGTGTGAACAGACGTACCAGGTGGTGGCCAAGGCCGGTGCCATTGTCTTCCCCAACGGCGCCTTCTGGCCCTACCGCCTCATCACCAGGGTCTGGGCGCAGCTGTACGAGCAACACCGGTCGCGCCTCTCCATCGATACCAACACGCCCGTCACGGCCGTCACGCACGACCCGAGCCATGCGACGCACCCGTACGTCCTCGACACCCCCCGCGGCGCCGTCAGGGCGGGCAGGGTCGTGCACGCGACCAACGGCTACACCGGCCACCTGCTGCCCGCGCTGCGAGGCAGGATCTTTCCGCTCCGCGGCACCATGTCGACGCAGGTCGCGCCGCCCGAATTTGGCCGCCGCGGCCACGAGGTGTCGTGGAGCATGGTCAACTCGGGCGTCTTCGACGCCGCTACCGACGTCCTCGAGGTGGGCCTGTACTACTCGAACCAGAATCCCAATACGGGCGACATTTTCATCGGCGGCGAGAAGGTCAAGCTCAACGAGCTGCTCGTCAGCGACGACACCGAGGTGCGCGCGCCCTGCCGCGACAACATCGCCAATGTCCTGCCGCGGTACCACACGCGCGGGTGGGCCGACGGTCAGGCGCCCGAGGTGAAAAAGGTCTGGTCGGGCATCATGGGCTTCACGGCGGACCGCCTGCCCCTCATCGGGCGGCTGCCCCAGAGCACGACGCGCCGTGGCGGCGACGGAGAGTGGATCGCGGCCGGCTTCAACGGCTTCGGCATGCCGCTGTGCTGGTCGAGCGGCGAGGCCGTCGCCCGCCTCATGCTGGGCGACGACGACGTCAACGAGTTCCTGCCGGACGTCTTCCTCGCGACAGAGGCGCGGCTCGAAGACGAGGCGCGCATGGCCACTCGGACAGCCCTGGAGCTGCTCCTGAGCGGGCACCCATAGTCTCGTAGTAGCGACTTGGACTGTCTAGCTTTTGTACGAATGCAAGCGATACCGTGCTTCGCTTGACATCCCCCCCGTGGCGTGATGTGCAGTGCGAGGGATTCCGCGCATGCGCCCTTGTCTTCCGCCTCGAGCGACGTGCATGCCTGAGCCTGCACGCCCCATGGCTGCTCGTTGGTGGGCTCGGCTCGGCGTCAATAGCTGTAGCGGGTTGATTCCACACGAGGTGACAAACCAGCGGACTCGAAAGATCCGAATGCACTCGTAATTAGCCTTCTCAGAAACGATTGCGCTCGTCATTTGATACGTAAAGGCTGTTGGCTTGCGGCGGTACGAGGTTGAGCATTTGTTGGTTGCGCTCTACCTTGCTCTTTCCACTCATCTCGACAACGACAGGCGTGGCGACAGCCAGGACGAGCCTCGGGCTATCAACCCTCAAGACACGGAATGTTGCATGTGTGAGGGGCAGGAAAATGCCCAAAGGTGGCCTGACAGCCCGTTGCATACATTTGTGGACACCCACCACCTCGACAAATCTTCAGCCTAAAGAAACCGTCAGCGGGAGAGGCGGCCGTGGACTGGGTCGCCCCGTACGGCCGCCGCAGAAGCCGCTCTCCTTGTTGGCTGGCAGAGGCAGGGTCTGCGCCGTGGCATGCATGCATGGCGACGGCTGAGGTCTTTCGGACCGTAGAGGTTGGACCGCAGACCAGGGCACAGCACGCCGAGGAGGTCAGTCAACCAACAAGCTGTGACAGAAGCAACACGGCTGTATTACCGACAGGATGGCAGAGGGTCGGCCCGTGGCCCAACGGCGCCGCCCGTTGTAACGCCGCCTTCTTATCGAGCTGCGCCAGCGCCGTTGCCCGTGGGCTCCAGAAACATGGCACTGGATGCGTGCATGAGCCCGCGTCTGTAGCGCGGCGCGGGTCCAGACTCCACACCCTCAACTGCTGCTCTCATCGTGCGCTCTCGTGAAGCTGATGCACATCTCGTGGTAGCCGACGGGCTAGGGGACTCAGGCCGTGGTCCCAGGCCGTCCACGTGTACTTGCTACGGGGCGCCAACCCACGGAGGAGGCCGGACTTGGCCGCCCCGGCGAGATACCATGGTAGCCGATGGGCCCGCCGCGACCACCCTCTCTGGTGGGTATCTGAGCAACTAAAGCAATGCCCCAGCGAGATGGTGCCCGAGATGATGGGCATGGTGGTTTTGCATCCGGCCGTGTTTGTTCTCTGTTTCTCTGCAGGCTCTGGGTTCGACTCCTGACCCCAAGGCCCTGGCTCGTCACCAACGCTGCAACTGAACGGCTCCATGGAAAACGTCAAGATTGCAGTCGTCGGCCTTGGTACGCACCCGTGACGCTTTTCGATGTGACTGTTAACCAATGGTAGGCCCCGCCGGGCTGACTGCCATCAAGGCGCTGCGGGAGGAGGGCTTCAACGTCGTCGGCTTCGAACGGCGAGATCGAGTCGGCGGCCTGTGGTCGTACAGTTCTGACCCTTCGCACACGTCGGTGATCCAAAACACCGTTTCCAACATTAGCAAGTTTGTTGTGAGTTGTCCCCCTGAACTCCCGCAACCTCGCTGACTCTTTAGTCCGGCTTCAGCGATTTCCCTGTTCCGAAAGGTGCGTTTGACGGCGACACGACATCCTGTGCCCCTTTTGACGACATCAGAATACCCCCCCTACATGACCGGTTCGCACGTTGCAGAGTACTTTCAAGCGTACGCGAGGCATTTTCAGCTCGAGCAGCATATCCGATTTCGAACGACGGTGCGGAGGGTGCTCCGAGACAAGCTGGACTCCGGGTGGAATGTCCAGGTCTCGGGCCCCGACGGCGAGTCGACTCTACATTTTGACAAGGTCGTCTTTGGCAATGGCTGCGAGACGGTGCCCAAGTGGCCGCCGATGCCGGGCAAGGAAAAGTTTAAAGGCACGGTCCTCCACGGCCAAAGCTATCGCAAGTATGCTAGCCCTGACACCTTCCACATGCGTCAACGAAACACACATCGTGACTAATGACTCAGGGCCGACCAATTCGCTGGGAAGCGAGTGCTAGTTGTCGGCATCGGTAACACGGCATGCGAAGTGTCACTCAGCCTTGCCGGTCATGTGTCCACGTTGTACCAGTCCTACCGCCGCGGGCGAATCATAGTCTCGCGATATCTCGATGACGGTGTCCCGACCGACAGCACCATCCCGTGGCCGGTGCTCCGACTCAAGTACCTGCTTGATTACAGCCTCCCGTGGCTGACCGTCCCGCTCGTTGACAGGTTCATGCAGGGCAAGATGATCAGCGACGCCGCACGCGAGGACCCCACGGAACCGGGCCTCTCGGCGCGGGCCCGCCGGAAGCGCGCCGAGAAAAAGATTACCGAGGACTGGCGCCTGGTACCGTGCCCGAGCATGGCGCACGAGCATCCAGCCGTGCAGGAGCACTTCATCCCCGCGCTATACGAGGGGCGTATAACACCCGTCCCTGGGTTCAAGGCATTTACGGGCGACGACCGGGTGCTGCTAGATGATGGAAAAGAGATCGAGGTGGACGCCGTCATATTCTGCACGGGCTATTCGCTGGACTTTAGCGTCATGCCAGAGCTGGAGATGGACGGCGCGTGCGACCTGCCGCTGGTGACCGCGGACGAAGCGCAGTCCGACACCCACGTCCCGCACTTGCCGCGCCTGCACCGCATGCTCTTCCCTCCGCGATGGGCTTCGTCGGCTGCGTTTCTGAGCTGGATCGCACCTCAGGAAGCTGTGTGGTGCACGTGCGAGCTGGCGTCGACGGCCGTGGCGCAGGTATGGGCGGCAGAGTCGGCCCGGGAACTCCAGCGGGACCAGGCACCGGCCGGATACCGGAAGCCGGCGCTGCTGCCGTCTGCGGCGGAAATGAACGCCGAAGTCGACGAGTACCACGCGTGGTGGCGTAGGGAGTGGGCGAAGGAACCCTCAGTGCGACCTGGCTACGTCCGTGCGCACACATTCTACCGCGCCATGCATGAATTGGCAGGCACCGGCATGTACGACAACATTGACCACCTGTTCGCCTTGCGCGGATGGCGGCTATGGTGGCAGGACAGGGATCTGTACAAGTGGCTGTCCAAAGGCCCCATGAACAGCTACGGGTGGCGCGTATTTGAGACGAACCCCAAGGGTATTCCTGGCTGCGGGAGGCGGGCCCTACCCGAGGCGAGGAAGAACGTCGAAGAGGCGGCAAGTAAAGAACCCCTCGTACAGTCGAGCCATGCTGACCGTTCAGTACGAACTATACCAGAGGTACAAGCAGGACATGAAGGACGGCGGAATGCGGAAAAAAGTCATGCCTGATGATTGAAGGGACTCGTGAGAGAGATATCTGGTTCTGGCGTCCCAAAGAGGAAATATTCTCGGCGATGTGGGGCCGGTTCGGGGCCCGGCTCGAGGACGCTTGCAAGCCGAGCCGCGCGGACATTGGCATGGCGTCACCCAGGCGAACAGACCGAGCAGCATCTTCACTCAATTAGCGTCATAGCCTATAGAAGAACAGCATTGAACAACTGACAGCCTCGGTCCACGACAGCCGCCAATCTCCCGTGTCGCCCCGAAGGATTCAGCTCCTGCTGACGCTGTGGGTTCCGGTGGGCCGATGACCTCATGCTGCGGAAAGGCCACCGAGTTGAAGCTGTCGTGAAGGACTCAGATCCATCTGTGGTGCCTGTTCCGTCACGAGACAGCTGCTTGGAAGGGAGATCTTGCCATTTAGGTCCTCAGCCATGTCGTTGGATTCGTCGTATGCCAGCGACGTCTACTTTGGCAATCGATCCGCGCCGACTTGTTTGCTCAGAACGGACAAGTACTGTAAGGCCTGATGAACGCCTACAGCTGACAGGCGCTGGTGATGTCACCACAACACCAGCCTATGGGTCACACTTGTTGCGACTTGACCAGTATAAATAGAAGAGAGTCGACCTCAATGTTCAACTTATAGCAGCAACAGCAACAACCCCTGCTCACCAACAGACTCAATATGCCCTCTCTCCGATCCATTCTCCTAGGCTTCGCTGCCATGTCCTCCGCCTCCCTCGCCAAGGAGAAGCTCCAAGTCGTCTGGTCCTCGGGCCATTTCTCGACCATTGCCGGCCCCAATGGCGGCAACGAGTTCGGCCACGACTCTGGCTTCGCCATCACAAATGACAAGGGCCAGAGCTACTTCGACTCGGCATATCCCGCCGACCACGCTCCATGCTACAACACCGGCGACGGACGCGAATTCAAGGTCATGAGCTCCTGCTGGAAAGCGCCTCGGTCCTTCAAGTGCAAGAGCAACTTTGGAGGGAACCCCGAGAGCTGCGAGGTGTTTGACAGCGTCGGAAACAGCCTCGCCAAGGGAAAGGGGAACACAGACACAAAGTTCATCGGCATTGCCCTGACCCAGTCTTCGTCGTGCGGCGTCAACTTTGAGCTTGAAGCCGATGAGCATTGCGACGACAAGGCGGAATGGAGGATTGTTTAAAGCGAGCGAGTATGTGGCACTAGCACGGATAAATCGAAGCTTTGATGCCATTGGGTTGCAGAAATGGCTCATCGTGTATGTAAAGCTGCAGGCTGAGCGATTCGCTGTGGAGAGGCGTCGACTGTGGCTGCTCATTGCTTATGCTCATAGTTGCCGGCAAGATAGTAATGTTCTCATTTGCTGCTCAACTAATGTATACGGTTCGAAGGAGTCAGATCTTGTTGTAGCTGCCCCCATGTCACACAGCGTCGCCCCTTGCCCTGAGTGAAGCCTGGTCACTGTCGGCCACGACGTTGCTGGACGCCTGCGGGAGCCACTCCCTCCTCGTCCCCCAGCCGGCACTCCGCGTCCACGTTTCGGCTGCGCGATCTACATCACCGTCGTATGTAAAAGCCTCAGTTGGCACCAGCGGAATGTGGTTGAATCGCCAGTCCCAGACAGCGGCGTACGTCGCGCGGTACGATGCGAGCGCCATGACGGCTCCGATCAAGGACCCGGCGACAATATCCCACCAGTTGTGCGCTGCGTCAATAGTGAGGGAGCAAGAAATCAGGCATGCCATCAAGAGAGGCAGTATCGTGAGCAGCAACTTGTAAAACATCGGGCGATGGTCTGCCCAGACCTTGAGCTTCGCGTTCAACCAGAGGAAGAGGAAGCCGAAACCAGCAAAGGCCGCGGTAGAGTGGCCGCTGGGGAACGCTGTGATGGCCGTCTTGAGCCTCTCGGCGTCAGTTTCGGTGCAGATCTCGGTCGTGTACATGATGCGCTGGAAGCCGACGGCGTTGAGCCCTGTGAGGTTGTGCCGTGGCGCCAGGTTCAGATCGGGCTTGCAGCTAGATTCGGTTAGTTGCCATCCGTGGTCGCGACAAAACAAGACCTACACGTCTAGGAAATACGGACGAAACCCGCCACAGAGTTGTTTGAGAACGACCTGGAATAGAGATCCGAGGATGACGGCCCAGACAGAGCCCATGATGGCAGCGCTCGCGTCCCACGCGGACCGAATCCGAATCTGCGCCAGGATGTACACGGCAATGGGACCTCCAATGGATGCCAGCCCAGACGCCCACGAGGGGATGATCCAGCCCCCCCGGTAGGGATAGGCCCAGTCGGGATACACCACATCGCCGCTGCTATTGAGCGTGACGGGGAATGTGCGCGTCAGCGGGACCGGGGAGTAGTAGACCTGTGTTTGGCGGGAGTCAGCGTGCATCAGGAAAGTATGGGCGAAAAAGGGAGACAGACAGCGAGGGCAACCGCACCGACTGACAGCATCCAGAGACAGTCGGCCCAGTTGAGATCAATCCACTGCCGCACAAACGATTTGGTCGCAGCGACGCGGTCATTGTCGCTGGTGCTGGCCGGAGGCATTGTGGGCTGTTCCTAGGTCGCGGGCTTGCTGCCTTCCATGGCCCGATTGCTAAGAGGGTAGACTGTGATCCAAAAGGTAATGAATGATGCGCCGTGGACGCACGGTGAATTGCAGGAAGCGAGTTGAGCTGCGCGGCTCAACCGCTGAATCGGGCGTTGACGTCACCGCTGAGCAACCCGGCAGTCGCTCCGTCCCCGAGCATTCCCTCGCCCGTGCTTTGTTCCTACTTCGACCTCGGGGGAATGCGCATGCGAAGCCCAAGAAAAATTGGCCCCAGCCGGCCGAAACCAAAATGTACAAAACGTGAATAAAAAGAAGTGAATGCTTTATCAGCGTCCCTGTCCACCGTGCCTCCGCCTCCACCTCTCGGCGACACTCTGCACGTTACCCTAGCCAGCCTCCAGCGTCCCGCGGATGCAGCGTCTGCCATGTCCACACAACGGAATATCGAAAGCGGCACTGCGCGTATTTCTCAGAGGGACATGACGGACTACTGACCCTTGAGTCGGCAGGGCCATTGTTACGGCGGTCAATCGGCTCCTCTTGCCTCGACTGGCCGCCACAAGTGATGCTGGAAGCTGCCTCAGGCTCGCGATGATGCCATTGTATTGGACTCCTACATAATTAGACGCTAGTCACCCGTCAGGTCAATTACCTCAATGTCCTCGACGTCCAGAGTCCCGGGCGCCGCGCGCTTGACCCCAGACACCGAATGGCCCCCAGCCAGGGCAGACGCAAGGCCAGGCAGCTGTCCAGAGACCCGCGATCGGTTTGTCGACTGCAAAGGCGCGAGAATAATGGGCTCAGAAGGTACACGAGCCGGGGCCGGAGCCTGCACTGCGGCAGGAATCGGGGCTGCCGCGGAAGCAGCCGGCTGCGACCGTCGCAGGTGCCTCATTTGAACCATGGAATACCTCTCCCCGAGGAGCAGCCTGAGATGCACCTGGTTAAACACCTCCAGCTCGTCTCGGGCGTTCTTCCAACGGGCGGTCCACGCATCACGCTTGGCCTTGTTGTGTGCGTGCGTTTTCGTGATGACCAAAGTATAGGGCCGACCGTACCGCTCAGTCTCGTGTGTGCAATCAGCGCCTAACTTGTCAAGCCCCTGGTGCACGTGGAAACGACTCTGCTTGTTCAAAGGGTACCGAGCAACTCTCTCGGCGCCATCGGCGAGAAAGGCGTTGAGGCGCGAGCAGATGTGGCAGTTGCAGCTCACGCCCCGCCTCACCAAGCTCGTATCGTTCGGCGGCTCTCGCTCGACATAGTTGAAGAGGTAGGCGCTGAGGATGGCAACGAAGAGACGCTGGTAGCGCGGGGTATCAAAGGGGGTCTTCCTGGACGCCATGACTTGAGCCAGCCAGTGCAGGAACGGAATCCATAGTTTTTCGAATTCGTCTCCCCGAATTCTCGGAGCGGTCTCAACGATGTTCTCCACAAACAGCGTGACGACATAGTTTGGCTCAGATGGTTCATCGATGGCTGAGAAGAAGTCGGCCAAGGCAAGGGTGCTCACAGCCATCGCTATCGAACCTTTTGCGTCTGAACCGAGACGTGGTCGCTTTGCTGAGACTACTTGAGGCGATTCCACTCCCCTCATGCATGCGAAAGACGTCGACAAGAGGAAGCATTCGGCAACAAGTCGATGAACAAACTTTGCCCACTCTAAGGGTAACGAGCCATCCGCGCCACACTGCCGGAGGCGGGCCATCAGGGCGAGGTAGAAGGCGGCCTGGTTGATTCTCCTGTCGAGTTTCGGCATTACACTGCGACGTTAGCGATAGGACAAATTGAAGCATATCAATGAACATACTACAACGAGAAAAACTGGGTCGGGTTCTCGAAGTACTGCACGCAGTCCACCATGTCTGATCCGGTCAACGGCCCCAGAACCTGTTCAGAACGGCAGATGTCGAGGCATTTGCGAATCAACAGCCGAGCCCACTCCGAGATGCAAGCGGGTGTCGTGTCAGGGCAGGCCGCATCACTTGACATCGTGACGAAGCTGTTGATGGCCCGAAATTTCCCAGAAAAGGTCTTGTATCGCGAAACGGCGAGACTCAACCTGGTCTCGTAAGTGTCATGCCGCTGCATGAGTTGCGAGGAGCTCACCCATTCTTGATGGTTCTGAAACGTTTCTCGGCGTCATCACCCCGCTGCACCCATTGCCTCACCATCGCAAATGTGTGCTGCAGCATCACGCCCTGGTGGTTAGTGGCAGCCCGCTCAAACATAGAAATCTCCTCCCTCTCGAGTGCGACCTCAACAACGCTGTAGAGCCCTTCCCCGTTAATGGCCAACGTTGGCTGCCAAGACGGTCTATCCGTCTCGACCGGCTGCTCCCATACCGTCCGACACAGGCGCCAGAGCGAGGCCAGGAAGGCTCCTACCGACGGCCGCTGCAAGCACAGCCGAGAGTAGTACCGAATCAGAGACTGGACGTTCAATCCTGCATCCTGGGATTTGGAAAAGAACGCGTTAAGCTCATCGTGAGGGACGATGATCACGGCCTGTGAAGTATATGAGACTCGTTCAACTGTTTTCCGTTCAGGTCCTTACCGCCACCCGGTACCAATGAGTCGCCGTGCCTCCCTTGAGCCTGTCAGCACACATTCTGAAAATTTTCCCGCCTCTACGGATCAGACACACCTCATTGCCGGTATAGCCTCGATCCTCTTCTCCCTCGCGGTCCTCAAAGTAGGTATCTGTCAGGAGGTCATCCTCGGCGAGGTCGAGCTCCTTGGCAACCACAGTCCCCTCTAAGTCAAACAATGTTTCAACGCTGTGGCTTGAGTCAGTAACGTCGTCCATCGGGTGGACGCCTTCCTCGTCCTCGTCCTCCTCGTCCTCATCTTCCTCCTCGTACCCGTACCCGTGCCGGTACCCGTAGTAGTCGTGCTCTACGGTGCCGTTCTCTTCCTTTGTCAAAAGACCGAGAAAGAGCTCGTAACCGAGCTCGATGGACAGGTCGCGGAGCGCCTGGACCCGGGCCAAATCTCTTGTCTTGAGCGCCCCTATCGACATGTTGGCCTCGGTGTAGTCGTGGTCGAGAACATGCGAGAGGCACTTGTTCTCTCTGTTCTCTGGGGCCACGCTGAGCCACCTCGAGAGCGTCTGTCGAACAGCCCGCAACTGGGTCTGCTGTCCACCCGCCAGGGGGCGCTCGATCGACGTGTCGAGAGTGAGGTTAAAGGTCAAGACCCATCGGTATCCACATATGACGGGGAGGACTTCGTGAGAGACGTCGGAATACCATGCCATATACGACTGCGCCATCGCCGATGACGAGAAGACCTTTGCCTGCCCGCAATGCTTCACGACAACATCACCGCCCTGATGTGCCGACGGCAGACACACCACGAGGGTGCCAAACATGCCGGGGCATTTCTCGGTGCTGGTTCGTTAGCCTCGAGCGGTCATCGCTCCGGGGTCTGGAGGACCAACTCGGTATGGGCCTTGAACATGGCTCCCTGCCCGTAAATGAGCATCTTGTAAATCTCAGCATTGACGACGGCGTCAATGCCCAAGTCATGAGCCACGTTCGCGCATATCGTCGTCAGATAGCTGGGCCAGGCGGGATCACGAAAGCTGAACTGGGAGTGGTCCATCTCCCAACACTTGCGCACGCTCAGGTCGACGAGCGTCTCCTCCTTCCTGCCAAAGGGCGCGCGGCGGCATTTCTCGATCAATTGGGTCGCCTGAGCTCCGCTGAGCGGCATGGACACCTCGCCGACGCCATCGACGAAGAGACCCGCGGGAGGCGCGTCTAGCAGGCGTCCAATGGTTGCGAAGGAACCCGGCGTCTGGATGCTGTCGAGCGCACTCAGCAGGTCCTCTCGCGGGTCAAACGGTCCCGCAGGGTGCAGACCGCCATGATGCGCGTTTGCCATGTGTGGCGCGTGGAAAGTACCTCAGGTGTCTTCCGGATGCTCGATTGCTGTGCCGTTCCTTGACGCGGACGGGTGGGCTACCCGAGAGGTAAGACGTGTCGAGAAGCTGCGAGGTGCCGCGTTTGAAGCTTTAAAAACATGTCAATTTTAAAGTTGGACGACCCCTGTCAAAATACCCTCCCATGTATCCCACGTACTCTACGGAGTAGTCGTACGCGTGATTCACACTGGGTTCCGAGATGCGCCCAAATTCGTGCCAAGCGCCCGATCAATCTTGGCCGTTGCATAAACCCGTTCTGTTCGCGGGTTCAGGGACAGCCCATCACGCCAGTCGCAAATTCAAAAAGCTGCCATTAAACGGTCCTGTCTAATCGTATAGGCAACACCCGCAATGCGTGATACAAGAAACCTAAAACAACCGACCACCAATATCGACAGCGCAAAATGTACATGTCGCAAACCCTTTCTACAGAGCGTCCACCGCCCACTTACAACGCAACCATGCCCGCGCCGACGAGGCCGGCGACGAGCATGTAGGCGCCGATGGCGAAGTCGCCAACGGAGAAGAAGGGGCCCATGGGGGTGGTGGGGCCGGCGGCGCTGTCAGAGGACGTGGCCGAGGCGCCGCCGCCGCCAACGGGAGCGGTCGCCGTGGCGACCTTCTTGTTGATGTCGCTGGCCGTGGCCAGCTTGGAGTCGCAAGACGAGTCCTTGCTGGGGCTCTGGGTGGTTGCCTGGCCCTTGAAGTCGCAGGCGTCCTTGGCCTTGTTCAGCTTGGAGTAGTAGGCGTCGAGGACGTAGTTGAGCTTGTCGGCGTCGGAGCACATGCTGTAGGCGCCGTAGACTCCCGTGGTGGCGTTGCCCTGGATGGCCGAGCAGATGGACGCGTCGGCGCCGCAAATGAAGCCGAACATGGCGCCGTACTTCTTGGGGTCCAGGTCCTTGGCCGAGACGCAGGAGCGCGACTTGCTCATGCAGTCGCAGAGCGACTTGTCGGGTGTGGGAGGCAGCTCAGAGTTGGCCCTCCACGTGTTGGACAGGTCAGGGCACTTGGCGGGCTTAGCCGTCGGGTTGTACTGGTCCTTGTCGACGCCCTTGGGGTCGGCCTTGGCCACCTGGTCCTTGAGCTTGTTGAAGTCCTTTTGCTTGGTAGCCTTGCCGTTCTTGACCTCGACCAGACCTATCGGACGTTAGCGCGGGTTCCCGGGTCATCTCGTGATTCTCTGGGATTCTCACCATAGTCGTTGGCCTCTTGGAAGTACATGTAGACGATGCCGCCGGAAAAGACCTTGGTCATCTCGTCCTTGTACAGAGCACCAGTCTCCTGGAAGATACGGTTGGCGGCGCCGTCGGGCAGGTTGCAGCCGTACTCGGCGAAGAAGACGGGGACCGAGTAGTCCTGGAAAAACTTGGCCTGCTCGCTATAGCCCGACTTTTGCATGTCGCTCTGACCGCACCACGAGTAAATGTTGTAGCCCCAGTAGTCGATCGAGTCCTCGGCCTTGCCGCAGTTGAAGTAGTCGGCGATCTCGACGCGGATATCCTTATCGTCGTTGGCGGCGTAGCCCACGCCCATCCAGCGCGAGTTCTTCTTGTTCTTGATGTAGGCCTTGGTGTCGCGGACGGCAGCCTTGACAAAGGCCGAGGCGCCCGTGTTGGTCTTGTTGTTGCTGACCTCGTTGCCGGCGAAGAAGCCGATGACGTTGGAGTACTTGCCCATCTCGTCAACCACCTTCTGGTAGCGGGTGAAGAGCGCGACGTTCCACTGCGGGTCGTCGCGGTTGATGGACAGGCTGGGCTCGCTCAGGTCCGAGATGACGTAGATGCCGGCCTCGTCGAGCAGCTTCATGCAAGCCGAGTGGTCGGCGTCGGGGTTGATGGCGTACGTGCGGATCGTGTTGGTGCCGAGCTCCTTGAGCAGGGGCACATCGCGCTTGCAGGCCGTCTCGTCGGACAGCGGGTCGACGTACTTGGTTGTCTTGTCGCTGGTGGCGCCAGCGGCGGCCGTGTCCTGCTGGTAGGCGACGCCCTTCATGAAAAACTGGGTGCCGTTCTTGTAGAAGAGCTTGGAGCCCTTCATCTCGATGGGCTGCAGCTCGGCGAGGGCGCTCCCCGCGAGGGCGAGGAGCGACACCGAAAGCTTCGTCAACGCCATGGCGCGCGTTATGAAGCACAATCGATGGACGGTGCGGAGCGGATGGCGAGACGGGCTGTCCCTTGTAAAAGTGCGGGTTTTCGAGCCGTTGGCGACGCGGAGGTCGAGCGAGAGGAGAAAGCGCTAGTGAACAAAATACCGTGAATGAGTGACGGAAAGGCGAGGCGAACCCCAATTAGATTCAAAGAAGAAAGGAAGATGGGGGAAGGGAAAGGGCAAGACGGCGCTCTGTTCCCAAGCGAGTGTGTTTGTCGGTCGGAAAGGAGGACGGGACAGGCCAGACGGGAGGAGAAGAGTGGCACGGGCCTGTCAAGTGGTTATGGCCAAGCGGCCTGCTCGGTCCCGCTAGCCCCTAGCGCGAGCCGCCGCCAGCAGCGAATTTGGTTGGAGCCCCTTGAGCCCCTGTCCACGGGGGCGCAGCAGGGCTGCCCAGGGGCCATGAAGCTTGTTCAGGACGATCCAGCCGCAGCCGCCCAATCACGCGCCCACGTCAGAACTTCATCTCACTCTTCGCCAGCCGCGAGCGGTGGTCTGGTACGCGCGCCATCCCGGTTCGCACGGTGCGTCAATACGAGGGCTATCAGGGGCTCCCGCAGCCGCAGACGCCTCGTGCTAGTCACGGGTGTCCCCCGGCCCCCGGATACAGTGCGCAGGCTCCGACCAAGATGGCGGTGTTGCGGTGGGAAAAGGGGCTGCTTCCCCACCACGTTGACCACCGCGCATCCACCTCGCCGCCGCCGCCGCCGAGGCCGTTGCTGCTTGTCTCCCGTCTCTCACCATTGCCGCGCAGACCATGTCATGGCAGTCACGGATCAATGGGCGTCGTTTCAGCATTGCTGGTCCACTCGGCCCGTCGTCACTCGTTTCAGCAGTCGCGCGAGCACATCAGAATCGTCCGCCGGCTGATCGATGTTGATCCGTCTCCAGTCTTTATTTCGACCTCTGCCAATCCGTCCGCCACCTGTGCTTCTCGCCGCCATCCTTCCGCCCAGTCTGTTCCGAGAGGCCGTCCTGCTGTAGCCTGTTGTCCAGTCAGTCCGGTGGACTCGCAAGCGTCACAGCGAGCCCCCTTGGACCATCGGCTCTTGTCTGTCCCCTGTCCTTCACCGTCCACTGCGGCGCGGAGCCGCCGCAGCACCACCTGTCGCCAATTTCATGTCATCTCGTGTTCGCCCAGGCAAGCCTTGGCTCTGCGCTCGTTGCGTCGCATCGCTTCGTGGCGCTGGTTCTGGGCGCAGGGAGAGGAGGCTGTCGGCCGCTCCTCATTGTCGGCTCCCCCGTGTCCTCTGGGTGAGACACTCGCCCGTCTCAACGAGGTCCTTTACACCTCCCTAGTGAGAATCCGCTTGTTGCCACGTGCGAGTTCCATTGTCGTGACGCCTGGCTGGCTACCGAAGCGCGTGCGACGATCCCGACTCAGCGGCCTCTGATCTTGTAGTAGAAGCTGCCGACGCCGTAGAGGACCTGGTCCCATATCTGGTATGTCTTGTGCCACAAGTTGCCGTCCGGCTGCCCCTGCCTGTCCCGCGACTCCCGCCGTCTGTCCCCCAGCCGGCTCTCTGGGTGGTAGTGCCCGTCGTGATAGTAGAGTCGAGTCATTGCGTCTCGCCTGGGACGAGGTCGTTTCAAATCTCGGGCGTTTGTCTGCTACGTGCGCGGCACGCCTCTCGCCGGCGATGCGTCTCTTTTAGTAGCCTGGCCAAGGCTCAAGCCGGAGTGTCGTTCCGCCCATCGAGGCTGATCGCGGCTCGTGCACACGCCGGCCAGGCGACCATTCAGGCGCCTCCGTATGTCCCGGCGCCGTGACCTCCGCCCCGTGGCTTCGCCCCCCACAGCCCCGATCAGGCGGCAGGCTGCGCGCTGTGCAGGCGTCACACACCGCATCTGTGCAAACGCAGCGCTGCCGCTCGCCACGCCGCCGTCTGTCCTTGACCATCGCGAATGATACGTCCTCGGCGGCGGCCGGGTGCAGTACCATCCACTGTGGGTGATCAGCGGGCGGCAGGGCACGCGGCGTGGCACACGGTCGCATACCGCCGGGCGGATATTTTACATGGCAACACGCTCTCTCCCATCTTGTGCTCTGGCCAGCTTCGCCTTCCATGACATGTGTGCGGAGTACTCAATCAGTAGCAGGGCCCGTGAGACCAACCTTTCAACGCCAAGGGGATTCCGCGACATGCTCCGAGACTAATAGTGAGGTATGCTCAAACTCATTGTGACGTCACATTATGGCTCATGCACCATGGTAATCCTTGCCAAGAGTCCAAGCCGGCCGAGCACAAAGGGAGTTGGAATGGACGCAGAATAGTTCAAGCCAAACTTGGGGGCCAGTGCCCCCCTCTATCAAGTAGGCTGATCGTGCGTAGCGTCATGAGCATGCACCGACGCGCGCCCAAGAGGCCCATCACACTTTGGCAACATGTGCCGGTCGGCGTCTGGTGGCTGTCGAGTTTCAGTGCCCAAATCTTGCTACGAGCCGGCCGTGAGATCGAGATCTTACCGATCAGTTGTCAAGCTTGCATCGGCTCTACAGGCAAAAACATTCCCCGTGCATGCAGTCCGTTCTAGTATCCGTCATGATGTAATTCTAGTGACTTCGGTGGCTCCCACGAGTGCCGTACGTGGCTTTGCGAGCTGACTGGATGGTTGGCTCTTGTCAAGGCACCATCGCCATGATGTCATGTTCTGCCCGTCAACCTATATCAGTCGTCGTGCCAGAGAAGCCGGACCAGAGTCGACTTTGTAGCCTCAGCGTATAGTTGAACACATCTACCATACAAGGACACAACCACCATGTCTACAAACCAGAATCGCAAGGGTCCCAGCGTCGGCACCAAGGTACGCTCTGCTGAACTTAAAGGCGGTCGCAGACTAACAATGTAGGTTGACTTGGGTCGGAATGCGCCCGTGACTGAGGAAGGCGCCGGCTACGTCGCGCCTGAGTCGTTGGCTGCCGAGTCGTTCAAGGGAGGCGGAGAGTTCAGCGAAAACCGGCACGGCCAGCCCGACAGCACATCTTCTGGCACCACCCGCTCCGGCGCGAGGTCGGGACCACCTGAGACCGCCCTCGCCGGCGAGAACGGAGGCACGGCGCCCAGCTACGTCTCCAGCCAATATATTGGAGATTCCGGCGGGCCGCACGGGAAGAATCTAAAATCCGGCGGCTTTGCTGACTCCAAGACCAAGGATGGCCTCAAGATGGCTCTCGAGTCAGAGCCCGGCTCCAAAAATGATCCTAGCAGATTGGCAGAGGAACGATTTGAGCTGCACGACGCGGCGGGCCCCGGTGTTTCTGGGCGGAGGGACACGGAACTTTCGACGTCAACAAAGTACGACGGCCTTGACCGAGAGACGTCCTCATAGGCCGCATGATGGATGTGTTAGGTTGCCCGATTGCACCCAGAGTAGCATGGTAATGAACATTCCGTCTCAGACCCTTCGGTGAATCGTGGAATCCAGGGCCAAGCGGGAAGGGATGTAGATATACTCATTCGTCTGGCATTGGCGATGGCGGTGACACCGACGGGCTTGCACGGGTCTCTTATGTGGCTGCCTGGTGCCTCCCATCAGACGTCGCACCCACAACCACCCCTGTGGGCAGCCAATGCAAATACGGGCGTTCGCCGCCCAGGCATCAGCATTCGGTCTCCCAACTGCTTATATCAACGGCAGCTACAGCGCTCAATCCTCCCCACGCCGGAGCACATCTGCAGCAGCATGAGAACCGTAAGCAGTACACGGGAGCTGGGCGTCGTGATGACAAGCACTCCGAAGTGAGCACCACATCGAAACAGCCCAGAAAGGCTTCTTGTGCAGTGCTGACAACATCAGCTAGACCTGCGTACTTTACATCGTGCAAACTTTCCTGTCGTTGCTGCAACAGAGCCGAGACGGCTGGTCAAGGCGCGTAACGCGCGGGTTCGAGCAACTTGACAGGAGCGACGATTCTACCATGTCTTCGGGCGGCACGCCTCCCACGGCGAGGTCGAGTCCTTCAGGCGCTCCCTCGGAGAACACAAGCCCACAGGCGATGGCTTTCGGCACGACGGGCGATCCAGGGTCTGTTCCCACGGAGACGTGGCCCTCGATCGCGCTGCCGTATCCCGACTACGTGCCAGACGAGGGCGAGCTGGAGAGGCGACGGCTAGGAGAAGCCCAGCCACAGCTTGTACCGACGGAAGTGTTTGTAAACAAGTATTTTGCGACTACAAGACCAAATACTCGATGAGGCTTTCAGCGGGTGGCAGAGACGTACGAAAACGGACAGCCTGGCTGTGTTATGCCACGCAACAAGACGACTCACGACACAACTCCGCTACTTCCACCGTCATCGCTTACTGCTCGCGAAAGCGGGCAGGAGGGAGCTATGGGGGAGCTAGGCAATAGGGATACCACGTGTACATGTTAGTTGCTTAGACCTCATTGTGTTGCGGTATAGGGTAGGCGGCTGCGTTCGCAGAGATTTCAAAACACAAGCAGAATGCAGCCATGACGTCAAACGGGTCACAGCATTTGCGCGTCCGCCAGGCGGCAATCAAGTCCACGAGAGAACTGTTCCTGCGTGCCGAGCAGCACTGCGCGTGCACTCTACTCCCGCAATGAGGCTGCCGGTGCACCAATTACACTACATGCGTCCGAACATACTTTGACGGGCGCAGCACTCTTGTGACGACTGGCTTGACCGCTGACTCAACTCGGTGCAGCCGAACGGTGGCGATTATCGCCTCTGGGCTTTGGCCGTGCCCTGACTGGCCGGTCCATGCCTTAGTTTGATGCCTGACATGGGGCCAATCTTATCGGCCAAAATTTTGATACGGCGCCCCACCAACAAAAAACCACCCCGCCTCGACAAGCCCATGGCCGTCAGTCTCAGCCTTCATCACCATCTTTCGGGGCCGTCCTTTGTCGTTGCCCTGCCTGCGTCTGCCCTTTGGATCAAGCTTCGAAACCTGGACTGAGCACGCATCACCCGTACTCTGCATCGGTCGCACCTAAAGGTCCCGCACCCGCGCACGCTTCCAGTCCCCGTCCCCTCCCTCCTTATCCTCTCAGACCGCCACAATGCCGTCCGCCTCCAAGGAGAAGAGACTCGCCAAGAAGGCTGCCGAGGGCAAGCTCGACAAGAAGTCAGGCAAGGCGGCCAAGGGCAAGAAGGATGAACCCCAGCTCGATGCCCACGGCAACCCCGTCGAGGATGACGCCCCGGCCACCTCAGGCGACAAGCTCGACGAGGTGAAGCGCCTCGCCGACCAGATGGACCAGCACGGCATCTCGGATCGCGTCACCACCGGCGTCCTGGCCTCCACGCAGTCCAGCAAGGACGTCAAGATCACTAGCACCAGTCTCGTCTTCCACGGCCGCGTTCTCATCACCGACTCGACGCTCGAGCTGTCCTTTGGCCGCCGCTACGGTCTGCTCGGTGAGAACGGTTGCGGCAAGAGTACGCTGCTCAAGGCCATCGCCGCCCGCGAGTACCCCATCCCCGAGCACGTCGACATCTACCTGCTCAACGAGGGCGCCCCCCCGTCGGAGCTCGGTGCCCTGGAATGGGTCGTCAAGGAGGCTGAGAACGAGATGGAACGTCTCGATAAGCTCGCCGAGCGCATGCTTGAGGAGGAGGGCCCCGAGAGCCCCGTCCTCATCGACCTCTACGACGTGAGTAGTGCCATTTCAGTATAGACCCGAACCCCTGTTGACAGTTCTGCAGCACATGGACAAGATGGACCCCTCGACCTTTGCCACTCGCGCATCCCTCATCCTGACGGGTCTCGGCTTCAACAAGAAGACGATCCACAAAAAGACCAAGGACATGTCTGGTGGCTGGAGGATGCGAGTCGCCCTCGCCAAGGCCCTCTTCGTGAAGCCGTCGCTGCTGCTGCTCGACGACCCCACCGCTCACTTGGATCTTGAGGCCTGCGTGTGGCTCGAGGAGTACCTCAAGAAGTGGGAGCGCACCCTGGTCCTGGTCTCCCACTCCATGGACTTCCTCAACGGCGTCTGCTCCAACATGATTGACATGCGTCAGAAGCAGCTCCAGTACTACGGTGGTAATTACGACTCGTACAACAAGACGCGCTCTGAGAACGAGACGAACCAGATGAAGGCCTACACCAAGCAGCAAGAAGAAATTGCCCACATCAAGAAGTTCATCGCTAGCGCCGGTACCTACGCCAACCTGGTGCGACAGGCCAAGTCGCGCCAGAAGATTCTGGACAAGATGGAGGCCGACGGCTTCATCCAGCCCGTTGTTCCCGACAGGGTCTTCACCTTCCGTTTCGCCGACGTGGAGAAGCTGCCGCCGCCCGTCCTGTCATTCGACGATGTCACCTTCTCCTACTCTGGCAAGCCCGAGGACGACCTGTACCGCAACCTCGAGCTCGGCTTCGACATGGACTCGCGGACGGCCCTCGTCGGCCCCAACGGTGTCGGCAAGTCGACGCTGCTGCGCCTCATGACGGGCAAGTTGTCGCCCACCGGCGGCTCCGTCACTCGCCACACTCACCTTAAGCTGGGCCTGTACTCGCAGCACAGCGCCGAGCAGCTGGACCTCACCAAGTCCGCCCTCGACTTTGTTCGCGACAAGTACAAGGAAAAGTCGCAAGACTACCAATACTGGCGCCAGCAGCTGGGCCGCTACGGCCTCACTGGCGAAGCCCAGACCGCCCTCATGGGCACTCTGTCCGAGGGCCAGAAGAGCCGCATCGTCTTCGCCCTGCTGGCCATTGACGGCCCCAACATGCTGCTGCTCGACGAGCCGACCAACGGCCTGGACATTCCCACGATTGACAGTCTGGCGGATGCCATCAACGCCTTTAGCGGAGGTGTCGTCGTCGTGTCCCACGACTTCAGGTTCGTGAAGCGCTCCCCTCTAGCCCGAGAGTGAGTGAAAACTGACTGTGAGATAGGCTGCTCGACAAGATTGCCAAGCAGATTCTTGTCTGCGAAAACCAGACGATCCAGACCTGGGACGGCTCTATCGGCGAGTACAAGAACTACCTCAGGAAGAAGATGATCTCGGCCGGAGCCGTGTAAGGATGGGCAGCTTGATTGAATACGTGGGATAGAGCATGGCACGCATAAAGGGGCGGCCACATGGAATTGGCGGCGGCAGTCATCGGGAATGACAGCGACGAGCCGCATTAGGCATCGGCATGCCGCGATACCCTTATAGATGCGGGTTCATGCATTCATGACGGCTTATGCACGGATAGACTTGGTTTGCGACAGCGCCGAATATGCGCGAGATAAAAGTTGGAATGAAAATGATATTCAATGCTGCGTTGACGAGTTCGGCTAGTGAGTCAGTCGGCGATTGCGCTTGAGGTGTGACTCCACCCGTCGGCGCTACCAAAGTCTGACATAAAGTGCCCGGCCGCGCTCTGTGGTCGTGAGACTTGCTGCCAACTGCCAACTGCGTAGATACGACACGGCATGGCTGCCATCAAGATACGATCTGCCACGACGGCAGACCTGGACGCCATTTCTCGAATTCACTACGACGCCTTGGGTGCGTATCACGATTTCTATGCCGCGTTCTTCAAGAAGCATCCGCGCGAGATTGTGCCCGAATCAACACGTCGCGCCTTTGCGGAACCAAGCTTCACATTCTTAGTGGCGGAAGAGAATACGCCCAATAGCCCGGAAATATTACTGGGTTTCATCAGATATGGTGTGGTCCGAAGCCGAATCGAAGACGCCGCGGAGGAGAAGATTGATGCCGCTCCCTTACAGCCGTCACTCTTCGCGCGAAAAGAGCACATTGAGCCGATCTGGGAGAAGTTCAGCGAGAGGGAAAAGGAAATGGACGCCTGCTACGAAGAGGCAGTTGCTGGACAGCGTCACTTCTGTAAGCCTCGGTTGTGCTACGGCCAATGACACCATCATGCTGAAACCGTGTTAGATATATATCATGTCATGGTTGATCCTCGGCACCAACGTCAGGGTGTCGGCCGCATGCTACTGCGACAAGTCACGGCACGGTCCGATGCCGAGCGTGTACCGACCCTCATTGTCGCATCGGCCGAAGCGCGCCGCCTGTACTTGAGCTGCGGCTTCGACGTCCTCGGTCAATGGACAATCGACAACGGCTACTGGGCGGACGAGATCGAGAGACACGAGCAGGGGCTCGGTATTTGGGACTCTCGGGGACTCGGCGCGAAGTTCAGAGGCGTCAAGGAGGTTGAAGCCTACATGATCAGGAGCCCTCCCGCTGCGGGACCATCAGATGCTTAGAGACTGAGCCCTCATGAAACGCGACTAATGTCATCGATTTGAAAGAGATTATTCATTGAACCGGCGTGTGTAAGAGTAGTGGCATGGCTGTGGGTGAATGGGAGCCGTCCATAGCAGTTTTGTCTAGAAGACCACGGTTGCCGGCCTTTTCTGGGTGTCGCCCATCGAGCGCCCATGAGGTGGTATGTATTGGACGAGTTGGCCTCCTTTGACCAGCTCCGAACTTCGATCGTAACATACCCGGAAGGCACCCTTCCACAGGCCAATATTCTCGAATCTTAGCGCGACTGGTACAAATGGTCCTAAAGTGCCGTAATTCTTCTCCTCCCGATTCTTCCTCCTCCCGCCGCCCTTCGTCAGTCACTCCTGGTCTTGGCCCTTTCCGAGAACGACTCCTCTGACTCCATCATCAGCTGTCCTCTTGGCCGCCTTCTTCGGCCCGCTGCTGGCCGTCTTGGACGCTCGCTTTCTTGGTACAGCGCTCCTGACGGGAATCTGTTGTATGGAAGACTGGTGGTCGACATGGTTCAGTTTGTCTTTGGTCTTCGTCTCGTTCTCGCAGTCCTCCAGACCATCTCCATCTTCTTCGGGCGGGTCCGACTCCGGCAGTCTCGCTTTCAGGGGTGTCCAAAATAGCCTCCAGGCGCTCAGTTCGTTTTGTATGATGTTCTTGAGACCTGTGTCGCACTTGGCCTTCTCGGACTGTTCCGTCCCCACAAAGCATACGTCCCGAGCCAAGTTGTGTTCAAACTCTTCAATCCCTTTGATCAGGGTTGTCGCATGCAGTGTTAGCTCTTCAGCCAGTGCCCGTCTCGCCTTGTTGACCTTACTATCGATCTGTTTGGTCCGGTCAGTAAACACATTGCTCTGCCTGATTCGTGCCGCATGAGTTCGCATCGCTTTTGCCTGTCCCTCCATCTTCCCCTTGCCTATTTGGCTCAGTTAGCAGCATGAGAGAATTTGTGCCTTAATCACACACCTTCAACGTCCTGTGCCTCGCTGTATGCAGGCGCAAAGTCATTGTCAAGCTGATCTAGGGACGAGGACCTGATCTCTCGACCCTTCATCACGTACTGCGAAACGCTCGCTCTCACAGAGGATTTATACTCGCACATCAGGTTCTCAACTCTGTAGGCTCGAGTTCGGAACAGGCTCTTATACACTTCGGGTAATTTGCTGGACTGGGACACGGCGAAGATATGGCGAGACACCTCAGCCTGAACATTGGCCTCGAGACGCTTGAACCGGTTCTGAAGGGATGGACCAAACGATTGGCCCCATTTCAAAGCAAAGGGAGCCCAAAAGAACCAGTGTCTGCAGGTCAGGCCACACTAGTCAGTTAAACTCACACATGGACGCGTTTGCAAACTTACAGTCTAGCTTGCCAGCAATGGGTCCTGCGCGGCTTTGTATACGTCGTGTAGGCCCCTCCTTTTCTCCTGATACATGCTGCGAAGCTCGCCCAGTGAAGCAGCTCACCAGTAGCGCTCTTCTGGAAATTATCAACCAGCTTGACGAAGGTCTGGTTCAAGGACATGATCTCCCCAACGTCAAACAGGTTTCGGGCCTGCTGGTCTTGTTTCGTCGCTTTGTTGAATTTTTCCGTGGTCTCTTCAAGTTGCTTCGTCGCATATATCTGTAAGCAAGTTTCATGTACTCCGCGAGAAGCACGCCAAGAATTGATCAGAGACTCACGCTTCTTAGCTGGCTCTGCTCCTCGGTCAACTCCATGGAGATTGCGCCCAGGTGCGACTCATCCAGCCTTGCAACTCTCTGTCTCTCGTAGCCTGCCCAACCTTCCACAGCATCGAGGAGGACGTGGCACCGCTGAAGAATCGCGTCCGCATGGGCCTCCCTCTTCGGTAGCGAACCCTGAATTATCCACTCCCTGAGGGCTTCGAAACCAGTTGACTGGACGTCAGGGAATGATCCAAGGGGCGAGTCTTTGGCGAGGCCTTGTTGCGCGTGGCTGCTGACCGGGAACACGTGCAAGTCAGTGACTACCTTTGGATCCGTCTTTGAACGAGCTTGATTTCGCACGTCATCAAAATACCTTTGAAAGGCTTGCTTGGTGTGTTGGCTTCGAGCTTCGATGCACTGGCGACGACAGTTGACTTGCAGTTCATTGCTCTCCTTCTTGAGCTTCCGGAGCTGTCGTTTTGCAGTAGAGAGCTCACCTGGGCTCCAGGAGTCTGTGTTCGTCTGCCGAACGGCCTTGAAGTGCTTGATTTTGCCCTTAGTCTCAGTAATGCTGCGCTGCACTGTGTCAAACTTTCCAGATGCTGCCGCGAGCTCAGCAGGAACTTCCTTGTCTGGCCATTCCGACTTGAGGAAGGTCTGCCAATTCATCTGGTCAATCTTAGTAACGGCAATCCCGATACTATGGTTGCTGATCTTGCATTGCGTTTCCATGTCCAGGATCTGGTCGTCGCGAATGAGCTCCATGGCCGTGCGGTTGTCAAGCGCACGATCGCCCGGGGTGACCACCAGCAACTGGTAAAGTGATTGGTAGGCGTTCTTTGCGACTTGAGAACGCGACTCGAGCGAATCTGCCTCACCAGGTAAGTCCATCAGAACAATACCGCCGTTTTCCAGCAGTTCCGCCCTGATAAAGACCGTAACACTCTCAACGAGGGGCCATCGCACGGGGTTCTGGCAGCCGGCGCTTCCAACCCAGGGATTGACTGCAAGCAGGAACTCGTCTGGCTTTTCCTTTGAGATATTGATCTCGATGCCTTCAGAGTGTTCGCGAAGGTTGAAGATCTGGTTGCAGTCATGGGACTTGGTGCTGATCTTGGAAGCGAGTTTGCGACGCCCGAGGTCGAGAAGCTCGTCTTCAGTCAACCCAGACCAGCTACTGATCACTCGAAGCTGCATGAGGTATTTCTCCCTTTCGCCTCTTGTGACCGTGTCCTCTCCTTCCAGTTTTGCTCTATCCTCGAACTCCATGTATTCCTTGAAGAAGGCAGTGATCTCATCATCAACTGTTTTCTTCGATTTGAGCGATATGGTAGCGGAATACTTGGCTCGGTTTCCGTCCTTGGGGTACTCAAATCTGCACATGGCTGCAGTACATGCGCCATTCTGGCTCGTCGGGATCACGTCCGTAGCCGGGTTGATGAGTGCATTGATGAGACTCGACTTGCCCGTCCCAGTGTCGCCACCTGTGCCGACACGATAGCGAAACGACTTCCAATCCGTCTCGAGAGTGGCTGTCGCAGTTAGACTCTCTGTATTTGGCCATCATGGGAGAGGGTGCGATAGCGAGGAACGAAAGGAACGAAAGGAACGAAAGGAACGAAAGGAACGAAAGGAACGAAAGGAACGAAAGGAACGAAAGGAACGAAAGGAACGAAAGGAA